TCTAAAAAAAAAAGTGACTACAAGTGATGTTCGAAGAACAAAAATTTTTAAACAAGAACTATACATAAAAATTGATAGATCTTTCTAGAGTTATTATGTACAAATTAGTGTACAAGAAAAAGTAATCGATGATTAATGGTGATCAACCATAGTACAAGATAAAATTTATTACAAAATGTTTTACACAAAAGTAGGGAATTAATTATACAAAGATATTTTCGCATGTTGTGAAGCACATGTCTATGCTTGGTATTAGTCATTATCTTACATTAAAATATAGAGATTGAGTAATTAGATGTAAAGATGATGTTTTTTATAAAAATTTAGATAAAACTATTTACATGCAACATTAAGAGGATTTTATTGTGCAAGGGTCATAATATCTTGTCTGTCAACTAAAAAAGTTTCTTTTATGAGTTGAAACATACATCCAAATAGTGGTACAAGAACTTTGACTCTTACATATTGAAGATTTATTATGTGATGTACAATTTTGACTATTGTATTTATATGAAGACTTGTGGTGATAGTTATGTGATTATTTTGATATTTTATGTTGATGACATACTCATTATTTCTAAGAATTCACATAAACTTGTTAGGTTGAAGGTACTATTGAGCATGAAATTTGACATAAAGAATCTTGATGTGGCAAAGAAGTTTTTTGATATATAGATATCTACTGAGATTAAGAGTTAGGTCAACTATAGTTGACTCAAATGAGTTATCTCTCGAAGTTGTCTGATTTGTTTGACATGAGTAATGCTAAAATAGTGGACACTCATCTAACAAATCATTTCAAATTATCTACCACTTAGTGTTCGACATCTAAGAAATTTGTTGTTGAAATGAAGTAATTTTTTTATGCTAGTACAATTAATTTTTTCATGTATGTTATAATTTGTACAAATTTAATATCTAACAAATCATTTTAAATGATTCTTTATATTTTAAAATCTATTTTGACTAACAAAGTTGTCTTTCTACTATTAACTTTATCGATACAAATTTTACTGAAGATTTAGATCATTCAAGACTTACAACATGATATATTTTCATTGCAACTGGTAGACCTGTGAGTTAGAAGTTAACACTTAAAACTATTGTCGTATTATCTACGACTAAGGTAGAGTACATAGCAGCTACTAAAATAGTCAAAAAAGACTTTATGGTTGAAAATATCGTTGACTGAACTTAAGATCTGATAAGGTGAAGTTCTTCTATATTGTGACAATTAGAGAAACATTTGTTTGGCAAAAAATCAGATATATCATGTATGGTTGAAATATATTGACATGAAATATCACAAGATCAATGAGTTTACAAATTATGAAGATATCTCTCTAGAGATGGTTTGCATGGAATAGAATGACAGTAATATGTCGACAAAAGTTATCACAGTGGACAAGTTCAAATATTATTTAAATTTAAATAATATTATAAGTACCTTGTAGAAGGTACAACATTTACAACATGGATGAACATTGACTTTAGATGTAATGATGATGACTATCAAGATAGAATTTATTAATAGTGTTAACTTATCACGACTGACTTATTTGAAATACATGTAAGAAATCATCTCTCCTCTCACTCACTTGAGAGATGTGTGAGGAGTGAGGGGTGGTGATATAGTTGTCACCTCATCTCATCTTACCCAATTTGAGAGTTGTGTAGAGAGAGAGAGATGGTTGTTACCTCATCCTTTCTAACTTGTTTGGAGGTCGTGCAAGGAGAGAGGGAGTGAGAAACAAGAGAGGTTGAAATCATCACCTCCTAAATGTGTTGGCTCACCCGCACATGGATCAATATGCCACATTTTAAGAGTATGGTTACCTTTTCATGTCTACTATAAATATGACATGTATTTCGTTTTTTTAGGACAATAGACGACAAGATTTATCTCTCTTCTTTGATTCTGTTCTCTCTCTCCATCAACTCTCTTATTATTTTTTGGTCTCTTCTCTCTCTTTTATTGTAGATGAAGTCTTTATAAAATAAAATAAAAGTTAATTATTGACTCTTTAGTGTGTGAGTAATCTCAAGGGTGTTGAGATATAGATTAAAAGTTTTTGACAATTTTGTGATTTATTTTTTATTTATTCTCACTTATATATAAAAATAGAGTTTCTAATATTATTGTGATCTTGTGCTTATCTAAACAGCAGCCATAATCATTGTAACAACGTGGAGAGGCGAGTCCATGAGGAAGGCACAAGAGCACACACCAGCAACAAAGAGAAACCCAAAGCCACATCAGTGTTCTGTTGGCCTCCCAACGATCTTATGATACAGCAGTCGGAAGGTGGGAGGTGAGGCCCCCCATTAGGCCACCACCGCCACCGCACTCCCTGAACTAAATGGCGGCAATGGCTCCCCGTGCCACCACATCTCCGTCCACCGCATACTTATTAGGGTTTGTCCGCAGGAGCAGGGGAAGAAGGCGGAGGCGACCACAACAAAATAGGGTACTCCGACTCCCCAAAACAGAACCCCCCTTCCCGGGCTGCCGAATCTCGGAGGTTGTTTCACCTGGTTTCCGTGCTCATGCCAGCTCACCCATGTCTCAGTCACGGTCAACGCCACCCACTCCCTCCTGCTGGACTCCAAAGGCTCGTCTGTGAATGGGCACCATGATCGTCTAGGCGATGACCCCCAGGTCAACACCACCCACTGCCTCCTGCTGGACTCCAAAGGCCCGTCTGTGACTGGGCACCATGATCGTCTCGGCAATGACCCCCAGGTCAACGCCACTCACTGACATCGATTTGGCATCCATTCCCATTAACCAAACTGCATTAAAAAAAATAAATCTACGGCATAGTCATCGTGTTTTTACAAAAAAAAGAAGAAGAAGCAAAATTGACCTAATTATGGGCACATAATCATAGCGTCCACCCATCTGCTCCATTGATCAATTAATCCAGCTGAAAGAAGGCTTGGGAAAAGGTCCACGGCAAAAGGACCAACCCCATCTGCTGTTGTTGCAAGGGGGGACTCTGAAACCCTCCCAGAGCTCTGCAACGATGCTCCAAATATGATATGAACGGCATCGTTATGTTCCCCAAGAAACAAACCATGTCAACTCTGAGGACTCCTCAGACCTCTGCGGCTAATCTTTGCTGTAATCAGTAGAGAGCAGAGAAGCCCATCAAGTCGACAACAGCGGCAATGGAGGAAGGCATCAGGAAGCCCACAGGGAGGTTAGAGCCATGAAGAACAGGCCGCCATTGGCAAGGTGGAAGATCAGCTGAGATGGAGGACTAATGATAGGCCCACGTTCTATTTTCCCAACTCACAGAGATGAAGGTTTAGAGCAGGGCAGTAGGATCAGATACCACGTAAAAAAGACAGAACCGGGCAAGCAGCTTGTTGAAAGCGCATCTTTGCAGCATAAGGCATACTTAAAAAGGAACGTAAGAAACTCTTCACAGACTTTCTAGAAAAAAAACCTATCCCTAAAGAAACTCCTAATGGGGTTAGGAAACTCAAAAACCAAATCCTAAAAATCTCCTCTTTCTGGAGTTATTCTTAAAAGGCAGGAAGGAGGACCCCTCCAACCCCCTGCAGATGGAGGTTGAAACATGGTAGCCTACCGGTGTGGCATAACCTGCAGCATTACCAAGGGAGAGATCCATGCAGCCATCAAATTAAATCTACAATGGGAGAGAATACAGATCCAAACAGAACCTCTTCGCAAAAATGTTAAGCCGATCCTAAGCATGCTATCAGATCCCTGACACTCTTTTTGCACACGAATACAGATCACTTTGAAGGGCACTTCGAATTATACTCAAGAAAGGATGGTCCAAAATTGTCTTATTGAGAAGGTCAAAACCCCATGACGGCCCGCAGTCACTTCTTGCCTTATATCCCGGGTACAAGTCAAGAACCGAATGCATGGATATACAGCAAGCAGAAAGAATAAAAACCGAAGAATCACACAAACCATCAATCAAAAAGAGGTAATCCCATCACGTCGCGTGCCTTCTTTCCACCCACAACCCTTTAGATAACCACTAGTACTTGGAGAATAGAGAGGCAATCTTGTTACTTCTTTTACCTTCTTTAGAGCCACCATCTCTTGGCATCTAGTAGAAGAAGAAATTCATGACTCCTTCTGACACTCGGTAAGTAATCGGAGTTTGAAGAAAAACAACAACAAATCTACCAGGGCTTCATTACTTTAATAAAATTTGGATTCGCGCTCTCCATAGTACAAAAAAAATTATGAAAAGCTCAGGAAAACCAAACTTTCCCGTCGAATTTCCCATGATTAATGATACCTGATCTTCATCCATTCACATCTAATAATAATCTTTAGTTCTCTGAAGGAAAGAGATGAAAAAAATGTGGGATTTTATTCTTTCCGTAAAGTAGGAAAATAAGATCCTCGTTAATTTGAGTTGGGGAATTGAGAATGCAGGGCCTACCGAGATGGTGTTCTTGGATTTCCATTTTTCAGTAGATGACAATAGAGGAGAGGGTAAAGGTGGAAAGGCCACAAAAGAAGAGGGTAAACCAGATATAGATCTAGAGAGTGGAGAGGACAGGGGTGCATATTTATACTTTTGCCTTCTCTTTCTAGAATGTACAGAAAACGTGCCCTTGCTGTCCACATTCTTCAAAGCTCAAACCAAATTCATGTTAACAATGCGTACAAAAGAAATGATAACACAAACACCCTACTAATCAGGGAAGACAATAGTCTACCAGGTCCCCCCCAAGAACAAAATCACGAAACAGAAAGAAATCAGTTGCACGCGTGATGACCTGGAATAAAACAGGAAGGAAAAAAAAAGCCAGAGAGGACATAGCAAACAGAGTACCCCCATCAGTTTCATCCACAGATGCAACGATCAACCGTCTTAAACAGATGACGAATTATCGTCGAATATTCTTTAAAATTTGAACATGAATGAAAAAAGGAGGGAGAAGGAGATGAAATATCACGTCTACTGACCGTTTTAACATCATAGGAAAGTCATTCATCGAAGAGATCACTCTGCAGAGGAGGCAGCCTGATTTACCCCAAACTTGGTGAGCAATTTCCCGAGCGCCTCAGAGGAGAAGACATGGTACTCGACGACACCCGACGGCGACAGGAAGATTTCAGCAAGCTCAAGCTTCTCGGAGGTGAGGCTGGTGCTGTCCATGGTCTTGCTGAGCACCTTGAGTGCCAACTGTACCGCCTCCTCCCGGGTGAGCTCCTCCTTGTAGTCTTGCTTCAGCATCGACTGGGCCGCGGCGTTGTTAGCCCCGATGGCAGCCGCCTTCCAGCCGCCGTAGTTACCGCTGGGATCGCTCATGTAGAGCTGGAAACCGAAGTTGCGGTCCCAACCGGCAAAGAGAAAGGACACGCCGAAGGGACGGAGACCACCAAACTGGGTGTAACCCTGCTTGGTATCGCAGAGGGACTGGACAAGCTGCTCGACGGGCATGGGCTCCTGGTAAGCGAGGGCGTAGCGCTGTGCCTGGACTCGGGCAGTGTTGATGAGGATATTCGCGTCAGACATGATACCGGCAACGGCGCAGGCGACGTGGTCGTCGATCTTGTACATCTTCTCGGTAGATCGGGAGGTCTGGAGAAGCTTCGAAGTGACCTTCTTCTCCCCGACCAAGACGACCCCGTCTCTGGCTAGGACTCCGATGGCAGAGCCGGCGTTGCCGATGGCCTCCATAGCGTACTCCACCTGGTAGAGGCGGCCTTCTGGGGAGAAGATCGTCGTTCGGCTGTCGTACCGGCGGGACATCTTCGCTTCCTCTCTGCGGAGAAAAACAACGGGAATCGAGAGACGCGAAGAATTGGGAACGGCGGAGCCAAACACCCCCGCCCCCCTTTCTATAGTCCCCACTCTCCTGTCCCCCTCCCCAAGCAAGTTTCCTGAACTCTAAATGGGCTTCCATCCTTTTGCGGCCTGCTTCGTTCAGTCTGAATGGTAATTGGCCGGATCCTAAATGGGCCCTCCTCGGTTCACTCCGGCCAAGGGTGAGACATCTAACGTTGACTTTATGAACTTTGACGATGTGGCCATATCCTCGGAACTCTAGTCAACCCACTGGGTTGGCTATTAAGTAACACTCCTCCCCAACCTGCTGAGTCAAAACATATATGGTGAGGTGAGTTTAATGATCCTCATGGGCAAGATATTCTTCTTGAAGATTGAAAAAATTCACATGTGGAGCACTGATCATTATAGCTCTGACACATGTACTCAAACTAAGTGATATTAGAAGTGAACATAGGTCAAATTTCATTAATCTACCCCATATCTCAATATGCACACATGAGATGATCGCTATCTTCAAAATTATTTAGTATGTGTTGTATAGTTGCATGTCAACTCAACTACATATATTTTTTTGTCTAAAGATGGAATGTTGAAATTCCCATAAATAGTATGAATTGCACTCCAATTGTCACGTTGAGAACTCTATGTTGAGTAGCAAAGATTCCAACTTTGTCATCAACCATTGAAGCTAATTAATTCCCTTTCTACTTTTGTGATTTAATAAATTTACTTTCATTGTAGACAAAGGAACAGATTAAAAAATGGAACTAGATGTTATACCTACCTCATTAGATAGTACAAGGTCACATTTTTTCACTCTAGAAGATGGCCATTCAAGAAACATTTTTTTTCCATTTAAGAGAGGTTTGATGATTTTATAAATTTAAGCTATAATTTTTTAGGAGAGTAACCCATCTGTAGATTCACTTAGTACGAAATAAAGAAAATCAACTTAAATAATTTAAATAATATTTTATAGAATCAATTCATTTCCCTTACATCAAGCTTATTTTTGGACCAACATTTATAATTGTTTTTTTACCCATAAAAAGAATTATGGTGGACATAAAAGTATTATTATAACCCTTAAAAAAGTTGCATGCGGTTTTTAGAAATGGACAGCAAGATCCATTGCGTCTATCTCTTTTCAAGAATATATTCAATGCACAGTTTGACATAGTGAGACATGTTTCACACTTGTTGTAAGAAAGACACCTTACAAGGGCATAATAGTAATTATAGATTAGAAAGAATATGTTCTAGCTCATGAGAAAATCTCTTATTTGTTTGTGGTTTATGACTTGCAAGTTCTTGTTTTCCTTGTTTTTTTGCTTGGTAATGAAGAAGTTTAAACAATTATGTTGACCAAGTTACTACTAAGAGGAGTTGAGCCACTTTACATGAAGAAGGCTTTATTATATAAGTGAAGTCATTTGATACAAAAAATTTAAGTACTATGCTTAACATATAAAATTACATTAAATTTAACTTATAAATATTTTTTATTACCTTTATACCTAAATAATCTAAAAATTATATCCTTAGCAAAAGTTTGGAATATAATGAGATATTTTATATGGTGCAAATGATCAATTAAATTCTTACATACCGTATTTCTTTTGTTGAACTCTTTAATCTCATCTTATACATCAATCTCTAGTCAGATTTAGATCTCATACTATCAATTTCATAATTTCAAATTAATTGTCTAAAATAACATCAAAATCATCCAAAGTTGATCAATAACTCAGCAATAGGATGAGATTTAAGGGAGAGTCCTAAAACCTCAAAAAGTCGTTTGCATGAAATGGTGCAGTGACCCTTCCACAACACACAGCAAACAAAATACATACAAAGTAAAATAATAATTTCACGTCACATAAATTATTTTTAATATGAAATTATTATTATTAATGCTCTATCCAAGCATACATACATACATACATCATTTTGCACTATAGGAAGAGGGTGTAGTACTACTTCAAGAACAAAATATACAACTCTCAACTAATTGTTGATATTTCACAACTAGCATTAAAAAATAAAAAATAAAAGGAAAGTCCCCCATATGTAAGGACTAACCCTTATTTATATACACATGAAAGTATACAAGCAAAGTAGAGTTTCGAGCTTTCAATCCCATGAGGGTATGGACCTAACCAAGCAAAGTATCAGCTCTTATGTGGGTGCTAGAGACCGGTGATAGATGCACGATTGAGGTTACTAATAGGGCATAAATAGGAAATCATTGGAGATATGATAATCCTTTCATCGATCATCCGCAAGAGGGGCATAAATACTAAATAACTCTTTTTTAAACCATGGATTTCCTGCCCCGTGGGGTCAAGCCCTACATGGTTTTCCTGGTTATTGATCAGGGAATAATAATAATAATAATAATAATAATAATAATAATACTAATAATACTAATAATAATACTAATAATAATACTAATAATAATAATAATACTAATAATAATAATACTAATAATAATAATAATAATCAGGGATCAGAAGTATTCCTTTTCAGAATTTATTTAACCCATGGGCCTCGTCTGTTCGGTCTAGCTTTCGTCCCTCATGGCGGGGGCCTCCCGCGGCTACCCGAACGCCGACCTGTATGCTCCCGTCAAGGCCGAGAAGGATCCCATCGATGCTCTCTCCCTCCTCGACTCGATCGCCGCCCACCATCCCTCTACGACTCCACCGCGCCCCGTTCTCCTCTCTCTCCTCCGCAGCCTCTGCGCTTCCGCTCCAGGCCACCTCCCGCGCCTCATCAGCCTCCTCCGCCGCCTTCCCCGCAGCCCTCGGCTTCCCCACGACGCGTTCGCCCTCGTCCTCAAGGCTCTTTCGCGCATCCGTCTGCCCGACGAGGCCGTCGAGGTTTTCCGCCAGCTGCCGGGGATACTCCAGCGCCAGCCCTGCGTGCGCTGCCACAACGCCCTCCTCGACGCCCTCGTCCGAGCTGGCAGGTGGCAGCAGGCGGAGTCTTTTCTCGCCTACTTCAGCTCCGGCGGCGGGCCGACGCCGCCCAACTTGGAATCCTACAACATCGTCATCCGGGGGCTCTGCGAACGCGGTCATGCGGGACGGGCAGTGGAGCTGCTCAGGGATACACCCCGCCGCGGGCTGCGGCCGAACTGCATCACCTACGGCACTGTGATTTCCAGGCTGGTGAAGGCCAGCGATCAGTCGCGCGCCCTTGAGCTGTTCGACGAAATGCTCGAGAACGATGTCACCCCCGACGTGGTATGCTACAACGTGTTGATCGATGGGTTCTTCAAGGAGGGTGAGTGTGAGGAGGGGTTGAAGATCTGGGAAAGGTTGAGGAAGGACTCTTCCGTTTCCCCCAATCTGGCGACGTACAACATCATATTGAACGGCTTCTGCAGGCTCGGGAGGTTTGCGGAGGCGATGGCAGTGTGGGAGAAGATGGCGGCGAGCGGCCACCGCCCCAACCAGTTCACATATGGGAGCTTGATCCACGGGCTCTGCAAATCCAGGGACGTGGACGGCGCTTGCAGGGTGTCCTCGTGGATGATCCGGAGCGGGGTGGCCCCCGACAATGCCATCTGTAACTCTCTCCTCGCCGGGTTCTGCCTGGTCGGTCGGATCGACGACTGCCTCGCCTTGTTCGAGCAGATGGGAAGGGAGGGGAGACGCAGTGTCGTCAGCTACAACGTGACGATCAAGGGCCTGCTGGAGAAGAGCAGGGTGGAGGAAGCGGTCGCCGTATGGGAGCGCTTGAAGGAGGACGGCAGCTGCCTTGCAGATTCCACCACTTACGGGATTCTGATCCACGGCCTGTGCAAAAAGGGCTACATCAACAAGTCTCTGCGGGTTCTTGCGTATGCAGAGGACGGGGGCAAGGACTTGGATCTGTTCGCCTACTCCTCTCTGATCAGCGGTCTGTGCAGGCACAAGCTACCGCAAAAGGCGGTGCGGCTCTTCCACCGGATGATCGCCCGCGGCCACAAACCCAACGCCCACGTCTACAACTCGCTGATGAACGGCTTCTTTAAGGACTCTCAGATCCAGCGCGCCGTCGAGATCTTCAAGGAGATGGAGGTCGGGGAGTGCCCTCCCACCGTCGCCACCTACAACACCGTCATCAACGGTCTCTGCAAGGCGAGCAGGTTCAGCGAGGCTGCGGATTTTGCCAAGGAGATGGTGGAGAAGGGTCTGAAGCCCGATCTCATCACCTACAGCACGCTGATGGACGGCCTTTCCCAGGATAAGAAGCTGGACGCCGCCCTGGGGATATGGAACCTGGTCCTCGACGAGGGCCTCGAGGCCGACGTGGTCGCCCACAACATTCTCATCCGCGGACTCTGCGCGGCCGGAAGAACGGAGGCGGCGCTGGTGGTTTTCTTCAAGATGAGGAAGAACAGGAACTTTTCCCCGAACCGGGTGACCCACAATCTGCTAATGGATGGGCTTCGTGCCGTCGGGGACTTTAAGAGGGCGTCGTCGATCTGGTCCGAGATGAAGAGGGTCGGGCTAGAGCCGGACGTCGTCTCCTACAACATCGCCTTGAAGGGGCTCTGCTCTCGCAGTGAGACCTCCGAGGCCGTGGAGCTGCTGAATGACCTCTTGGCCCGCAACATCACCCCGACAGTGGTCACTTGGAACATACTCGTCAGGGCAGTAGTCCCATCGAGGATTACTCCGACATAAATACGATCTTCAAGAATGGATTCCTCCTGTTCACTGTCGACAAACATTTGGGGGACGCGTTGACTCCTGCTTCTCATCCATCAAGGTCTCGTATGCTGGAGGTGAGATCTTCTGCATCAAGATGATGCTTGCTCATCCTTGTTTCTTCCTCTTCTTTTTTATCATTCTTTCTGTAGGGCGGGCAGCAAGCTAATCGGAAATGATTGGCGACAAGAGTACTCAGATGGATTGGATCATCATGTTCAATGGGATTTCGTTGCATACAGTCCGAGAAAGGGAATTAACAGGGTGCTGAGGGGGGAAGTATGGATGGATATATACATTACAGGTTTTTGAGGAAGAAGACTGAATGCTATGAAGAGACCCACCGAGAACTTTGATCGAAGGACCTTAGTTTATGAAGGATGGCGCCCGGCTGTAGAATCTATCTAATATATGCGGTGGTGGTCTTCTTGTAGGTATACCAGCGGGCGATGAGGAGGTAGACGGCGAAGTTGAGCAGGCTGAGGATCGCCAGGAGCCAGTAGAAGTAGTCGAGGTGGCCCCTGTTGAGGTTGTCGGGGATCCACCCGAGCTTCCCGTTCCTGGTGGTCGTGTGGGTGACGATGGTGACCAGCAGCGTGCTGAGGTAGTTGCCCAGCGCGACGGTGGTGAGGGACAGGGCGGAGCACATGCTCCTCATGGCGTCCGGTGCCTGGTCGTAGAAGAACTCGAGCTGCCCGATGAAGGTGAAGACCTCTGCGGCGCCGACGATGAAGTACTGAGGCACCTGCCAGAAGATGGACAGCGGCAGCTGCTCCAGGTCGTAGTAGCCGTGCCGCTGCACCATGCCCAGCCGAACGAGCTCGAGCAAGCCGGCCGCCACCATGGCGAAGATGGAGACGACTAGGCCGATCCCCATCCGGGTGAGCTGGCTGAAACCGCGCTCGTCGCCGGTGAACCGGCGGGCGACGGGGACGATGATGCGGTCGTACAAGGGGACCCAGACGATGACGCTGAGGACGTCGAAGATGGAGAGCGACGCCGCCGGGATCTTGAAGTGGGGGCCCATGCTGGGGTCCAAGGTGTTGCCCTGCAGCACGAACATGGTGCTCATCTGACTGTACACCGTCGAGAAGACAATCCCGCTCGCCCATATCGGCAACAGCCTGACCACCGTCTTCAGCTCCTCCACCTGGGTCACCGTGCAGAGCCGCCACGGGTCCACCGGGGCCGCCGCGTCCGCGCGGGTGTCCACCGCCGCCCTGTCCAGGAAGCTGCCGGCCATGGAAAAATGATGGTTGAGTTCAACGTTTCGATGGATGGATGGATTCATTCATTCATGCACTCTGGAGAAAGAAGCAAGGAAACACCTACCCGAGTTGCTCTGTGTGCTGGAGCTTCCTGCTCCCTTCAATGGCGGATTCTTTGTCCCCGAGCTCGTAGAGGAGGGTCTTGTCGGCGGGCACCTCCGCGTTCCAATTCCTGAAGGACGCGACCAGGATCTGGGCGATCCGCGTCAGGGGACTCCCGCCGGGCTTCTGGTGACGGTACAGGCGGGTCCCGGAGAAGAAGAAGATGACGGCGACGGCCATTGTCACGGCCGGAATGCCGAACCCCCATCCCCATCCCACGTTCATCTGAATCCAGACCAGCACGGAGGAGGCCACCAGGGCCCCCAGGTTGATGGAGAAGTAGAACCAGTTGAAGAAGGAGCTCTTCCTCTTTTTCTCCTTCTCGTCCGTCTCGTCGAACTGGTCCGCCCCGAAGGAGGAGACGCAGGGCTTGATCCCTCCCGTGGCGAGGGCGATGAGGTACAGGGCTAGGAAGAATGCCCCCACCTGCCCGCTGCTCGGGTGGCAGACGCCGCCATCGCAGGAAGGTCTGATCCCTCTCACAGACGCAGTGAGCGTCAACAACGTCAGCCCCTGCGACCACCGGAAATCCTCGATGAGTCTGTCTGTCCGTCCGTCCGTTCGTCGTCGTATGCCAGGAAAGAGTAGAAGCAAGGTCGGTCAGTCTCTACCAGAACGTAGACCATCATGAAGCTGGCGATCGTCAGGTATCTTCCGAGATAGGCGTCGGCGACGAAGGCACCGATCAGAGGCGTGATGTAGCAGGTCCCAGACCAGTTAGTGACGTTGTTGGCGGCCGTCGCGTTGCCCTGGTTGAGGCGGTTCTTGAGGTAGTTCACGAGGTTGGTGCTCATCCCGTAGTACGCCAGCCGCTCGCAGCACTCGTTCCCTGCGCAGACGATGAACGGACGACCTCGCCGGTCAGGTCGTCGGAGGCGGCCGGCGGCGGCAAGGGGGGAGGGGGAAGACGAACAAGCGTGCCGAGATTACCGAGAATGTAAGGGCTGGTTCTCCAGTTGCCGGTTTTCGTCTTGTCGGCGGGGTCCCCCCGCCTATCCACAGTCCCATCCTTCGTGTAGCGATCGTCCTCCTCCATTGATCTATCCGTCGTTTGGTTTTATAAACCCGCTCTGCGATAATAGAAGAGAACATAATCGAATCGACAGAGCCCGTCGATCGAATCAAGTCGCAGAAAGAGAACACAATCGACAGAGTGCGTGAGTGAAGTGAGCTAGACAGAGCATTTGAGCGGCAGCACGAGAGAGACCCATGTATTCTGATTCTCCGTCTTCCTCCCTCGCGGAAGAAGAAGAAGAAGAAGAAGAAGAAGAAGAACGCTGGCTGCGAACTGTGGGGATTTGATGCAATGGAAGGACATGTATGGTGCGGAAGTAGCCGAGGTTCAGAATGTCGACGAGGGAATGGATACCCAGGAAAGCCGGTGCAGCAGGTCAGCTGGGACTGAGCGTAGTCAGCGAGCGCCCGTTGAAATTGTTGCGTTACGACAGCCGGCGTTGCGGCCCACGAAACGACCGGGCGACAAGGACAGCTGCTGTAACCAGTGGCCGTGAGGCGAGGAAGACGGTGATGACCACAGGAGGAGGGGGTTGGGGGAGACGGAGGAAGTAAAAAAATCCGAGAAAAGGGAGGATATTAAAGAAGGTTTCTTCCGCCACGCCGGCAGATTGAGGACCAGATATTATCCGGAGACCAGATTCAGAGAGGGGGCGGTGGGCTGCCCCATTAATTCCCCGAAGACTAGTGACAATGAAGATCAGCATGAGAATCTTCTCTCTCTCTCTCTCTCTCTCTCTCCTCCATGGGCACTGGAGGGTGGAGACGGGGAGGTCGCCGAGTAAATGATAGAATAAACTTCTCGGAGGACGGCAGTGATGGAAGGGAGATACGATCCATGGGAAAAGGGAAGGGAAGGGAAGACTTGCTCCGGGCTTCTCCGACCGACCCGATCGGTGATCGACGAAGGCATATAGATTCCTTCGCCCTTCCCGAAACCCGGCGACGATGACGACGCCAATGAGAACAGGGACTGGGAAGAAGAAGAATCGAGGCAAAGGAGTATCGGGGATGGCGGAGGAATCCAGGCATTAAAGTCAATCTGTGAGCAGGGGAAGAAGCAGATGGAAGTCTAGTCGGGAATTTACCTGCCTCCTTTTCTACCCTCCTCCTCCTCCTCCTCCGTCTTCCCCCTAGGGATCAGAATTTGGCCCGCACCACGAAATCCCTCCACCTCCACCTCCACCAGCACACTGGGAGGAGGCGAGACACCACCGAGGGTGAAGACGGTCACCCTCCCCCCTTCCCATTCCCTCTCCATAATAAATACAATCCCCCCCCCTCAACTCCGGCAAGCACCAGCGCGCAAATCGGACGAGGAGCAGGACGCGGAGTCCCCCGCCCCAATCCCCCCGCATCGCCCCCCACGCAGGCGACCCCCTACCACCCTCTTCGGATCCCCTCACTGCTCGAGTGGAAAGTCTGAAGAAGAACAGGAAGAAAATGCCAGGCGGCGGGAGGGAGGTTACCGCGGGCAAGGCGGAGATCGGCGGAGTGCCCTCGAGATTCGCAGAATCCGCCCTGCTTCTCGCTCGCTCCCCTCCTCTGAACGCGTAAAACCTTCCCGCACAGTTGTCCGCTGAGCAGAGACGGTCGCAGAGGCAGACGAGAGTAAGCGAGAGAGCCAGAAAAGGCGGCGCCTTGCCCCTTGGATCTTCTCTTCTCCTTCTTATCTCGGCTGTTGAGGGGCGGTCGACGGCAACAATGGACACAAGACGGAGATGATTGGCTTAGTCCCACTGGCCACGCTGTCCCAAGATACGCCGCAGCAGCAGTCTTGGATTGAGAGAGAGAGAGAGAGAGAGAGAGAGAGAGAGAGGGGTGACGGGTGCATCCATTTTCGATGGGCTCGATTGCCCAACTGAAAAGCTCAAACGTAAGGGGACGTCCGCCCGTTTCGGAAATCGAACCCCACCAATAAATAACAGCTCTAAAAATCCTGCAAAGAAAAAAGGAAAAGGAGAAGATGGGCAGCAAATCAGGCCGAATTCTGGGTCTGTGAGGTAGCGTCCTGAACGGAAAGCATTCCGAAGATAATGAAGCACATGCACGATGAATAATGTTACAAGAATTTCAAGTCCTAAATAAATAAATATATAAATAAATAAATAAATATAGATATATCATTAATTATCTCAATCCGATGAGTCCTCTAATAATTTTGATCTCTGTATTTTTCAAGGACCCTAAGAAAAATATTTGTTCTAGTCATGCTTAAATTATAAGCCAAATAAAAATCATAGTGAATAAAAAAAATATTCCTTGTCATTTTGGGCCCAATCGTTTGAATATTACAGTCAAAGCAATCTATCTCGTCACGCGCTGCTGGGATTTCACACGCATCGTGTTTCTTAATGAATGATCAATGCGCGTACATACTATGAATTCATCTTCGACGTCATATTCTCGGACTCTCCGTCTCTCTCTCTCTCTCTCTCCACTTTTGAGCTCTGAATTGGACGTCTGCCGAAAGAGGGCCCAACATCTGCACGCAAAACAATAGCAATCGCTTATTTTAAAAAGAGCTGACGTCGGCTCCGCGGAGTCGTCCACATAGGACAAAATTTTCCCAACATCTGCCGTCTAGCGTCGGGTCCGGGGCGGCTCCGACCTGAGAGCAGGCTGGCGGGACCAGGGTCGGACCCTCCGCAGGTCCGGGTCTGGTCCGGATTGGCCGCTGTTGACCGTTCTAAAGGGGGTAAATACGTCATTTCACGCTCATACCTGCCCCATCTTCATCTACTTGACTCCACCGCGAATGCAAAGGCAGGGTTTTCCAATCCGCGACGAGTTCGTGCTTCCTACGCTCCGCCGCGGCCGCGATCGGTCGACCGGAACCCTAACGGCGGAGGATTGATCTGCTGCCATGGCTTCTCCGCCTCGTCGAGGCCCTCCTCGCGCGTCTTCTCCCTCGCCGCCGTCCAAGCCTCTGCCTCTGGAGGCCGAGATCACCGTCGTATCCGCCAAGCACCTGAAGAACGTCAACTGGCGCCGCGGCGACCTCAAGCCCTGCGCCGTCCTCTACCTCGATCCTGACCGCCGCGTCAACACCAAGGCCGACGACGCCGGCTCCACCCGTCCCGTGTGGAACGAGCGCTTCGCCCTCCCCGTACCTCATGCCGGTGACGTCGTCCTCACTCTCGAGATCTTCCACTCCAAGCCCTCAGAGACCTCGAAGCCCCTCGTAGGCACCGTCCGCGCTCCGCTTTGGGAATTGGCCGAGCATTTCCCGGACGGCAGCGGCAGCGGCAGCGGATCAGGGCCCGTCCCCATCAGAACGCTCGAGCTCCGCCGCCCATCAGGCCGACCCCAGGGCAAGGTACGGATAAAGGTCGTCATTCGGGAGGTTTCTCCGCCGGAGCCACCTGCGCCGCCGGAATACCACGTCCCACCCTCCTCCAGCTTCTACTACTCCAGTGCCCCGCCTCCGCCCCCCCACATGCCCCCTCCGCCGTCCGTCCACGATTATCGTGGCTATGCACCGTCACCTTCCCCTCCCTACGTTCATAACCAGCCCCCGCCATCGCCTCCCCAGTACACGCGCGGCAGCTACTCCGATCCGTACTCGGGATACTACTCTGGCGGGTACTACTCAGCCCCGCCGCCGCCCGCTCGGCCTTATTACGACGGGGCGTCTGTGTATGGAGCACCTGGTGGTCCCTCAGCCCCCGTGGATTACACGTCGGGATCTTCTTACGACCAGAAAGCGAGGGATCCTAGCAAGATGGGATCGGGATCTGGGCCAGCAGTGGGAGCAGTTTCTGGGACCTTTGGAGGTCTGACGCTGCGAGAAGGATTGAAGTACAAGGAAGAGAAACTCCCGGAGAGGACGGAGGGCGACCGGATGGGGAGGGGTGATTACAGTGACCATCGTGAAGATTACTGATGCCGGACTGACCATTACCATGAATCTCTCGTTTTTCTTCCTTTCCTTGTTTTAATTCAGTGTTTGGGTGGGGGAGGCGGGGAGAAATAATCCGCCATGACCACAACCAAAATTCTGTTCCAACTCTCTGTGTATATATCCAGTGTTTCCAATCAATGTTATTGGGTTGTGTATGTAAGTTTTTATTGCTGTCCATCAACGCAAGAACCCCAGGATGCTCTCTCTCATCATTTAAATGTCTCCATGCGATGGGTATTGGCTATAATCAGCGTGGTTAATTGTGCTCCGTGGTTTTATTGCTAGGCCAGGATGGATGTGTATATTTGACGAATTGTTCTCAACCCGAGCCCCCACCTACTGAATTCAAGGACCCAGAAACGTGTGGAGCTCTGCAAACAACCCCCTTCCCCCCCGTCTGCTGTTGGTAACACTGACTGTTCCTTTTCTTGTGATCCTGCGAATACTCTCATAAACCTGCGTGTTTTTATGCCACGAGCTTATCTGCAGGTTACCCAGAGCTGGTCTTAGCCTTGATGTTTTCTTCGGATGAACATGTACGAATGATTCCGGTTAAAAACAAACGGTTTTTGACACTCGGGGGAGGAGTATCTCCCCAGAAACCCACCCCTCCTATTAAAGGTCCATGCAAATGTTTCCCCACTGGTGTGATCGTCTACGTCTCTTAATTCTTCCTCAAAAAACCACTCCCACGACTCTGCAGTCTCCTAGAATCCCCCTTGTCAATAATTCAGGCTGTGATAGAACTTTTTTGTTTACCATTGTCCTCATGTAATGTGGGGGGTGGCTTACAGTCTGATTTTGTGAGGATTTTTTTGTAGAGACCACATACTTGGTTTTATGCCCAGTTAGATTGATGGGCTGGAGAGGCCGTATTTTTTTTCCTTTCCTAGGTGGGTTAACTTGCGTCCTCTGTGGTGAAACTATAGGTTTCTTATCTCGTCATCATCATCATTTTTTACATCATTTTTCATCATACTGGTGTCAAAATGATCACTGGATTGGGGTATTCTTTGTTCCTCTCGTCTATGGGCTCCAGGGTTTTTAGTGAAGGTGAATACTTTCCTATATGAAGATAATAAAATTGCGGCATAAACAGAGGGTCACTCTGCGCAGGTCCATGTTTTACACCAAGTAAAACATGGACCTGCGCAAAAGATGAGTTTTCACTGCAGTACAGAGTTTAGGTTAATTTTGGTCAACTGTTGCTCCCTTTGTTTTGCCTCATTTTCATTTAAAATATTTCCAAGTCCACCATGTAGATGGTGGTTCACAAACCGATTAAAGATGCGCAAAAGTAGAAAGCTGGGATTAGTGGTACCGAGTTACAATCACTGATCTGTCTTCCTGCACCAAATATAGAGGCGCACACCGACTTCTTAGGGTTCTTAGAATTTTCGTTGACCCTTTTCAGACTCCGACAATCCTAGAAATCTTGCCAACTGAGAAAGGCGCTCTATTGGTGCAACTTTTTTTTTTTTTTTTTCTCTCCTTCCTTCCTCAGATGAATAGCTTTATGCGAGTGCATGATGGAGTACTTCATAAACAGATTATACTGTCATCGGCTAACATCTGACAAACGGTAAAGCATCGTCTATAAGGTCCCCATTGAAAGCCATCATCCTTCATGAAATGGTACTCTGTGAAGACCCATTGCGGAGTCGAAGAGACCCACGGAGAGCGGAGCTAAGACAGACAAGGAGAAGCGAAGGGGAGGAAAGTCATTGAACAGCAATGCTTTCTCAAGCTATATTTCTCTTCGCATGTCTGGTTCTCCAGCACTGTGGGCTTGGACTCGAAGCCGTCCTTCCTTGGTGGGGATGGCGGGGGCACCAGGAGCTGCGGTGGATCAGACCAGGGGGGGCAATACATGAGAAGCAGGAGGAGGAATGAGGGCAGGGAGCCGAATAGGATGATGATTCTTCTTGGGGGAAGGATCTTCCTACAATCTCTCGTCTGCCCTTCCCCGTGGTCGTGGTCTAGATGGCAGTCACCGGGATGGCGGTCACCGGGTTCTCTCAGAATATGCATGAAGCAGGGGACGACACTGCAATAGAACGCTGGTGGGCCAGGGACATCCCCGCCGCCGAAGGACCTTAGGCTTAACCACCGTTAACCGCCGAAAGTAGCAGTCATCTCAGTCTCACGGCGGCTAGAGATAGGAGGCCCCAATGAGAGACGGGGCCTCAGGAGAGAAGTCGGAAGACAGGAGGTTGACCCCCTCGGATTAGGTCATTATGTGCGACTGTTTCTCACTTCTTCTCAGCAAACTCCGCAAGAGAGGTTTATTAAGGAGAAAGTTCTACTCTTTTGAAGAGATCTCATCTCGCTTCTTGCTGGGCCCTGATCACACTACGACCACCATATTCTGTCTCTTGGCCTTTGTTAACACAAGATGATCTAAAAGTGTGATCGAAGTCATACCATTTTCTGCATTATCTCAACCATAACTCGATACTCAGACTCCACATTAGAGCAAGTCATCATCCTTTGTTTTTAAGACCATCAAGTGACTAAGTTACTACTGACGTATGTGTAATAACATGTAGTAGACTTTTGGTCACCTTTGTCACTTATATACTCGGCGTCAGAGTAACTTGCAATGTAGAGATAGGCGTGTCGACGATAAATGAGTCCTTTTTTTGAGGCTCGCTTGATATAGGAGAGGACTCGTAGAACTCCCTCTCAATGAACTTATCGAGACTCCTATATAAATTGACTCAAGACACCAATGTACACAATGATAGTACAAGTGACGGTGAGATATATTAACTTATTCAACAATCACTAGTATTGGTTAACATCTTCGAGTATGAGAGATGAAGTGTCTTAGGATTACATGTGAGCTTCAATAAATAAAGTTTTTGGCTTGCACTTAAGAAGCCCTATCTCTTGAAGCATGTCGAGGGTATACTTTTGTTAGATGATGGTGAACTTTTTATCTTAACATGCAAACTCAATCCCAAAAAAATATTGTGTAGTCTATAAATTATGAACGTTGAGGTACTATTACAAATAAGCTTTGATAGTAAAGATATTAACCTCATCATTTTCAGTCACAAGGATGTCGTCAACATAGACTACAAAGATGATAAGGTCATCCTCTGTCTTCTTTGTGAGCACAATAAAGTCCATAGTATAAGAAGCGAAATCAAAGGTAGTGAGTAAACTACTAAACTTGACGAATCAAACATGTGGACTCTACTTGAGCCCATAAATAACATGCCGCAAGAGACACTTTTGATGACTCCCACTAAATAATATATCTAGAAGGTTGTTCTATAAAGACATGCTCCTTAATATCAATATAAAGAAAGGTGTTAGAAATATTTAACTAGTGGAGAGATCATGCTTGATTGACGAAGAGAAAGAGAAGTATGCGAAGGAAGTTGAGGTGGATGACAAGATATAACATCTCAATGTAGTCGATTTCATATGTTTATGTGAAGTCCTAAGCAACCAAATGAGCTTTGTGATGAGCAATAGAGTCATCTGAATGATACATAAGGGTAGACAACCACTTGTACATCACAATATTGGCATCAGTCGAACATAGAATCAAATGTCAAGTTCCTCGAACAAACAATACAACCATCTTTGAATCCATGACTGACTTCCACATAGATATATATACAACCTCAACATTCGATTGTAAAAGCGACTCGAAGGCCATAAAGAGGACAAAGGCATAAAATAAAAGAGAAAGGTAATCATAAGAGATAAATTGGGAGATGATATGGTGGGTGCGGACGCACGTACATTTGCAAAGAGTGATAGGGAGATGAAGATCATTAAGTAAAGTAATGATCAAAGGTGTGGAAGAGATCGTAAGAAAGGATGAAGAGGATACTACATTCAAAGTAGGAGCCATATGAGACATGGGCTGAAGATAGATGGACATAGGTAATGACTCCAAAGAAGGTAGACAGGAAGAAGAGAAGGAGGGGGTTTGTAAGAACCACCAAGGAAGAGAACCCAAGTGGAGGAGATATAATAGTGCGATAAGGATAAATAGTCAAAATTAGAGAGAAAAAAAGAAACTCCTCATAAAAAGTGATGTTAGTCAAGGTCACATAGCGACGGATATTCGAGAAGTAAACTTGATAGCTTTTTTGTGTGCAAGAGTAGTCGACAAAGACTTATTTAAGAGTACCAATGTCAATTTTAAAAAGAAAGTGAGAAGAATCTTGAATGAAGTCAATGCATCTAAAGACCCAAAGATGAAGAGAAAAAAGAGGAGAATTAAGGATTAAGTAATGGAAAGGAATGATTCCTTCAAGAGGAGCGGAGAGAAACCAATTATGGAGATAAGTGTCAGTCTTAGAGATAGTAGGAAACATTTTTATGAAGAAAAAGTGTGCGAGTGATGTCAAGGAGTTAATGATGTTTACATTCAATAATACTATTTTACTACAAAGTGTAGAGGTGATAATTTGATGAAGGATGTCATGATTGACACAAAAGGTATGAAAAGAGGCTTGGATAAACTCAAGGGTGTTATCAGTATGAAGAATATTGAATATAGTGATGTATTATATGATAACTTTACTAATGAAGTGAGTAACTACGGTGGCGACCTCAGAACAGTCATGGAGGAAGTAAACCCAACTCACACGGATGTAATCATTAACAAAAATGATGTTATAACGATAACTCTAGATGTAGAAAGTACGAGATGAACCTCATACATTATAAAAGAGAAGGTCAAAGAGAATAGAAGAGAGGATGCCATCACAACTAGAGTAAGAAATACAGTGATGGTTGACGCACACAAACTTAGAGAGAGAAAGCCACGATAATATTTTTTTGTAATTTAGAAAAATAAGAATGACTTAAATAACGATGTCACAAAAGAGAATAAGTGACTATAGAGGTGACAAAAAAGGCCCAAAGATCAAAGAAGGGTTCGTCAGAAATGAGTTTGTAGATACACCATCTCTTTTCACGATCTAAATCAATCTTTCATTCGATATGTAAATCTTGAAAAATATAGTGACAAAAAAAAATGTGATGATATAAAAGAACGTACATGTAATAATACTAATAGAAAGAAAGTTAACAGAAAAATCAAGAACATAGAGAACTTGGGTGAAGGAAAAAGAAGAAGAAGCCAAGGTGACACTATGAGTTTTGACTAGACAAGTTTGACCATTGACAATAGTAATAGAGGGATGGGTTAAGGTAGATTGATAAGAGAAGAAATTAATAAGGATATTGGTCATGTGAGTGAAGGCCTCCAAATCAATAATCCACAGCATTAAAGAAGAAGGAAAGAGAGTGTGCGTACTTAATGTGGAGTAGACTAGAAGTGAGGAGAGACTAGTAAAGGTGGAAGCACCGATACCATTGACACGATGAAGGGTGTCATATTCTACATGCGTCAAGGTCACGTTCAACATGAGATGAAGCGAGAGATACTAGAGTTGGAGAAGTCATCGTTGGTTGTGTCATCTTTGTTTCTCTAAATTACAAAAAAAATTATCATGCTTTTCTCTCTCTAAATTTGTGTGCAAGTCTTGTTAATTGGGCAAATATCATCTTGAACCCACATAATAATTATGACAAAAGATGAAGGAGTAGAGATAATGCATGAAAAGAAAGAGGAGTAGATGGACATACTAATAGTGACTTGAAGGGCTGTTGAAAAGATGGAGGTGAGATTAAGCATGCTATCCTCAAAGATAACATATCCCTAAATATGGGATGCGATGGACAAATGAAGTTCACTGAGATAAATTTCAATATAAAACTCTTGATAATAATGTTAGAGGGTCAAAAGATTAATAGTAAAGGGCTAATAGATATTAACTTCTTGAATGAGAGCCGTAAGGCGTCCATAGTGGGCCTAAAGAGAGAGATCATCTTATTTACAAGAGAGAATAGATTTGAAGATCTCCACAATGTGACTAATATTTGTCTAGTTGGTATACATGATCTCTATAGTGAGCCACAAGAGACGAGTCGGGGTGATGCGTGCTAGTGGCTCGACAATGCTTTGCTTGATCTTTTAGAACATCTACATGATAATAACCAATTCAAATTGCGACCATGTTACATACGAGGGGTCCCAAAGGTCGAGTGAGTCTTTTGAGAGATGATTGAAAAGATTGTGAGATCAAAAGAAGAGCTTGAAGCCAAAAGTCCATGATGTATAGTTGTGACCATTGAAGATATACGTCGGCCAAGTAAATTGTGCTGTGATGGAATGACAAGTTGAAGGAACTGCTGAGGAAGAGAGAACAGCAGCTAGAATTGGAGGCAGGTGACGGAGGAGGGTGAGATGATGCCATGAGGCCGGCAGGTCCTGGTTAGAAGGGCAAGTGGTGGGGCCGGCTCAGGTGGGGCGGGCCGGTCGGGGCTGACGAGCCGGTCCGGATGGCCCGGCAGAGCCAGTGGGCTGGCTAGGCCGGTCCTGAGTGGGCCGGTCCGGAAGAAAACCGCCGGCTTGGCCGGTGCTGATGGGCCGGCGGGCCGATTGGCGGGCCGGCTGGCTCGCTGGGAGGCGGGCGGAACCCTAGCCGCCGCGGCCGGACGGCGACGGCGTCCGCGACGGCGACGGCAAGGGGGCGACGGCAAGGGCGCGACGGCGAGGAGGGACCTCGACGGCGGTGGCGGTGCCCTCGGCACCTGAGAGCGACGGTAGAGACGCCGGAGAAGAGGAGGAGAGCAACGGCACCGGCGAGGGGCGACGGCGCCGAACGGAGAAGGAGAGCGATGGCAGAGACGACGACGCCGGAAGAGGGAAAAGCGGCGACGCCGAAGAGCCGCCCGAGGAGGGAAGAGGCCAGCGAGGAGGAGAGCGGGGGGCCGGAGAGGGGCGACGCATCAGAGAGGAGGAGGACGACGAAGGATACTTAGGGCTCTGATACCATGTTGACACAAGAAGGGAAAACCATATAATCCATAAAACATAAAAATAGAATACATGATTAGTGGGCCGGGAGTCCAATACCACTATTGAACAGCCCCCTCTGTGAGTTTAGCTACCTCATCCTTGACCACCGCAAAGTGACGACCGCAGATGAACCCTGCGTCACCGTTACGATTCGCCAGCAGACTCCTCCTGCGATATGTGTTGCTATCCGTCGCGGGTGCGCAGAAATCTGTGAAGCTCTCTCTGAAAGTCGCAGTGTCGTCGTGGAACGGCACGTCGCACCAGTTGTAGCCTCATTGCAGTTGTTGGGATCGACCTGGAGACCTCGGCCTACCTCCTCCCGCGCCTTCCCTTGGGTCTCGACCGTCAACCTTCCCCTCTTCGTCTCTCCCTGTGCCCGCCCGCGTGCAGAGAGAGTATGCAGAAGAGGAGAAGAACAGGGCCCAGTGCGAACGCATGCAGGAAGACACAGGGTGCTTGACCTCGGGCTCCAAGCGTCTGCGTCGGTGTAAGCTCGGGAGGATGACGATGGCTTCGCATGAGTGGGAATGCTAACACCTGGGAGGGCACGGACGCAAAATTAAACGCTCAGATGAGGGTAAATCTATAATTACGAAGGAAGACTGGCCGTTGGCGCTGATCAAGAAGAGGAACCTCTGCCCCGATCTCCTTCGTCTCCGGGGAGGGATCGCCTGTTCTTATCCCGCTCCTTCTCGATCTCTTCATCCTCCTCCTTTTCCTCTTCCTTGTATTCTTCTTCCTCTCCGGGGGAGTATCCTGACGCAGGCACTCGGAGCCGCCGTCTGGCCGATAGTGTGGTGGGGTGGGAGGAGTGGGAGCATGGGAGACGGGGAACAGGAACGACAGATCTACCACGAGAAGCAGAGGCTGCAGTTCTGCCTGCTGCACGCTCTTAACAACCTCCTCCAGGTTTTGGTTTCCGCTGAAGCCTCGTTTTGATTTCTTTTCCGATGCCTCTGTCAAGCAATGACTCCCGACGTCGTCAGTATCACGGTTCTCTCTTTTTCCTTCTGAGAGTCAGACTTGGGAAATGAAAAAGAAGAAGAATAGGAATAGGATTGCGATCTTATCATTCGAACGTTCCCCCATCTGATCGCGAGGGTTGAAAATACACTGCATGTGAGAGGACGTGTCAGAACTCGTGTGGTTTCAGCCTAGTTGCAAAGAAAATGGTGGTTCAAAATTGTCGGCGGTTGATAGGAAACCTATTTAGCTGTTCTTTTGGGCATGGCTCTCTCTTGATTTGTCTTCCTCTTTGGATTCGCATCATCCTCTGCCATTTTCCATCTGGGTCAAGCCTGGAAACTAGTGTTACAGAACTCTCCGAGGGGTTTGATTGTTGTCGGCAATGAGGAAGCAAACGTGAATTGTGGGATTTAGTCTTTTAGTTCTTTGGAGAAGGAATAAGCCCGTACGGATGGTTTTATTCTGAATTTTAGATTGGAACTGGCTGTTATTCCTGCTATTTTTTTTCTTTCAAGAAGGGGGGGGGGGTACCCAGAGCTGCTACTACCCCCCCTTTCCAAGTCGTCGTTACTAATTTGATACAGATTTTTGGTTCTAGTGGTAAATTTTATAACACGAAGGAAGTTGAATCGTTTTTCTAAGTGAAAGAGGGGATGAGGAACCATTCTCAAAAGAAGAAGTGAATCAAGAGATGAGAATCATTTGATCTTGAAGTTAATGGGAAAGCAAGGAGATCACGCACCAATACAATGGGGCCACGAAAGAACACCTCAAGGAAGAGGGCACGAACTTCATTTCAAGGCCTTTTGAATTTCTGATGCTGAACAATGCTACATGGATCGGAGGGATAATGGAAAGGATGTAGGGAATATTCATTTGGATGTCATACATATTAACGTTCTTCAATGCGAATTCAACTCCCTACGAAGAGGAAAAACCAGAAAATTAATCGTTTCATTCTCATCCCAAAATCAAACACTTTAAAATTTTGATGGGACATTACTGATGATCTGCCACATTAAAGATCCCTCGGAATAGAAAATAGACATTTTCTTCACTAATCCCCGTGTTCATCATTGTGTCTACTTTGGTTGGTAGCACGGATCCTATTCCATCATCCCACCACATCTGAAGTCATGTATACGTTCAATATGCATGATATATTTATTTCTGTTTTCGTCTGCCCCTTTTCTCTTCTTGTCTTAGGGTCGCTGCTCATAAAGATGTTGCTATATCTATTTATAAGTTCTCCGAAGGTTATCCGTGAGATACAATCTTGCCCTGGTACTCTGCCTCTTATTTCTTTTGTAGAGTCATCTTATAGATGATCTTCTCCAGTCTTTTCTCATGTCGACCTTTTTAGCATTTGTATTTCAGCCAACCCCATCCTGTTCGTTTTCCTGCTTTAATTGGTCTGATTTCCATCCCCTTTCAATTTACTTGTGATGGGATGGCGGTCGCCCACAGAGGGGGCTGCTTTCCCTTTTCAACCCGGTAATTGTAGTGATATTGTGGGTCATTTCTCTGTTCATCGTATCCATTGCTTCAACTGTTCGATCCAAGTATCAGAAATAAATTGTATTTTTTCTTTCTGTGTTCTTGGCCGAAAGCATATATGCTCCATCTTGTTCCTACCTCCATTCTCTCTCTCTTTTACCCAGAGACTTTGATCGTTGGTTTTTCTCGAGTTCATCGGATAGTGAAAATGCTTTTCGCAATTACTGGAGAAGAGGAAACGCATGAGATACTCCTTCGGGTGAACTTTTTTCTGTGTAGGCCTGATCTTCTACGAGAGAGGACGATGGTTGATTCTACATTCCTTTGTTTTGGATTATTGTGACTGAAGTAGGCAGGCAGGCGTCGGAATTTAATGGATCTTCCGGGGCCCGCCTTTCAGTTTGCTCTGTATTTTCCGTATCTACTCTCTCGCTCTGCTGCTTCCTTGTCCGATAATTAATTTTAAAAAGTGATCTTGCGGGGTTGCCCGTGTTTCAGTTTCATTTGGTCCGGTGTCTTCCTTGGGAACATATTCTTTTGGAAGGATTTGCAGTATGACCCCACCCAGGGAATGTGACAGAGGCTAGTTGACCTTCGAAGAAGAATAGGTTCCTACCCCACGTCTGTTTGGCGTATTATTTACTGGTTTTTGGCGTGAATGTGTGTGTGCCAGAGACCAGGTTCTTCTTCTGGTTTTCATTTCTACTGAGAAACCATTCAGAATCTACGTCGGCGTTTCAGGCGGGGGACTCCTTCTCTCGGGTGGAGTTGGACGCGATCGCGGAGCAGCTCGTCGTTGACGATCCGGAGGAGTCAAGCTGGTGGACCCCGCTGTCCGTGGTGTTTCGTCCGCACCACAACAGGCTGACCGGGAACTACGACGTCAACGTGCTGATTGCGGCTCTGGAGAGCCGGGGCAGGAGGGTGCTTTGGCACGACCGTCGGCGCGGAGCTTCCTCGATCGGCCTCGGCGCGCCCGGAGAGCCGGCGGCGGCGCCGCCTCCATTGGAGGGCATCTTGTTGAATGTACCGGTGAGGAAGCTCGCCGGGCTCTGGAAGAGCAGGCACTGGCTCACTCTACGGCAGATCGACGGCCGCTGGTATAACTTGGACAGCGATCTCGAAGAGCCCCACCCCTTCAAGGACGAGGGAGATGTGGAGGGCTTCGTGGACGATGTACTAGCCGATGGTGGCGAGGTGCTGCTGGTCCTCCGTTGAAAAAAAATTCCCTGTCTCTCTCTCTCTGTATCTTGTGAGATGCCCGATCTGAGCGAGGAGGTGCAGCTGACCCTCATGTTGTCGTCTTCTCTTCGACCAGCGAGCGAAGCGGCCGATTAATGGATTATCGGAAGAGAGCGATCCGGTGATGTATGTACTCTTCTTCCCCAGAAAGGTTGGTCAAATGGGTCGTATGTACTCTGATCCACCTGCTAGTAGAGAGAGAGAGAGAGAGTGGAGGGAGGCGGCGGGCCCAGCTGTGCGACATGACGAGGAGTGCGTGACAATGCGTCACTGGGGGGAAGTCTGTATGAGCTTGACAACGCTGCTGGAATAGGCTGCGTCAGGGTCTCCCGAGGTGGGCTCGTCTGTCGAAAGCTCCTCGCAGGGATGGTACGGCGCGGGGTCCTCGAGGAAAGGGGATCCGTCCCCTCCAGGGTGCCCTCTTCTCTCGGTCAACGCTCGTTTCACACACCGACACGAGTAAAGTTAGAGGAACGCCCCCACCGTCGTGACCGGCACCTCTCTCTCTCTCTTTACACAGCCGACGGAGGAGAGGACTGAGCAGACGCGCTGCGCGAGCCAGTCCAGGAGAGGGGTCAAGGCCGGCATGTCAAAAGAAAAGAGAGCGGGGGAGCGCACCTCGAAAGCAATGCCGGAAGGGTCTTGTCTATGATTCACTCTTCCATGACCGCGCTCCTCCCTTCTTCAATGCCGCCGATTCCCCACCACCACGACGGCGACAGTGCAACTCCTCCTCGTTCCTCCCCAGGTCCGGCAACGCAGGCCCCCGCGTCAAATCTCCTCTCCCCCCTCTAATACACCAGCCTTCCCTCTATCTGCCCTCAAATCCCTCTCTATCTACGGTGCTTTATCTTTCTCTCACTTTCTTGGCAATAACCCTCTCCAGCCCGGCCGTCCATCCCCATAAATATCAGTCTCCCTCCCTCTCTTCCAACCCCCCACTCTACCTCCGGATCCGTCCCCTCTTCATCTCTCTCCGGGTCGTTCGAAATCCATCTGAGGGAGTGTCGCACTTTGGGCCAAGAGGAGGGAAGCCATGGCGGCGAGAAATGGAAGCAGGAGAGAGGCGTTGCTCAGCCCAGACATGGGCGAGAAGCCCACCGTTCTCCTGAGTTCCGGCTGCAGCACCACCGGGCGGAGAGCCGCCGCACCCCCGAAGAGGGCACCCAGGGCCTCCGGCTACTGCGTGTGCCGGAGAGCCGTCGGGCTGCTCAGGTTCATCGGAGGCAGCGTGGTGCAGGCGCTGAGCTACATCTCCCGCCGAAGGAGCTCCTCGGCCAAGGTGTCCCCGAAGACCGGCTCGAGGCAGTTCCCTCCGCCCCGGGAATCCCACCACGCCGAGGCCATTGAGGACTGCATCAGGTTCATAAACTCCTCCTCCAGGAGGTTATCCTAGGATCAGAAGCATCTCACTGTAAATCCCCAAGCATTCAAACAAAATCACACGTTTCAAACAAGCCCCCTCTTCCTCGCGTCATGCTCCTCTCTCCTTGATAGCCGACGATTCCTCCTCTCCTTTTTCTTTATGCCAACGCAATAGATCGCTAAAAAGCCGACGATGGGTGGGTAGAAAATTTCCCAACCAATCGGCATGAATCCATCGACTGCATCGTAATCACTGCTGTCCAGTCTGCAGCGTCTTTCTACAGATCAAATGTGAAGTTTCTTTACAGATGTACATGATAATGGGAACCTAGCAAAACTGTTCCTTTCCGGGTTCTAGCCCCCACCTTCTGTCCGTATCTCCCTTCCGCAGCGCCCAGCAATGGCTTGGCATTTATGTAAGCGATCTCTCGCCCGAGCTTCCCCGCTCTCCCGCCGCAGGATTTCGTCTAAATCTCCTTCCTGAGCTCCAAGAATGCTCCGAAACCACTTCACCGGTCGCCCCGGTTCCTCATCTTCTAGCGGCCTCTGGATCTCCGTCCCTCTGCGTACCCTCCTCCTCGCATTGGATGAGTAATCTCCTCTGCCTCAATCGACGATCTTCTCCCCGGTCGAGAAGAGATTCCACACCACGGTTCCGACGATATAAAGGGTAACAGAGACCCCGAAGACATCATCCCACGAGCCTGAAATTCGTCATTGCACCCAACAACACGCAGCGGGTTAGTCTTCGGACAGGAAGATGGAACAATCGGCCATTAGCACCTCGCTCGTATCACTTAAGAAGATTTCTCAACGAACCATGCTGCAGCAGATAGCCCGTCGCCGCGGTGCCGAAGACGCCCGCCAGAACCCCAGCGGTGTTCGAAAGACCAAGCAGCACTCCCTGCGCATGATTTCGGACAGCACGTCATGGCTCGCTCCGACGGATCATGAAAGGTTCACGATTAAGGAAATAAACCAATTAAATACGACAGAAAGCCATAATCCAAGAATCTCGAGCATCATGCCACCCCAGAAGTTAATGGGTTCGTTCTGGACGTTCGGATGCAGATGAGACGAATATGTGGAACGCGCTGATTAGCACTCACAGAATAACGGGGCGCGAGGTCTTGATGGTTGGAGTAAAGACCTGACTGGGAGAATGCATCCATTCCCTGTAAGACGAGTGTGAAAAAAAATGAGTCCTTGACTTTGGCAATGCTATATTCTGAGAGAAGATCGGGCAACCACGCAGAAATATGCTGTCGAGACGTTCGAAACTTAAACTCAATGTGATATTAAGACATCGAAACTTTAAAATAAGTATTTGAACACTTTTTAAAAACGTTATGTAGCATATATTGACCCAAATTGCATGACTCCAAGAAACCAAAAGGAACGTTGCCCGTCGCAAGGATATGTGAAGGCATGATACGAGCTCTTATGCTAGCAAAGGGTATCAATTCCAAACATGCCAGAGAGAGAGAGAGAGAGAGAGAGAGAGTATCAATGGCATGAAATAGCATGATGTTGACAATCTGAAACGAGAACAAGTCAAAGGCTTAATGTAACCACGAATTAGATGCGACAGAAGTAACCTGGCTGCATGCCATGCATAGTATTGCCATTGAGGGAGAGTCAACGTGGCTTAGCTGAGTTAAGAAGAATGCCGGGCCAAGAAATCCAATTGATTGCATGATCTGCACGAATTCGAATCCATAACCAAGGAAAATCAATTAAAATAAGCAGGTTTCAAATCCTTTTCTCCCAACACTCAGAAGGGTATTGATTTACTTTCCACAGTTGTAGGCGTGAAAATAACCAGAAAATTACGATAAATAAAGGATAGGCCGTCTGCACCAGTAGGATGACCTAATCTACATTCTTTCAAGTAGAAAGTTAACTACAGGCCTTTTAAAACACCAAGGACTACAACACAATGCTGATGATTTGCTATAAGTCTTTAGGGTGGCCTTGTTATCCCCTGGCTTCTTGCTTTAAAATCCGAGTGAAAATAAAAAAAATGTCCAAATGAATTATTGTTATGCTCCATAAGTTGATTTACGCCTGGAAAACCAATTTACCGATGTTTTTCCCTGTGCATTACCGTTGCCCCTTAGAATCGGGGAATTGTAAATCGTATTTCAGAACCAGCCCAATCCTTCTGGGACTCTACATCTTCCCCCTAATTTCATCTTTGTTTTTCTCCATATCAGTTTTTTTTTTTTTTTTGGTATAACTGACACTGAAACCAAAAGTTTTTTGATTAGTTCCTCTTCACCAAAATTCTAACCTCCTGGATAAAACGATGCATTCATTATACTTTTCACCATCTTTTCTATGCAGAAAAATAGTCCAGAAAACTTGACTGTTTTGTGTCCTAGAAGATAGATAACAAAAACACAGTCTGGAGTAAGTAAATTCTAAGTTTTCCACTCAAATGATGCGAGAAAGGCCCACACCTTTCGAACGGTCGTAACTGATAATCCTCTAGTCACGAGAGAGTCTGCGATCCATCCACCAAGATTAGAAGAAAGTGCCATTGTGAGCCAGGGAAGAACACAGAAAAGCCCGGACTCAGTGAGGTTGAACTTTAAGACCTGATATCCATTTTGTCAGAAGAAAAATGAAGAGAAAAACGTTATTATAGATTTCAGTGTGAAAAAATGATCGAGAGCAATGATCAATAGCTAGTGTACAACTATAATATCATAGAAGCATAGTAAGTATCCAGCAGAAAGAAGCACACATCATGTTATATGGACAATATTATAACATTCGAACTTTGATCAGTTCATCAAGTTCACTGGCTGTTATTTGATGAATGAATTCACCCATTGTCTATATAAAGAAATAGCATGTATTATTAACCATTCCGGGTTCAGAATCAGGTTACAAAGCTGCAGATATGGAAATCCTTTATACAAAAACTTAACATTCTCTTTCTATTTCTCATAAACAAGCTATACTGAAATCTTATTAAAGTTTACATATAAGGTGGTTTCCCCTTCGATTTTCTTGACATCCACACGTTTATCACATAACTTAAGCTAATCAACCAGAGGAACATACCTGTCCTTTCTCCATGAGCTTATGTAAATCATCAATGGCAACGATTAAATAGATCTATGTTGCCAATCTAAAATTTCTAAGTTTCTCCAAAAGGCACGAGATCTGCTAATTCTCTCTCTTTTTGTAATTTTCCTACTTAATTTCTAGCAGCAAAAGCCATTACATGCTCTCTCCATCCATGTTTTCCAAAGGTAAAAAGGCCGCGATGGATACACTACCGCCATCCGATTATACCACTGGAGCATGTTCCTACGTGTACATAGTAGACAAAATGCGCATTTTAACCTTCATCAAAAGATGTATCTTAACTTAGTTGCTGACGTTTCAATGATATTTTAACGATATAACATCTCCAACCTTGGACTAGTTATCTTCTTTAATTTGCTTCCTCTGGCTGTTTATTCTCTCATGCGATTCGCCATGCTATTCTCTTTGATGAACCTGACCCAATCGTCCCGGACGTAGAATCCAGAACGTAATCATTGATGCCACAATACAACATAAAAAGAACGAAACTACAAAGTGATGAACCGAAAATGCCAGCTGGCTGACATCTCAGAAGAGCATCCGACGTGGAACTTATGGACAAAAAAACTTATGAAAAATACTATCTTCCAGCTCCAACATTCATTGACCTCTAGTGTATTTAACATTATTTGGGCATACAGACGCATGATAGGTATTTCAGGAAACATAAAAGTGGCTTACCTGATGGTAGTATGTTGGCATCCATGTAAGAAGGATGAATGTTCCCCAGTTATGGCAAAAGTGGGAAACTATAAGGGCCCAAACGGGAGGCTTTGATAAGATCTCCCTCCAGGGTATTGTGGTGACTGGCTCCTTGGAAATGTTGTTCCCAAGAAGAAGCTTTCGTTCTTCAGAGCTAAGGTCAGGATCTTCAAGAGGCGAGCTGTACGCCTGCCACAGAGAAAGAGGCAATAAAAATTGTTTATAGACTGTGAATAATGATCGGAAGCAGGGACTTGATTGGAGTACTGAACAAGAGATAATTAGAAAAATAGATCGCTTTCATATGACAGAAACTGTGTAGACATTTGGGACTCTACTCGTAATGCAGAAATCAAAAAGTGTACCTGATTAAGCCATATAACGAGCCAGGCAGATCCAAGAGAGCCAAAGGAGTAGAACACTGAAGACCAGCCAAAGCTGTCAATCAAAAGTGGCGAAAAGGCGAACCCAATTACTGATCCGAGGTACATTCCACTATATACTAGGGCCAATGATCTGCTTCTCTCTGATACAGGGACCCACTTTGATAGAATATTATTCATAGCGGGCATAGCAACACCCTGAAAACAAGAGACGCGATCATTTTCAGTTCAAATAGAAATTTCTATAATGATGGAGAAGATACAAGGACTATATCATGTTACAATCCCTGGATATCCAGATCGATGCATGCTTCTTTTTGGCAGAGCTCGATAAAAAGTCCTTGAATGCCATTCCCTCTTTCCACGGGGATCACATTGAAATCCGTAAACTCACCTCACCAATACCCATGAAGGCACGCACGATAAGCAAGAAGGGCAATCCTGCCTTCGCTGCAAAAGGCGTGAGGAGTGTTGCAATGGACCACCAAACAACTCCAAATCCTAGGACGCGCTTTCCACCGACTTTATCTGCCCATATTCCGCCAGCAATCTATAAAAAAGGACAGGAGAGGCATTAGATCAGAAGAATGAGAAGCAGAGGACTTTGCTCTATCAGAATAGGAATGGCAGCATTAATGATTCACAACAGATCATTCATAGCGTTCGACTGACATAGATCTGTTTGCTTAAAAAGAAGAAGATAATATTATGACTTACGTGATCAGCCGAAAAAAACACGGATAACTTTTTTCTTCTGAATGGCAAGGCTTCTTTCATGGATGAGATGGAAACCAAATCTTCCATCTTCAGATTTAAATATCATTAAAGGAAAATTAAAGCGAATTCTTCTTAAATAAACCTAGAATGACCAGTGGGCATATTTGATATCAGGCTTTATTCGATCAGGTGAAGTCAGTTTTTCCACACCATCAATATGGATTCATTGAGGCAAATTATACAAGCGCGTCACCTAGATAGTCACCCTACTTCAGGGGAAGTTTATTCGGGAAGGAAAACGCCGATGAGGTTTCTACCTTGACAGACTAGCTTTCCGCAATCAACTCGAAAATTAGCTTGTCCAGACGATATTACCCGATCAATTAGTTAGTGAATGAACTTAGAAGCACATCAAAGTTAACAGACTTTGCAGTCGCTACCATGATTAACCCTTCAAATGTAACAAGTAGGGGAAGAAGAAGCCTACTGAACGCATCCACTTTAGGGGAGAAAAAAAAAAAAAAAAACCAATTACACCGAGGGTGCACCGACCTGAGTGAGAAGGTAGCCCCAAAAGAAAGAGGACTGAATCAAGCCTACTGTGGCAGGGTTCCAACCAAACTCTGCTGACATGGGGAGGATGGCAATGCTCATGTTCACCTGCAAATGAAGGAAACCCGGTGCTGGTTCGACAGTCTCTTCAGAGAATTCAATGTCGGAGAGGTCAAAAGAATTGGAGTTGGGGGGAAGTAAATGTTCACACCACGTACACGGTCCATGTTGCAGAGCAAGAAGGCGGTGAAACATAGGATAACGATCACCCACCGCTTCGGGATGGAGTCGGATAACCCATCCTTCTCATCACCCGCGGCCTCGTGCAGAGCATCCGCGAACTTGACCATTTCCGGCACCGCGGAGTCCGCCCCGACGTCAAAAGTTTCCGACTTCACGTCCGCTCCGCCCCCAATAACCCCCACGACCACCGACCTCCGCCGGGAGAGGCACGCCCCCCGGAAGAGAGAGGCAGGAGGACGAGGGTGCCGCCAGAGCCCACGGCCGATCCTCTCCTTTGAGGAGCCGGGAATTTGCCCCCCAGCTTCCAAGGCCCTGCCGGCCTTCTTCTGGGCCGGGACACTGTTGACGGCGCTAGCGGCGCCGGCCACTGGCCGTGCACGTAGCGGTGAGGAAAAGGGAAGGAGGTAGAGCCCCATGGCGAGGAGCTCCTCTTCCTTCTAGATCGCCTGTGTCAGATATCTCTGACCCATATGAGCGGGGGAAGCAGAGACTACTCGCCGTATGGCGCAGGTATATCACCAACGGTCTGCGAGGCCCCCCCTCCCATGGCTGTCCTTGCGACATCTGTGCAGCCTCCGCCGATATTTTTTATTTATTTTCAGTTTCTTTCCTCTCCCGGAAAAGATCTACGGGCATATTCTAATTCTATTTTCATATGCTCCCATTTAATTGCAGAAAATATAATCCGTGCATACCAAGTTCGTTCGTTCAGACACATCGTACGACGTCTATTATCGCCCCGTTATGACCCACTCGTTCATGCGCCGGTCGGGTCGGACCGGGTGAACCTTTGGCAACCCATTATGGCCCGACGTCACTGCGGTTCCCCCCCCCCCTTCCCCTTCCCCCCTCTTCTCTTACCTTGCACTGCCACTCCAGAGGAGGGTCAACGCCCCGCCATTCTTCTATCCCTCTCTCCCTCTCTCTCTCTCTCTCTCTCTCTCTCTCTCTCTCTCTCTCTCTCTCTCTCTTTCTCTGGTGTCGCCGCCCCTCCCTCCCTCTCCGGCGAGGCGGGAGCTCTCTCAAAGGTGACGGTGAGTGCCAGCCCGAAGACGACGGTGGCTCTGCTCTGGGCTTGGCCAGGAACAGCAGCAGCAGCAGCATCCGTAATCCCGCCTGCGGCATCCTTTATGGCCGCTGATTAATGGAACTCAGTAATTGGGTGGGGGAGGAAAGGCCTCTATGTTCCTCCCTCCTCCTCCGGCGGACGTCCCCCCTCTTCCGTGGCCGGCATGAATTGTTCCTCACGGGTCCCCCCCGCCCCCGCCGTGGAGAGTTACTACCGTGCTGTAGATCGGATGGACCCGTGAGCGGAGCAACAGCTCCTGCTCGGTGGCGAAAACGAATGAATGTGGAACTTTACTACGCTAGTAAATACTCACTGAAGCTGTCGGCCCGTAGTTCGATCGGCGGTATTTCCGTAACCTCGCCTCATCGGCGGGGACTGTGGAAGCCGATGCCCTCTTCTTAATCCCGCTCGCTCAATCGGTCTCGCCTGGTTTTACAGTCGATTTGATAATTCGGTGGCATAAAAATGCGTACATGGGAAAACTAATGTTTAGCATTGAGACAGCGACCGTCGCAGATTGGGGACGTTAACAAGAAGAGAAAACGGACTGCCTGCGGGGGCACTGTGGATCGACCGACCGACCCTAGGGGCTGTGGCGGCTACTCGCTGTGAGGCTGATGGAGCGAGCAGTTGCCGGGTAGCTTGCTCTGTACATGGGCCAGGCTGGCGACCAGATGTCCCCCCAACGTTAAGCTCCAGTGAGCGCCACCGACCACCTTCCCCATCCCTATATCTCTTCAAGGAACCGGCGGTGAGGCCACGGAGTCAACGGCGTCACCTTCCTGCCTCTCTGCTTCCCTGTGCTGCTGCGGCTTTATTCCTCCTCCCTGCTTTCGTCGGCTTTCTGCAATTCCCTCGCTGCCAGCGCCATGGAGCTTGCCCAAAGCAGCCGCAGAGGATTCTTCGCCCTTTTGTCGTTCCTCCTGTGAAAACCCATCGGGCATGGGGGGCCTAAGAAAGAGCATTTTCGCGATCGTCGGGTCCCTGTTCTTCCTCTTGTTCTATCTGGGTTGTATCTTCTTCCCCCCAGCTGCGACTTCCCATCCACCTCTGTCCAGGAAGAGGAGGAGGAACATCTCCGTTCTTTCCTCCCAGTCCCAGCGCATGCCCTCCGCCGCATCCGCCGCATCCGCCCCTCACGAACCCCAGGAATCTTCCCCCCTTTCCCTCCGGTCCATTCTCAGGCACCTCGTCTGTTGTTTCTTCGGACCGCATTCGCGGCAGCAGAAGCGGCGACCGCACGTAGCAGCCATCGGGCCGCTTCCTTCCACCCAGCAGCAGCTGCAGCCCCGGCACCACCTCGTCTTCCCCGAGGAGGCCACCGCCAACCCGAAGGCGATCGCGTCGTCCAGATTCCTTGAGAAGCCTGACGAGCTCACCCGCAGCGCCTCCTTGAAGCGCTCTTCGTTCACCTCCAGAGACGACGTGTTTCCCTGCGCGTCCTGCGGAGAGGTCTTCACCCGGAGCCACCTCCTCGACCTCCATCAGGCGGCGAGGCACGCGCTCTCTGAGCTCACCGACGGCGACTCGGGCCTGAACATCGTCCGGATCATCTTCCAGTCGGGGTGGAATGGAAGGCGGGGGAAGGAGAGCGACAGGGTCGATAACAGTGTGGTCCCTATCGTCCACCGCGTCCTGAAAATCCATAGTTCCCCCAGGATGCTCGCTCGCTTCGAGGAGTACCGGGACTCCGTCCGGTCGCGAGCAGCCGCCCGGTGGGCCGCCGGCTGCGGCGGAAGCGCGGACGAGCGGTGCATGGCGGACGGGAACGAGCGCCTCCGCTTCTACTGCGCCACCTTCCTGTGCGGCCTTACGCAGGAGGGCGGCAATCTGGGCATCTGCGGCAGTCCCTTCTGCTCCGCGTGCGGCATAGTGCAGCGCGGGTTCGTCGGCAAGGATGCCGACGGCGTGGCCACGCACACCACTGGGTGGGGCGCCCACTCGCACTCGTCGCTGCCGCAGGAGCTGGAGGGGGAGTTCGAGTCCATGAAGACCCGTCGGGCGATGCTGGTGTGCCGGGTAGTCGCCGGCCGCGCAGCCCTCGGCGGCGCGGGAGCTGCCGGTGACGGGGAGGGGGACCACGGGATCTACGACTCCGTCGTGGCGGCGGGGAGGGGGGGCGGCGGCGGGTGGGCGGCGGAGGATCTCCTGCTTGTCTTCGACCCGAGGGCGGTCCTCCCCTGCTTCGTCATCATATACAGCATTTGACGGTCTCCGTGTCTTCGTTTGAGGAGTCCTACAGCCGGCTCGTATGTACTCTCACTTGGTGCACACTAGATGTTCGACTTAATGTTGTGACCGCGATACCGCGTCAACGGATCATCGAGGAAAAGCTGTCTCTTGTCGGTGCCCCATTTACTAATGTCTCAGTTTCCAATAAATAAATAGAGTTCAATAGCACGAAGCAGACAGACCGCATCTTCCTAGATGGCGTGCCCGTAGCAGAGACCGTAGCAGTGAGTGGGTCAGCTGGCAAGGCACGAGCCTCTAGGGCCCACCATCCCATCCCTTGCCGGGCCGAGCCCATCTCACGAAATCCTTGGACGGCGGCAGCAGAGAAGCGCCGCGTTCAGTAACAAAAGAAGAAATGCCGGCGAGCGGACAGAGAAAGGTAAAGGCAGAAGGATAAAGCCCCGCGGACTGGACTCCATTAACCACGACGACCCAGCTTTAGACAGAGAGAAGAGAGAGGTGGGGAGAGAGAGAGGCCCCAGGTTCATCATAGGAAGAGGGAGGATAACGAGGAACAAGAAGCGAGGGACAGAAAACCTAGGAAGAACAGGAGTGATACAGTAACTAGGCACGTTATGGGTCGAAGATGCCTCCTGCCGCCGGCTACGAGCTGGACCGGAAGGGGATGGCCCTGATCACGACCTGGTGGTAAATGGCCGCGAGCCCCGCTCCAATGAACGGACCCACCCAGAAGATCCACTGCGCGGGAGAAGAACGACGGGGGTCGTCCACGGGGGGGAAGATAGTGAGACTTCATCTCCGTTCATGGTGAAAGAGATAGATCCATATATATATATGCACTGCGAGCGAGCGATATCACTTACGTGGTCGTCCCATGCAGACTTCCTGTTGTAGATGATGGCGGCCCCCAGGCTCCTGGCCGGGTTTATGCCCGTCCCGGTGATGGGGATGGTGGCCAGGTGAACGAGGAAGACGGCGAACCCGATGGGGAGCGGAGCCAGCACCTGTTCCGTTGAGCCCCTGCGTCAGTAAGAACCAAGGGAGAGAGAAATTGGGAGGCTCCACCAGACGGTGCGCTCACCGGGACGTGGGAATCGCGGGCGCTACGCTTGGCGTCGGTGGCGGAGAAGACGGTGTAGACGAGGACGAAGGTGCCGACGATCTCGGCGCCGAGGCCATCGCCCTTGGTGTACCCGGGGGCGACGCTGTTGCTGCCGCCACCCAGCTGCTGGTAGGGCGACTTCTGGAACCCTTTGACCACGCCGGCGCCGCAGATGGCTCCCAGGCATTGCATGACCATATAGAACAGTGCCCGTGTCAACGACAGCTTCCGGGCCAGCAGCAACCCGAACGTAACCGCCGGATTTATGTGCCCACCTGCAATGGACGCCACAGGAGAGTGAGGTTCCATCAGCCGCCAGATATCCGGTCCCCGGCGGGAAGATTCAAGTCCATCTCTCTCTCTCACACACACACACAATTGAGAAGATCTGATTCCCAAGGCAGTTCATCGAAGTCTCCTAGCAGAAATCTCGGACGCAGTAAAAGAGAAAATTTCTACAGACAAATATTCCGGCGAAGTCTCTACCGAGGAGTCAAACCCAGCACAGAAAGTTGCAGGGGAGAGGAGGAACGGGGGGCAGGGGGGAGGGTTCGTACCAGAGATGCCGGCCGTGCAGTAGACGAGGGCGAAGATCATGCCTCCGAAGGCCCAGGCGATGCCCTGGATCCCCACAGAGGAGCAGATGGAAGGGGAGCGCTTCACACCCATGACGGTCAGGATGGTAATGTAGAGGAAGAGGAAGGTGGCCACGAACTCGGCGATCCCCGCCCGGTAGAAGGACCACGACGTCAGCTCCCCAGCCTCGAACAGAGGTGCCGCCGGCGGCTCCACGTAGTCCTTGTCCCCCTGTGCTGCCGTCCCGATCGGCTGCCTCTCCGAGAACTTGTTCGCGCCGACCCTCACGTCCTCTTCTCGGAACTCCGCCATATCCCCACCTCTCTCTCGTTCTCTCGCTCTCACTCTGCGTGCTGCACTCGCCCTTACCCTTCCCCTTCCCCTTCCTTCGACCTGCTTTATCTCTCTGTACCTCTTCTCGACTGCTTTTTCGTGGGTTGTGGAGTACAGAGGAGACGGCTTGCTTTTTAAAGAAGGGGAAAGGGACCTGGCAGTGGGGTAGGTACCGCCCCTTTGTTTTTTTTCTTTCTCTCTCTCTCTCTCATCAGGACCAAGTCTCCATTTCTCCCTCGAGAGAGATAATTCCGCGACAAGAGGAAAAATACATCACGACTGAGGCAGTCGCCCGCTAGGGTTAGCGGGGGCCGACTCCACCGACCACCCATCGACCCGCAGGCGCGACGAAGCCGTGGGGCCTCCACCTCCCCGTCCGTTTATTCCCCCATTGTATATTCCTAGAGAGCACTCCCTGGAGTAGCCATTGGCCGGCGGCGGCGGAGGATAACCTACGAGGATAATCAGTCCACGGGGGACGGCGGCCGCACGTCCCCGAGGAAACTACTTTAGATTGCTCCGGTTACTCTTCCAGCTGGGGTGGATGTCCGCTTCCTAATCCCAACATGGAGAAGATAAGAGGAGAGGAGGGGAGGGACGCGCAAGGTGCCAGCTTTACCAACATTCATTTCAGTCCATGTGAGCTTCACTTTGATATCGTGGAAGATGATGCTGTCGGACCGAAGACTGTGTTTCATATTCGCCGGTTAAAAACTTTAATCGGATGATTATGACCATGGAGACACTGAAGTGAATAATCTCGACTCCCATCCACAAACGCCGGTGACTTCGACCAAGCAAAGGGAGCCCAGCCCCTGGGTTGTCGATTGTTCTTCTATTCAATCCGTACTATGGATTACGTCTGACGATGAAATTTGAGGCCACGAGGCGGTAGCGTCTGTTCCTCCCTCCGCCGGTGGGGCGGTGCGGACAACGACTATAAGACCTATGCTAAAGAGGGCGGCTGCGACGTCACCGCCGGTGCCGACCTCAGCCGCCCATAACGACGGGAACCTCTCTCTCTCTCTCTCTCAGACATCTGTATAGTACATGTATATGATATGTATTTTCTTCCCGTTGTTGCTGTCACTCAACTCCATCTACTTTTCTTTGGGTTGAGCTTCTTGACTTTTTGCCGGCCGGGACTGCTTCTGCTCGGCCGTCCGCTTGTAGTGTAGATCACCCTCTTCAAACTGTTTGAGCTCCGTCTAAAATCAGGCAATAAGGTGTATAAAATTCCAAGGACAGTGACGGAGAGGAGAAGGTAGAGGAGTGCACAGAAGACCTGTCTTGCGCACATCCTACTTTGGCTAAGTTCTGTTCTAAATGGGCATTAAGGCACACTTTTTACTACTCCGTTCAATCGAAGCATACAGATCATGTATGCTTTAGTTGACCTTACTTGACCTCTAGACTCCTTGCAAAGATATGAACATCTTGGTTTTAGGATCACGTATAAGAAACATATAAAGTTATTGAGAATATAAATTATCTTCGATATTGTGATAATCAAAGCTAATACGTTTATGTTCTATCATATCATAACTGCTTTGTCGTCAACATGTGACTTGTGCAACTTTAATAAAGAGTGGATCTTAATCTGAACGTCTTGGAGAAAAACAAATAACCCTTTGTAAGTGTGGCAAACAATCGTAAATGATTGTCTCTTCCCTTTAAATGGTTATCATGCAGCGCAGAATTATCAGTTTCCTTTTTAGGTTGCTGAAGCATGTAATAATTAGAAGTTTTTCTTGTGTAACATCTATCTCACATGCCAAATGAAAAGTATGAAGTACGTCTTCCTATTGAGCATGCACATCCTCTAAGAAGATTTACATCTCTTTTGACGAACTGCATCAAAGTGATTTACTAAATGTCAATAAAGATTGAATTGAGATCTGATTACATCGCCAAATTAAACTTTAGCCCCTAGGTTACATACGACTTGCTAGACACATTGGAGGACTTTAGCTTCGTGTTGATTTAGCCACATCTCTTTCCCCTTGGCTTTTACGTCACAAGATACCAAGCATTAACATGTCTTCTTTGCCTTTGTAAGAGAGGGCCAAATGATGAACCAATTTAGAACAGAAAGACAAGAGTGAGGAAGTTAACCCTACGATCCTCTGGCATTGTGGACTTTCCACAATAAGTTCCTTACAATCCCATCAACGTTGGCACTTTGGATGTATGTGGACCACCCATGTGCGTAGTGTTCTGCATCTGCCTGTGTACCCCTTTGGGACAATGCTATAATCAAGGTTCTCTATGCAAAAATCTCACTCCCTTACTTTTGGGGAGTCAAATCCTCCACCAAGCGGAAAGTTTGACATTCTATTTGGAAGGTGAGAAATGAGATAATTACGAATGAGGCTCTCAAGTTACCAGAGGTTGGGATCATTCTGTTCGGCCGCCTTCTTTACTCGTCGTTATTTTCCCTTCATTAAGAAGAAACTGTGGTTGTGCCATAAAAGATTGTCACTTTCTTTGCCTGAAAACTCACGTCAGTCTAGAACAGCTTCTACCGTGCCAGTGTTATGTTGAGGTCTATTGGAAGTAGAACTCCTGATCTGCTACATATCGTGTTATGCTAGATGGGTTGTGAGATATGTACCTGCCATTCATCATAAAAGTTGTAAGCCATCTATTACTTGACGTCAAAAAAGTCAAGAGAGTATGTAAATGTCAGAAAAGTCTCCCACATTGATATTTTCAGATCTTAAAGCGATAAGAATTGTAGTCACAGAGAGGCTACTGAGAGAATCATTCTTATCATGGTAATTACTTCTTTAAATATATTTTTATTAATCTCATAAGACTAAGATCAAGTCCTCTAAATAGTATTGGCACTAGCGTACAGAACAAAAGCGATTCCATCCAAGGACAAGAAGCCCATCCGTCCCCGACATGATGCGCAGGGAATTTCAGCCATTCTTTACTTTTCTTGTCTTATCATCTTTCCTCGTGGCATGACGCCAAAACCTTCTCGATCTTGAGGAGATGCCTATGGTTTGGTCCTGATCTCAGTCTAGTGTCCTCCCGGGTTTTTTTGTTCTGGTCATCGGTCTCTGATTTGCCGTCTTGAACTTTGCTAGTGTTCATTACGTCCAGTCCTTCCCCCTTACTCCCTCTCGCTCATGATTTTTTGATTTGTTCGGGGTCTTCATCTGTCGCTAATGATGCACAACACTCCCGTTATTACAGTTTCCTTAGTGGAAAAGAAAAAAAAATAAAAAATCTTATGTGGGTGCTTACTCGGAGGTGGTTTACGACCAGTACTAGAATCACTGGGTTGTTTTGATAGGACCCAGAAAACCGAATGGCAACCCAGAAGAAGCTTGTGCGGTGACCAAGGCAACGAATGTGATAGATCATCACCTGACGGCTTAGGTGACAAGACAAGGTTCCTGGATGTGCGCTCTCTCTCGAATTTTTTTTCTCCGGAAGCATGCTGTGGACTATGGCATATTGTATTTTATTTTTCAAGGATAAATACCAAGATATATCCAAACAGCATTCACTGTTCACGGGATTCGGAGTGTTAATAGTCTGGATTATGCTACTCCGGTGAGAAAAAAAATGCATAGTCCACTTTCTTTTGGTCCTATATTGTTTCCATGATAGAAGCTCCTTTGATCCATCTGGTGATGATCTGGAGCCTACACCATATGACCGATATTAATTTTTCCCTCTGTATATCCTGACAGCGGGGAAGAGAGATTGAAACTAATGGAGGGAATCGTTTAAGGGCTCGTTCATGTTCACGAAGATTCTTGACTCCTGAAATAATCCACAGAGGTCCGAACCCTAAGGTTTCGGACGTTGTTCTTGAGACTATTAGGGGTCTTATGCCCTAGGCTGGATGGACCTGGGCTAGGTCCAAGCCCAGGTTGTGTCCTTTATGAGCCCTATGAACGGTCGTAGTGAGTGTGTGTGAGAGAGAAAGAGAGAGAGAGAGAGCGAGAGAGAGAGAGCGAGAGCGAGAGAGAGAGAGAGAGAGAGAGAGAGAGAGAGAGAGAGAGAGAGAGAGAGAGAGAGAGAGAGAGAGAGAGAGAGAGAGAGAGAGAGAGAGAGAGAGAGAGAGAGAGAGAGAGAGAGAGAGAGATGGGTAAAAGTAAAATAGAGAAATGGCTTGCTGTGGAATCGTTATGTCGTAACAAAAACGGCCCTTTTTCATAGAGGGTCAACCCTATGTGAGGATTTTACATTATCAAGGTAGCACCCACAAGTCAATATTTATTTTCCGACTTGTTCTAAGGGCAGACCTCCTCAATAATTGGGTTGGGCTGGCGTGATACAAAAATTACGGCGCATTAGGCCTAGATAAAGAAGACAGGACCAAGATGGCGGGGTCCCTGGCCTCCTAGTGGAACCTAAAGACCCGCTCCTCAGAAATTTGAGCAGGTCCGGTGTGGCCACCCTATTTAAGTCAACGGAATGGTTCAAGTTAGTCAATGGTGACAAAATAAAAAGTCAGAAATAAGAGAAAATTCTGAACAATGCTAACTTAAACCCCTACCCCTTCCCTCTTCGTTCATCTCTTTGACTTCCCAAAACCTACATAGTTTCTAAAACAGCTGCAAAATTCGGCTCTTTGTTAGACATGAGCAGACTCTTTTATTGACTTTTAGCGTTACAAACTTTTCGCTGATCCCAAGTAGCTAAAAGGGGAACCAAGATGGGGGGAGGCGGTCTATCTGGTCATTATTTTAGGCTTAATGTTAATTAGTTCTGGTTTAGGTAGACACATTTGTGGTAAGTCAAATGTGCCTGGTTTAGAGAGGAAGTTAACTCCTGTGATACCAAAAAGTTATGTCCTTTTAAGAGCTCAGTGGATGCCGGAAACGTTGACCAGAACCTAAAAATAAAGAAAAAAATAAATTTGGGAAGAGCCTCTAGGATCAGTAAACCCACGGCATATGTACCTCAAGTAAGGGAGCAATAGACACCTATTCTATTTAGTGTTGTATACAACGTGCATCCGTCCTTTGAAGGGAATTTCAAAACTTGAGGAACATGGATGACTCTCGAATGTGTGGAATCCGAAGTTCAACGGCTGGGATGTGATGAAGATACAGAGCGGCAGCATCACCGATGCGTGATGCGCGAAAGCAAAGGATCGGCGTACATGGCGGTGCAGAAACGGAGGTTCGGGGAGCGAACATGAACTCTTGAGACGTCACAGGCGACTGCGAAAAATGGAGGTGGACCCTCTTACAATCGGGAGAAACCATCGTCCCCAGAAGCAGGAGGAGGAAGAGATTATAGCGCGCAGTGAGGGTGAGCAGAGACTGGCCTTGGTTTCTTCTTCTTCTCCGTTCTCGGGGGTAAATACAAGGTTCGTTCCCCCCTTGGTGCCTTTTGTACGCTTCCGTAAGAGAGAAGCGTCCTTGGGATTGACGCGGTGACGATCAAGGCCGGCACGGGATGGAAAAGCCGGCGGTTTGGAGTCAACCCTGTAATACCTCGACAGCTGAAAGATCTTCCCCCCTTGAAGATGACGTTGCGGGATGTGATCCCAGTCCCACATGAAACCACTGTCCGGCGGTCTAGCGAGGTCCCTGGAGAGTCAGCGGTTGAGAGAGACCCAGAATGTTTTGCCCAAAGAGGAATATGTGGCAGAGAAGTGCAGCGAAAAAAGGCAAGGCAGGTTCTTACTTTTGACCTTCGTCTCTTCTCATCTTCTTGCGATGTCGCTCTGGGGCAAGAGCGTCCTAGAGGTCCCCAAAGTTTGCCAAATGAGCGAAAACCTTTTTATTTTTATTTTAAAGATATGATATTTATCTCCCAGATTGAGATGACAAGTTCATTTTTATTTGTTTTGTGTTAATATTTCTTTATTTTTCCGTTATCGTTTCCTCATGGAGTTCGATGGATGTTCGGTACCTCTCAGGGATATGGAACGCACTTGCTCTCAGGGATACGGCCGCTCCAGAGCAAGTTTCATCGACTCGTTGCCCAACGCTTCCCAGCTCGTAGAGCTTCCCCCTGCTGGAGAACATGATGACTGCAACCTCCCTCTTCGTAGGCCTTCTTCGGCAGGTCATTCCAGCTTGGAGAAGGCCACCTGCCAGTTGATCAAGAAAACACAACCCCGTACTGAACCGGCCAATCCAGATGAAAATCCACACATGGTTCCAACCATGGCTCAGTTTCAACCCACACAAGAGAGTGAAGTAAGACTCTTAATGGGCATGACAGAGCTGCTGAAGTATTCACAAAAAGTGAGGGGGAAGTCCACAATGAAACTCATCCATAAGATGATCGACGCTTGCTTATCAGCGAGAAAACAAACAGGAGGGAGATAATTTCTCGCATTGACACAGCTGTGAGCCAAACAAAATAACAAGCACACAATTACCGAAAATAATGAGCAGAATGAATGCGGGGAAAGCAGCACGGTGGTACAAAATTTGGCAGAGAAAGCAGGGTCTCTTTGATAACAAAATAACGAGGCTGTCAGTTAATTTTTTGTATGACATGCGAGAAATCGGGAAAGCTTCCCGAAGTTGAACTCAGCATTAAAACGAAAGGGAGAAATGACCTTTGTTGCGTAAACTTGCTCTTGACTTTTCGTTTTATAAGACAAGTGGGTCTTATACACGTGTCTTCTGGTCAATGCTCTTGACTCTATGCAGCAGTGGGTTTTTATTCTTCTTTTGGGCTCTCAATGGTCTCATAGGCTCTCCTAGATGACTAGAAGGTGGATTGGTCTGGCACTTAGTCTCCTCTTTCTTTTCAGTGTGAGGCAAAGTTCCGTATAACACATATAATGCGTTTTTGCTCCTTCAATAGCCACTTACAACATCTAGTGACTGCACAAATTACTGACCGTCGACTATCAGATAAGTGGCTTAAATTTTCCTCATGAGACTTTACATTATGACTTTGTATAACTTCGACTCTTTGTATTTCATGGTGAAATTTCCCACGTCATATTTGTCTTTTTTAAGACGTTTCCAACAATATGCAAATTTGCATTACCGACATAATTCATGAATAATAATTATTTGATGGGATCTGGTGTCGTGCTTTGGGTTAACCTTTGGAGTGTGTGAAATAATAAATTCTTAATTTAGTATGTCTGAAATAATCAAGTTAGTCGTGAAAGCATCTCAGTAGTCATTCATGTATGGTCATTTTAGCATATCTTGAAGTGGGCCAGTGAGAATGATGTGCATAATTAATTAGTCAATTACAAGATTTAACGAGTAAATGTCTAATCATACCAAGAAAATTAGACTTCTAAAAAATGTAGCGATAAAAAATACTTAAATCGTGATTGGTAAAGGCATTTTAAAATTGTTGTCTAATCCAAACCAAGATCCCAATCATATTTAAATAGCAAATCCAAAGTCCAACGATTACAACTTCTAATCATATTTGGGGAATCAAACCTCTTAAAGTCTGACAATTAGAACATTTAATCCGAGAACAAAAGTATCACGAATTTAATGATCATGTGAAATATATGAAGCTCTTAACATCTGTAATTTGGTAAAGTATGTCTCATGCCTCGAGACAAATGTGAGGTAGTATGAACCATATATAGACCTTATTCTCCTCAATTTTTTTCATGAAGCTCAATAAAATATTAACACATAATCATAAATGATATTAATGGGTGCAACTATCTGCACAACCAACGGATGATTTGTGTACATTATCGTTTATGTCAAGAGAGAGAGAGAGATTAATGAGTTTGATTCACCTTGTTGACTGATAATTGACGCCTTTCCAACCGATGAATTAAGTAATTAATGAGTTTGACCGCGCCTCTTGACCGCCGTTGTTTTATGCTTTATGCAAAATCGATGGGCGGGGGTCTGACCTGAATGACGACGGACTCCCGAGGGTCCACCGAACAGCAGGCCTCCGGTGTGGGCCCCGATGGATATGTGGGATGCGAAAGAGGAGCAAAGCGCGGAGGGAAGACGTTACGGTCGCAAGCGCGCTCTCCACCGTCAGATCGAAGTCGTAATCGACGGTAGAGGCTGGCCCCGGAAGGATTATTAAGAACCAGGAGTTCAACAGCCATCACCCTCCCCGTGAGATAATACCCACCCTCCCCTCCTCCCCCGCTGTACCTCCCCTGATCACCCTCCCGCTTCTCTCTCTCTCTGCACATCGCTCCTTAGATCTGGAGGATGGAAGGAGGACAAGGCAGCGGGGGTAGGGCGAGGCTACCGCTTTCTTCAGCCTCCTCATCCGTTCTTCTCCTTGCCGCGGAGACACTCTTATCGAGTTCTTGCGGCGCGGAGATGCAGAGGCCGAGGGACTCCGACGTGCCGCCCACCCCACCGAACGGCGACGAGCACATTATCCCTCTTCCTCGTAATCATCCCCTTCTTCCTCCGTGCGCAATTGGCGCCGCCCCTAGCGGGATGTTGCTGGACGAGCCGCCCTTCCTCTGCGGGCTTCTTTTGTGGGGCGGAGTCGGTTCTTCTTCAGTTTCAGATTTTACCGGGGGGGGACTTCTGCCGGCGGACGAAGGGCTCGCGGAAAGGAGGAACCGCGTCGCCGGCGCTTATCCTGAGGCTCGCGTGGTCAAAGGCCAGTGGACTACGGAGGAAGACAGGTAGTCAGTTGCCTTGAGAATCGAATGCGGTGATGGTTTAGAAGGTTAAGAGTTCCTGTTCGCTGCAGCTTGTTGAACATGCTGGTGAAGCAGCACGGGCTGCGGAAGTGGTCGCAGATCGCGAAGAAGCTCGCCGGCAGGATCGGGAAGCAGTGCAGAGAAAGGTGGCATAATCATCTTCGCCCGGACATAAAGGTCCTCCCTCCCTCTTCCGCTCTCGCTCTGACCTATTTACTACTCCATGCTATATGCGGTGCGATATGTAGGCCTGCTACGTATCGTGCCGTGGTTTCTTGGTGCATCTTGAATGGAGAAGGAGGTTGAAGGTCCATTTCAGTGCGCGATGGTGCACTGCGGTGGAAGATTGAGGGCCCCTCATACTCCGCTAGCATCTGTATCCGGGCGTCGCAAGCCTCAACCTTTTCTTCGGCTTCGTTTTTCCTGGGTATCCCGCTACGGTTCAACTCATCTTTTCAGGCCTAACCACTCTCTTCCTCCCGCAACCATGCGAGGCACCACACTTGCCTCGAACCAGTCAGCCGGTTGACCATCGTTCTTCTCGCCAAGTGGCCGTCCTCCTCTCCTAGCCCATGCGATGGCGGGCTGGTCGGAGCAGTGATTATCCGTCATCTTGTGCGTGCGGTGTAAATTGCAGCATACGCTCGCGTTGATCCTTCTTCTTCTCCTTTTCTGCATGTCTCTCTCTGTGCGCAGAAGGACACATGGAGCGAGGAAGAGGAGAGGTCGCTGGTCGAGGCCCATGAGAAGGTGGGGAACAGGTGGGCCGAGATCTCCAAGATGATCCCGGGGAGAACGGAGAACTCCATCAAGAACCACTGGAACGCCACCAAGAGGAGGCAGAACGCGAGGAGGAGGACGATGAAGGGAAGCGCGGACAGCGGCCCCAGGCCCACCATCCTTCAAGAATACATTAGGAGGCTGATCCTTATAAAGGCAGGCGCCGCCGCCACTCTCACCGCGGGCCCATCAAGCCACCACATCCTCCCGTCCCATCCCGATCACCCGACTTTCGACGTTGATTCCTCTGCATCGACCCTTACCGTCTACCCCGCGGAAGGGGATGCGCTGTTGTCGCAGGACCTGTTCATGTATTATTCTTACGCGCTGCGAATGGAAGGTATGACTACTCCAGACAAAAGCTTCCATGAATCGGACATCCTCTGGGGAGGTTTCCCCTCGGACGAGCCCTCCTACGTCTGCGACTACTACTACGACGACGGGGGGGTTCTTCCTTTCCTCGACGTGGACAGGTGTGGTGCAGTCCTAGATTCTTTTGGAGGCTACGGCGACCACTGTGATGAGGCCGCTACTGGTGCAAGCTACTACTGTTCCAGGACGAGCAGCGGCAGCAGCGAAGTCACGGAGACGTCCAGAGCGTCTCAGATTTCTCCGGACATACCGCGGCTGCAACAGATCTCGCGGACAGAGACACCCTCAGATTACGACGCTTGTGGCGGCTGGGATTGGAGCTGCAACAGAGGAGACCTGGACCTGATGGAGATGATAGGCCGAGGAGCAGACACCCGCTGTCGCAGAGCAACTCCCGATCACTTGGAGCACGGCCCCCTCGAATAGAAAGAGTTAGATCGTCATCATACCATCTCTCTCTCTCTCTCTCTCTCTCTCTTCTCGTGTTCGAGCTGCCTCTCCCACTAGCCTTCTGGCTCTCTCGAGTGCAGAGTGGGGACGAAGGCCATCAGGAGTATTCGCCTTGGTTTCTCTATTTCCCTGCATTCTCACTGTAAGCCGACCGTTGACTCCTCAATCCCGCAGTCATTGCCTCCCGTTTTCGTTTCTCCACCCACCAACTTTCCTCTCCCTATCCCCATCTACTCGTGTGGGTCGTCAACGTCTTGACTTGCACCCCACCTGGTTCCCGGAGGTGGCGGCTCGGCTCGTCTAGGACAACTCTGGCTTGAACCTCCGGCCCCCCCGTACCTCCCCATCAGCTGGCCTGGCTCGGACAGGCAGGATCCGTTCTCACCTTCTTCAATGACCTGCGTCGCAGTATGATGATGTCAGAACCTCCGCGGTTGTTGAGACCCGTTGCGGCGGCGACGGTAACGTCTCTCTCTTGTTCTCTCTCTCTCTCTCTCTCTCTACGTCTGACTTGTCCGACTGTCGATATATAATCCCTTGCGTCGTTTCGGCTCTTCTACTGTGTCCCTAGTACAAAAACAAAGACATCTGAATTATTGAGGAGATTCGGGCCGCCACCGCTGACCGTTACTCAGCAAGCGCCGCCGAGGTTGAGCGCCCCCCCCCTCCTCTTCCTCCGCTCCCGCCCCTCCCCGTCCTCTTCCTCCCCTCACGTCTGAGATTTCGGGAATCTCGGCATGGAAACCCTAGCTGCGCCGGTGGCCGCCTCCCAGCGCCTCCTCCCCTCCCCTTCCCGCCTCTCCGGCCGGCGCGCGTCCCCTCCGCTTTACTTGTCTCCGGGCGACGCGGCCGCCTCCTTGTGTGGTTCCGGTAGGAGCGCCCCTCCCATCCGTCTCTGCCATGGCCTACCCCCCTCCGTTTCCCGTCGCTCTGGTCCGCCGCCTCTCATGTGTCGCTCTGCGCTTTCCACTCCCTGCTCGGCGTCTCCGCCAGGTATTTGATCTGTAGATTGGATTCCCTTTTGCGATTCTCTTTGACTGTTAGCGCGGAGTCTCCAGCAGATTCGACGGTGACGGAGGGTGCATGTGTGGTTTTTTGCTTGCAGTGGTCAACGATGAGGTGGTCAAATTTATGGAGGCGGGCAAGAGAGGGAACATGGTGGCGCTCTCCCGCTGCATATTCTGCGACCACCTGACACCGCTTCTGGCCTACCGGTGCCTCGTCAAGGAGGACGACCGTGATGCCCCCAGCTTCCTCTTCGAGTCTGTCGAACAGGGATCCCATGGAACAAATGTGGTGAGCACGGACTGTATGAATTTATTCTCCTCGAATTCTTCTTCTGTGATTTCTCGCCTCACTAGGAGTAATGTCTTCTAGGGAAGGTATAGTGTAGTTGGAGCGCAGCCGGCCATGGAGGTCGTAGCGAAGGAGAACTGGGTGACAATCATGGACCATGAGGAGGGCCAGAAGAAAGAGGAGTTTGTGGATGATCCTATGGTGGTTCCGAGGAGGATCATGGAGAGATGGAGCCCGCAGTCCATTGAGGATCTTCCTGACGCCTTCTGCGGTAGGCTGAGCTTCTTGATATCTTCTACTCTATGTTCTATATCTTTGATGGTCACGAAAATTCTAATGTCAATGGATGGTTTCGTTGGAAAGTAGTTGATCCTCTGGCAGTCGAATAATTTAATAATATTTGGTTAATCTTCTTGACTATTATTCTTCCACCTATCATATGAAAGTGATTCCAGGCAAATGCATACAATTGGATTCGACGATCCAGCCTACGTGTGACCCACAATTATTAAGCCAGCTATCGCATTCTACTATCACACTGACACTGCCATTTCAATATTAAGCCGGATGGTGTTTGACTGACTAAAGAAAGTAAACTTCCTTCAAGGTCTGCGTTTGTTTAATATTGTGCTTTAGACCGATTCATTGATGTTTTAGTTTAAATCCCACTTGACATGGATGTGTTGGGGTCGTTTGACCAATCTGTGTAACATGTTCTGTCTGTTTTACTATAGAAAGCATTCTCGTGACGCCTAAAAATGTAGTATTCTTGTCTCCCTCTGGAGCATCGTATTTGGTGGCTCAATTCTAATAAAATTAGCTAAGGTTATCTTTTAAGGCACCAGTCTGCGAACTTAGTCTTCAGTTAATCAAAAGTATCAGACTCGTCAGTCTTTAATCATCATTATCATTTTTTCTAGTGCCTAGGGGATTTTCATGTGCATTTATTGCTCCTTGGGAATCGAGTTAGCCATTGTTCAAGCCTTATGCTGTTGGGTTCAAAAGTTGTTCAGATTTTCCGAGATGTTAAATGCGAGGCAAGAAAATTAGCCCATATTTTTCAGTCCATATGATATTTTGATGGAGCTATTTATTTTAAAATGTCTTGGATTGAGGGCATTCATCATTTCGGAACTTTTCAAGCTAACCCTACTCCAAATTTATACCATATTTTCGTTAGGGAGGTACATATTCTTTAACTTTTTCGTGATCGGGGCCCATTTCTTACAGAATCATTTGGTGATGCGCAGTTGAATTTAGAAGTTTGCCATTGAACAATGACGCTTCCTATGTAATAGGTGATTTCATTCACTGATCCAGTGGAGAGGCTATATGTCTGCCATTTTTCATTGTTTATTTTATTAACATTTTAATTTTTTTGGAAAAGTCAATCACTGACAAGTCTTGAATGATCTTTCCTTATTTTCGGGTTACATATGCTTATATTTATTTTTCATTGAGAAAGAATGCAATTATTTTATTTTTATAATTTATGGTAGCTATAACATCGGTTTCGTGTCATTGTGTCAACGATTTTTTGTACTCCAACATTCTTTATTTAATCAAACAAGAATCATGAAAGTTTCAAACGTAGAAAAGCTTATGGAGCTTAAGCAGTTGAGCAAATGTTTTTTAGTTTTTTTCAGGCGGATGGGTCGGCTATTTTTCATATGATACAGTTCGATATGTGGAAAAAAAGAAACTTCCATTCTCAAGCGCTCCTGAAGATGATAGGAATCTCCCAGACGTCCACCTAGGTCTCTATAATAATATCATAGTATTTGACCATGTGGAGAAGGTAAACTTGTTTTTTCTGTATCTATCACATGTGAGTTTTAATAATTATGAGAAGTACACTTGACTGCATTGGTTTCTGAACCATTTACGATTATGATACCTGTTTTTCTGCTATCTAACCGTAGTGGTGTCACCTTTAGCTGATCATTTACTGTCAGAATTTCATTTTACAAAGGTGATCCATCAGCATTGAGTCGATCAATTCAGAGGATATATAATACTCTGCGGAACATAACTGGATGTCTGGTCTATTTCTTGAATCAGAAAGCATATGTAATCCATTGGGTTCGAGTGGATCGCTACCCTTCTATCGAGTTAGCCTATCATGATGGAAAGCAGCAGTTGAACTTCCTGCTATCTATGTTACATAACGATAATCTGTGAGTTGGAGAGCACCCTATTGCTGTTTTGGTTACTTTTTATCTGTATGTCAGTTATTGTGACTGTGTTCTGAATCATGGTTATTCCTCTTCTGTTAGTCCAAAGTTATCAGCAGGATCCGTGAACTTACATACTCGGCAATTTGGGAAATCTCTGACAAAGTCAACCATGTCTAGTGAAGCATATAAGGGGGCTGTCATGGAGGCAAAAGAGCATATTCTTGCTGGAGACATCTTCCAGATTGTCCTGAGTCAACGTTTTGAGCGCAGAACATTTGCTGATCCATTTGAAGTATACAGAGCGTTAAGAGTTGTGAATCCAAGTCCCTATATGACTTATCTTCAGGTTTATAGACTCCTGGCAGTCTCTTTTAGCAATTTTTTTCGATTGGCTCTTGCATACATGATGGCAAAATCTGCAATGCTTTGACAATATTGGTTTTATAATTCATTTCTACTTTCTGACAAATTTCAGGCCAGAGGAAGTATTCTTGTGGCATCAAGCCCTGAAATTCTTACTCGTGTGAGGAAAGTAGGTCACAACCTTTTCTCTTAGTTTTAGTTGAGCTTGTTTGGCTCACCAATCATTCATTTGATATTAGTACAGTGCTTAATTGGTAGAATTGCTTTCTCGGTTGGTTATATTTTCAGGACGGCGTCAACTTAATTGAAAACAATAATGTTTTCATTTTAATGGCCATGGCACAATATCAGTATTTAGTTCCTGACGTCGTATTCTCTTCCTTGAGACTTCTGTGCACCTTTAATCATATTACACTGTCCAACAGGATGACTATTTAAAATTGAAGCAGTATGCGTTGCAGGAATTTATTTCACATTTATGTTCGGTAGAGATCATCATTCATCATAATTCACTAGCCGATTTCGATTTTTCATTATATGAGACTTTATTTGTCTTGGAAATCCTCTGTTGGTGAATTTTGAAACCTTTTGGTCCTGTCGTTTAAATATAGATGAGGGAGAAGAAAGAGAAGCAATAGTTAACATATCGCATATTGACTATGCACTGTATCTAGCACCCATCCTCATCTGCTTTTGGCGTTAAAATTCATGGGGTGACTCTTGGCTTATGCCGCAATTTTTTATTTGGATATGAGCTTGAACACCACTCCTAAATTTCGTTTCCTTTTCTGTACATCTCGTTTGGTTTGTGAAGCAATATTGTGGGCTTTGTCTTAATGGAACAAAACAATGGTGCCGACAATCGAACGTATCAATGCATCATTCTACCTCGTACCATGCCGTTCAACTTTATCTGCTTGGGTTGTGAATCTTCGTAGTGCGAGAATTGGTTTTATATCGCTTTCTGGCACGTGTGTAAAGTGGTGTGCCTCTGTTTTCCTCATGTTTTAAGGGAAAGGTCATCAATCGTCCACTTGCTGGGACAGCTCCAAGAGGCAAGACAGCGGGAGAGGATCTTGAAGTAGAACGTTGGCTGCTGAATGATGAAAAACAGTGTGCAGAGCACATCATGTTAGTTGACTTGGGAAGGAATGACGTTGGAAAGGTTCGTAAAGCGCTTGATTGTCTTGTACTTTGCATTTTCTATCTATTGGAGCCCCCAAACGTAAATGCCAAAATAATAACAACCCATATTTCTCCTAACCTGATTGGCAATCCGTGCTTCCTGATCTTCAGAGACCGTAGGGTCTCTGTTTCTTGTTTAACGACTGAGTAGATTTCCACAACTTTCTGTGTATCATGCCTTTTGACGCTCGATCTTGATGTGATTTTTTTTGGTGAGTTTCAAATCACTCTCCATGCTTGTGCTCTCTCTTGAGTTGAATTTTATCTGTGGCTGAATCATGCGAATCATTCAGTAAATCATGCTTCGGCAAATATGCGAAGCAATAAATAAAATAGAACTCCACTCAACACACTGCAGGAGAATTTTTCTGAAGAATGGTGTCAAGGTTCAAGACCTGCTTAATCTTTTTCTTGGGTATGACCACTTAAGGCTCTGATGCAACCTGGTCGCCTTGTCACACTGATTTTCGTTCGTCTTCGTACCATCTATCGTGCCACTACTCTCTGATGGTTACTCCTTTGCCTGCGACCTTTCAAGGAGTGGCAGAACAGTGGCCTCCATTATTTATCGTTGCGTCATATCTCACATTCCCGGATCCTTGTGGTTCAGGTTTCGAAGCACGGGTCCGTGAGGGTGGAGAAGCTGATGGATATAGAAAGATACTCGCACGTCATGCACATAAGTTCCACGGTAAGGAAGACCGCCCGCCGCCCCTCCCGCCCGCTTTAGAGTAGCATTGGCATGTGATTTATCGCTGTTTTCCGGGTTCCCATCTCTTTATCTGGCCGTGGGATATTATCAGAAAAATCGGCCTGGCCGAGACCCACCGAGGAATCCCCACGCCCGGTCGACATTTATTCTTTAGCCGATGATATGTTTGCAGGTCAGTGGAGAGCTGCATGATCATCATACGAGCTGGGATGCTCTGCGTGCCGCTTTGCCCGTCGGCACCGTGAGCGGTGCTCCAAAGGTTGCCCGTCCATACTCGTCCCCCTCTCCATAACACATATTTCGAGTCGACCTTGGCGGCTGGTTACGCGAGAGGAGGAAGTCATGCTTGATGAAATTAATCTAACATTCTCAGGTCAGAGCGATGGAGTTGATAGACGAGCTGGAGGCGACGCGGCGGGGCCCGTACAGCGGCGGGTTCGGAACGGTGGCGTTCGGCGGGGACATGGACATCGCGCTCGCCCTCCGCACAATCATCTTCCCCATCGGCCCTCACTATGACACCGTCTACTCCTACAAGGACGGGAAGCGGCGGCGGGAGTGGGTGGCGCACCTCCAGGCCGGCGCCGGCATCGTCGCCGACAGTGTCCCCGACGACGAGCAGCGCGAGTGCGAGAACAAGGCCGCGGCGCTCGCTCGTGCCATCGACCTCGCCGAGTCGGCGTTCCCCCATTGATCGATTGATTTGTGTGGAGGTGGAAAGGTGGTGAGTCATGGAGGAACAATAACATTATTCTTGCTTGCTTGTCTGTCGTCGGTCATCTTCTCCCCCCCGTCGCGGCTTGCCATTGCCATTGCGATTGCGATTGTGACTGAATAAGTGAGTGAAGGCCGTTCGTTATATGGTCCTCGAGGACACTCATGAGCAGTAAGCTTCAGAGAATTTATTACAGGGGGCTATTGCACCTAGTGGTCAGGAGACTCCAAGCGTAGAGGATCATCGGCGATTCACTCGCCGGGGGTCCACCCACCAAGTGTTGCCATTCACGCCGCTGACCCATCTTGGCACCGAAACGAATGAAGCTGAATTCTCGTCCGGAGAGTTGGGAACGGGGTGACTACCACACTTGATATTTTTATCTAGAGAAGCCACGACGGAAACAGTAAATGCAAGCGCTGCAACTCACTGCAGTCGGGGAACCGAAATTCTCACTGGAAAGAGTCCACATCCTGTCTCAGAATCGGTAGCTCTGCACTCTGGCGATGCAGCTGTTAGCCCCTGTTAAGTACTTTACTTGAATCCGTGGCAGTCATGAATCCCCAACTAGAGTTCTTAGGAAGGGGGCACACCCTGATTAGCGCTTACAACCAGTCCTGCCAATTTGCCAAACGCAATTCTACAACCAGGGCCCCGAGATTGGGGAAATGGTCAGAGCTAGACTCCAACTCCCCTGTGTATCAATGCAATTCATCATCCCTCATTATTAAGGTGGTGCTGATCCCCAGTCATGAACCACTCACTATCCGTCAAGTTTACCACATGTAAGCTTGTGGGTCTCAGGATTGACTCTTGAGGAGTCTTCTTCAGCTTATGAGAGCCGAGAAGTCAAAGATACTTCAATTTGGCAAGATTGCCAACCTCCTTAGACAATGATCTTCTATATATATACACACGCGCACACATACACACACACACACACACACAGACAACCCCTCATAACATAATTAAATCGTGGAGCTAAACTCATAAACCAATATCACATGTGAACTCTATTTTTTAATTTTTTCAAAAGAAAACTTTTATATCATAAAAGAGTTTACACCATTAGGCTTCAACACATGATTATCCCTAGCTGCAACATGCCTGCTGCTTAGAGATGCTTCTTCCCCTGGACCAGTACAGATTGACATGCATACACTCTTGGTTTTACTGAAACTAAAACGTAATCTAGGCTTGGTTTTACATGTGAACTCTCTTCTATTCTTGTGACTTGGAGATCTAACACTTGGAACATCAGCATGTGCGCAAAGAAATAAGAATTGAGATCAAATGCGGGAATTCATTTAAAAAATTAAGCGTTAAAAGAGTTTGACATTTTGATTTTTGAGAAGGTGAGGCAACGATCACGCTGGTTGTCAGGAAAATTCTTGTAACAATTTTCCTGTTTCCAGTTGGAGGAATATGAACTCTTTCTTTCTTAGCCTACCCCAAGGATTTAGTGGGTTTTCCAAACTCACCATCTGTTTACTAGGATATCATATCTCGGATAGAATAATGGATCCTAAACTATACATCCTAAAAGAAAAGAAACATATTTACTCAGGTATGACATCATCGTTCTACGACGGGCACATGTTTGTCATCATTCATATACTTGTTATCATTTAAGAAACGGAACGGTGACTTCAGTGGCGATGGCCTTGATGGGGATTCGGGAACGATGGTGAAGAGCCGGAGGAGGTAAGATTGAGCGAAACAGCTGTTGAGAGTGCGTAGAGACAACGTGAGATCTAGCAGGGATCAAGGGAACAGCTTGTCCAACTGAACAAACGGTCTTCCTGTTTTCAAATGATTTCAGGTTGAGAGTTGAGAAGAAGGGAGAGCCTATGGTGCAGGAAGAGGCAGTAGGAGAGAAGCGAGCTGAGGAAGAGGCCACGGCGGCGCCGCCGTGTTGCGAAGACGGAGGCGATCTTCGGGAGTTCCGTCGGTAGGGACTTTTTAGAGGAACATCTCTTCGTTAATTTGACCTTATGGAAGGAAACCGACGGTGGGGATTCAGCCACAGAATGTCAGCCCCGCACCCCTATCCAACGGTCAGGATTCGAGGCCCCAGACCTACGGCTGGCTGGGAGTCGACACGACAATTCCCCTCCCATATTATCATCTTATCTGCCTCCCTCTTCCCCATTCCTTCTCTTCCCTGTACCATCACCCCGCCCATCATCCATCCCCTCGCCATTCCGCACCGGCGCGATGGCGACGCTGACGACGGTGGCCGGAATAGGCGGCACGACGGGGATCGTCACCGGGGTGAGGCCTCTCTTGGTCGTCGGCACTTCCTCCCGGGAGCTTGGCTTCAGTCGGGCCGGGGCGCTGTCTGGGCTCTCCCTCTCGCTCTCTGTGGCGACTGCTTCTCCGGCTCCTGCCTTGGTTTCAGCTCTTCCCATGGGTAAATTTCTCTCCGACAGAGCCTCTGTACCATCCCATTCGCCCGTTGTGGGATGAGCCCAGAAAAGGTTCCTAAATCTCTGCCCCATTATCGGGGGTGTGTTCTTGAGGCAGTGTACTGCGGAAGAGGGGACAGGAAGACGGCGAGGGGCAAGCGTTTCAGTCGCTCCTATGGCAACGTGAGTAGCTCCCGAACTCTGTGAACTTGGGTCCTTGTTGCCCTTTCTTAGTTAAGAGAAGGCATGGTCGGGTAAAGTTCGTTTCCTCTCCTCCGTGTTGCCCCTGCCCCTCCGATAGGCGAGGCCCAGGAACAAGAAGAAGGGAAGAGGGCCACCGCGCGTTCCTGTGCCGCCGTCCCCGCCGAGGAAGGACCGGTTTGACGACGGGGAAATCGTCAAGATTGAAATCGACGAGTCCCTCTTCTCGTAGGCGTCCCGTCTGAACCGGCGGGACAGAGTTGCCGGCTTCTCTCTCTGGACATATCCGCTTCTCCCCCGGCATGGATCTTCCTCTCGTCGCGGTGCTCTTTCGTTCATGTCCTCCACCCCGCCCCCCCCCACTCCGTCAAGCTGAATTATGCGCTCTTGTCCTCCTCATTGCTAAGTTTTTCACTTGGTGCCATTCGTCTTGGATACATCGTGACCTCTTGCTGGTGAGTAAATGCGTCGCCAACCCCATCTTCGTGCTAATCATCGGTACCCCCATCTCCGAAGAAGTCTTTGCCCCAAGGAATCCTGTGAGGGAGTCGATTGCGATCTTCTTCCCTCCGGCGTAAGTCAGGAATGTGGGCTCGAGACGCGGGTTATTTTCCTTCCTCCATAGACTTGGGGCAGTGTAGCAATCCTGCTACATTCATCAGGAAGGAAAGAAGGAATTCAGGCGGGTGGACGAGCCAGACTTGGCACCATGCCCACCAAATGATACAAATCATCCTCACAAACGAGGCCAAACTCAGCTCCTAGCGCGCATCAAATCGCACGAAGCAGTCTGCTCAGTCGGTCCTTACAGAGGGACACAATTGATTCTAACCCGTATGTAATGCAGGTAATCTCCTCGTCATCCCCTCGGCTCTCCCACCTACCCCATCCATCTCAAGTGACGCTTTCTCCACCTCCCTGCTTCCTCGCCGCTCACCGCCTGCCTTCTTCTTCCCTCGATGATCGCGTTTTGCTTTCATATTTCTCCGGTCGCCCGTCGCGTCTTTGTCTCCCTGGGTCTTTCCGGCTCCGCTCGGGGTCTCCTCTGCTGGGATGGCTCTTCACGGGGTGCTCTTCCTCCGCTCTGCGTGAAGAATGGCCCGTCCAGCGCTCCCCCACCTCCGCTCTGGACGAGCCGCTCGTCCTGCGGGCGTCCTCGCCCTCCGTTCTGCCGGAATATGCCTTCCCTGGGCCCCTCCCGTGACTCCTCGGGGGACCCTCGAACTTCTCATGGCCCCACCTCGCGCTGCTGTCCTGGGCGCCCCAGCCAGTATTCGCATTCCTCTGCAGGTCAGGACACATCGTAAGGCCAGGAGGAAACAAGAACGCGTAAAAATAAGATCGCCAAAACGATGAATAAACAGAGGAATACCGTGGAACTAGACCCGGAAAGCTTATAGATAATCAACGCAGTAAGAACTAAACCCGGAAAGCTTATAGAAAATCAGTGCAGTAAGAACGAATGCAGTACGGGCGTGAGAGCTACGAGCATATACAAGTGTAATCAGCGCTGTGAGATACGGACATCGTTTTCTGTGAATGATGTTCGCTCCGGGATGAGCTTTGAGGGGGAGGGGAGACCAAAGAGGAACACGGACTAGAGGCAGCAGCAGGGAAGGATGCAAAAATACAGGCAAAACCAAAACCTGCGTTCTCGATGCAACTAGTTGGAAGCTAGAAGACGATGACGGTGGCGGCGGTGGGCAGGAATATAGAATACTCATGAGACAGAGGTCGTCGCTGTATGTGATCAAAAAAATCCTTGCGTCCGTGTAGACAACATTATCCTTTTTCTAAGGATTTTTTTGATCAAGAGTCGATTTCATTTTTAATCGATGGGCCCATCTGATGAAACTCTGGAAGTCTGTGTGCTTTCCCCATGGGATGCCATCAAAATAGATGAGGAATGCAAGCTTTTCAGATGCTCGGGGGCGCGCAATTCGGAACAATATGAAGGGGACGAAGGCCCATTCTTCCGTCATAATGCCCAGATCAGTAGCTGCTCTTTGCAGTCCGTCAAGAAAATGATAATTGCTCAAACGACATACTATTTCTCGTCAAATACAGCAAACGCGAACGCCTCTGATCACTGATGACCCTGCATCGACCGCAGGGAAAAAGACCCTGACCAGAAGTGGCGTAGGAAAGCGTGGTCGCCACACCAGCTTCTGTTCGCTAGAGCACATGGGAATAAAGATGGTCACGAGCTGCTGGCCGGTCATTCCATGCTAAATCCGCATATTCAAGACAATCGACACGACCACAAGAAAAAAATCGAGATAATCTTGCAGGAAAGAGGAAAACCAGCCTTGCGAATGGGAAGAGAAGGGGATCGTAAGAATCTGTCTCTTACTTGCTCATCATGAGAAAATTTGCACGAATCTCCTCGGTTGCATTCCCCTCGCTGGAAGGCATGGCAAACTCCCCGCGCCTCTCTCTTTCGTTTCGCCTCCTCCTCGTCCTCCTCTTCCTCTTTCTTTTTGTAATTACTAACGTGGTCGACCCTTATAATCCGCCCGAGCAGCTTGGCGCCATTCAGATTATCTGTCGGACACGATTGCCTCAAGTCAACCGCCAGCCGTGAGAGCATGCGGAGAAGAAAGATATAAGAGTGCTGTTTGACAAACCTACGGCAAGAATTGTGCTCCTCTGGTCTTCATAGGCGATGAAAGCAAAACCTTTCGATTTCCCCGTGCCCTTGTCTCGGACAAGATTAACATCTACAACCTCTCCATACCTGAATTTGAGGAGAGGAACTGTTATGATACAGAAAAGCTGCCGGAAATGACGCATTGACCCGTCAAAGCGATTACTGACCCAGGGCATGCCTCGCAATGCATGTAAGCATAGAGGATCATCCAACGAAGGCCATTATCCATCTGGTTTTATTCTGGATGACGACGGAAGTCTAATGTTTTTCTAAGAAGAATTTTTTTCAATTAATACGTCGCTCCTATGGAAACACACTGGACATTTTGTGGTTGTACCCACGAAACGAACGAGTTTCCGGGAAGAACAGAACGCGGTGGTGAGGATCCAGATGGGAAACCGTCAAAAGAGTCTCACGAAATCCGTAATCTCGAATCGAAAGTGTTTTCATAGATCAATGTTAAGCTCTGCTTACTGGGCAAAGACGGCGAGAAGATCTCCCTCCGTGAGGTCAAAGGGGATCCCCCCGACGAAGACGTAGGCCGAACCCTTGTATTTGGCGTGCCACGAAGCCTCCTCGGACAAGCCCAGAGACGCCTCTAGGGAGGTTATCTTCTGTATCTGCTTCACCTGCGTCAGGGGATTCATAGTTGCCGCTCGCTCCTCTCCCCGGTACCACCTTCGGAATTCTCCAGTACAGAAGCCAATGAAAACCTACGAACAGGGGACGCTGCTCTGGCAGCCAAGCCCACACACGCTCTGCCGGGAGGGGGAGGGGAGGAAGGGGGAGAAGGGCGGCGGCAGCGACGGTCCAAGGAAAAAGAGAGTTAAAAGAAGAGGAAAAAAACAAAATCAACAAAACTCCCGTCCTGAATTATTTATATCATTACTGCCCATTAAGCATTCGATGCTTGTAAATAGAGGCTTTTAACGTTGTAATGACGATGAGAGAGCCCATGTTTTCTTATTACTCTTTTACTTTTTAGGAGAAAAGGTGGCTGATTTGAGACCGAGGCGGGGGCCGACCGGAGGGGGAAGTACGGCGGCGCAAGCCCTGGCGGTGGGGGTAAAACCGTCAAGTAAAAATTAAGAGAGGGGCTGGCCCTCTCCCCCCCCCTGTTGGGTGAAAACAATGCGTTACATGTATTGAGCACATACCCCTAACGTTTTCTATATTGCGTCGCGTATCCGTTCTCTGGCCCCGCTCAGGCCCTAGAGAGAAGGGAAGCGAGGGAAGAGAAGGTGGGGGGAGCTGTAGAGGGAGAGGAGGAAATGGCGGCGGGCAGGGACGGCGTACCCCCGTCTCGTCTTCGGACGGATGAAGAGGTCTGCTGCTAGCGGAATCTGATGTGCGTCATCAGCAAAACCCTAACTTTTAGCGCGGAAAGGCCAATAACTTTCGTGCATCCGTTTTCTTGGATTTTAGGCGGAGACTACCGGGGAGATGTCTGCGGGACACTCGGGCGAAGGCTTACCCCAGAATGAGGAGCCCCTGAAGCATGACGAGGTCTTCACCCACTACCCCAACTCCATAACACTCCCTCCTGTCATCTCTGTTTTCTGGCTTTGACACAACACAGAATGCATGACAATCAGATTCCTTCTTTTCGTCTCTGTTTTTTTCTGGTGAGTCCTGCTGTGCTATCGTTGTAGAACATAACATATGCTTTTGCCGGAACATCATTCTAGAGCAAGGACCAAGTGAGTGGAGTTTTCATCTATTAGCTTTAAGCCTGTAGGGCTGGCTCCCAATGTATAATGCACAGATAGATATACGTATTAACCTTTGCAACTGCCTTATATCTGCGAACAAGCCTTGAAAGTCTAACTCATCAGGGGAGTGGAACGCAGGAGAAAATAAGGCAGTGGATGGTCAGGAAGCCGGGAGTGTCTGGATCATCATAAATTTAAAATATAATGTAGTAGAGGAGCATGATGTGCCGAACGCGATGATCGATGAGGGAAATGTGGAGAGATTGTTCCCCGGAGATAGTTTTGGTAAACAGAATCGTCGCCCATGTAATCGCATATAATACAGAGTTTGGGGAGGTGTGAAGGAGATGATCATACAAGCTTATACAGAGAAGGTGGGACTCCAGGAAAGATTTTGTTTAATCTCTGAATGGTATTTGCGCCTGTTTTAATCTCTGACCAGCCCGTGATGCAAGCTTAATTTAATCTCTTGTGAATGATGATTTGGACTTCTGAGTGTCATCCGGACCATAAGTTGAAGATGTCATTTTTTTCATATTGCTGTTCGTTCTAGGCCTCTGGATACTTTTAGATGGTAAAAATATGGATGAACATTCCTCAGGCCACCATCTCCAGCATCTTCATAGACTGGTCGGAGTGGAGGGAGTTGCGTCTGGTGAAAAAAGATCAAAAAAAGAATCGGTTGATGCATTGCATGTTAGGCGCTGTGATGCCCAAGGGTTCAAAATAAACAACGGTCGGACATCATGCAGATGACGATGGGGGACTACCCGTTTTAGTTAGATTGTAAGATTTGGATCAGCAGATGGTCCTTGGTCAGTTTAAGTTTTCTCTTCGAGAGGGTCTGACTCAATTAAAATTCTTTGAGCAAGAGCAATGGCAGCGCGGTGTGAGGGCCGATTCTCTTGTCGGGTTGGACGGTGAGAATCGTTAAAAAGGTAATTTTTCATGCTTATCTCACATCTTGTCCTGATTGCTACCGAGCATCCCATCTTAATCTCCATAAACTATCCCTCGTATTGAACAAATTGAAACTGGACGGGGATTTCCTATCCTTCACTCAGTCGTCCTCATTTTTATTAATCTCTAGAACTGATAGGTTCATAAAAAGATTATTCAATAAGGCTTAGTAAGGAACAGAGTGTAGCCATTAATGTCCCATTTTTGGAACTGGGCTTTTGGCCTTTCACTTACAGACGCCGAGAGCATCCGATTGTGAACCCACCATTCTCCACATTTCATACAACTTCACTCGGAACTTAAATTATTGGATTTAAATCAATGGGTCTCAACGACACATGCAACACCGGAAATCTATTCTCATCTACATAAAAGTGTGCGTACATCACCCAAAGTGAAACACACAAGATTACTTCTCTTCTCTCTCCTGTGGAACATGAATGGATATAAACGAGGGATGCTTTTGGTATATAGTTATTAAATTTTTCTTCTTTTAAAATACTTTTAATTTATTTTTCTCAACCTTTTTAGTTTACAGATAAGAGGAATCTCGACCGGCGTGGTCGACCAGGTCAATGAGAGGGGGGAGCAGCAGGAGGATCGAGGAGCAGATGATGATGTTGTGGAGGAGGAAGAGGAAGGAGAATGCGGCTTCTGTCTGTTCATGAAAGGGGGGCCTTGCAAGGACGAATTCATTGCGTGGGAGAATTGTGTGGAGGCGGCTGAGAGCAACAAGGAGAACATAGTTGACGCGTGCTTTGAAGTGACGGGGCTTCTGAGGAAGTGTATGGAGGCACACATTGACTACTACGAGCCTATTTTGAGGGCCGAGAAGGCAATGGAAGAGGAGGCCACTCGAGAAGCGTCGGAGGAAGAACAAGAACCCATCACTCGGGATATCGCAGAGCCCGCAAAAGCTTCTGGCGCACAGCAAGGCAAGTAGGCTCGTGATCGGCCCGCTCCTTTTCTCTTCTTCCTTTGCTGCCCGATAATAATCGCTCGGCACATTTGGTGCCTCCTTGCCCGGCGAGTCAAAAAGTTTTGACCCTGAGTTTCATTCTGGCATTGGATTGTCTCTCGTCTGGCCATCAATTAATTCTCTGATCGGGTTGTGGCGTCTGCCTACCCATTCATCCGCTTTTCTTGAAAATTTCTGTCTTTGCGAACAACTGTTCTATCAGGTGTATTTACCACCCGAATCGCCGACTGCTATACATCTTTTCGATAGTCCTGGGCCTGCCGTGGGAATAAGCGGATTGAGTTGAACAGCAGTTAGTTCCAACAGTGTCATGTATTTTACAAGAATTATATCAATCAATTGTACTCTGTGCGGGATCCCATCCGAAAAACTGTCCCAAGCTCTGAAGATTCTTCGGGATATAAAGCAAATGCCTGGCGTCCTGGTCGTCTGAATCCTCGCCTGAAAACGGCAGAGGATCCCCCCGCAAACTCTCTTCAAATCATACTGAGTAGTAACAGCATATTGGTGTAACGTCCCAGGCTCTGAAATTATACGGCGTGCCCTTCCATTCCCAGGCTCTGAAATCACTAAAACTTACGGTGAAACAAGCGTCCACGCAGAGGGGTACAGGAGCAGAGGAAGATACAAATAAATTATTCTCATTGCATTTCTAATGCCCTCGAAATAATACAACTGCCATGGAAGGCAGATCAACCCATCTCATGTTTGCGTTTCTCCATGGAAATCTGCGATGAGAGAGAGAGAGAGAGAGAGAGAGAGAGAGAGAGAGAGAGAGAGAGCTCAGACTACTCCGTGCCTAGTGCAGAGATAGAGAAAGAAGATAATCCACTTGATGATCTCATGCCACCGGCTCGAACTGCTTCGTCGCACTGTCTTGGAAGAGAGTTTCGTATCTCAAGCCTCTGACGACATCAAAGAAATGCGCGACTGCCTCTTCTGGTGTCCTCACAAGGACACCATGCCCCAGGTTTAGTATGTGGCCCCTAGGTCCCGCACATCCCACAACCCTTCGGGTCAAAGAAAGAAAGAAAGCTGCATGTTAATATCTCTACACAAAGCAGACAATTTCTTGGTGCACTTGGCATGAACTGGGGGAAAACCAGACTGATAACACAGCCGGAAAGTGCCAAAATCTTGTTGAAGCATATACTTTCGCAGAACATACCTGTGGATTTCATCTGTTAGGACGGGAAGTGGGCCAAATAGATAAGCGGGGTCGACGTTGCCTTGTACTTTCATCTGACTTCCCAATCGCCTTCTTCCATCAGCCATATCTACTGTCCAGTCAAGCCCTATAACATCAGCCCCGGTATCTTTCATGCGTTCAAGCAGACCTCCATTACCGTTTATATATAAAACCAGTGGAGTCCCAGGGCACTTCTTCTTTACTGCGCTCACTATCTGCAATAAAAATTCACAAATTGAAGAATACCATTAAAAAGTCGTATAAGGAGGGAAATTGACCCTTAACAACATCTACTTGGAAGCGACGATTTGACCTGTCTTTTTTCCCTTTTTTTTTTTCTAAGCCAGAGGGGGCCATAAAGGTGTACTCACAGTTTTCCGGATCCAGACGACCAACTCCAGCTACACGGTCATTGATTAAGAGCAAACATCTCTATTGCATCGAAAGCTAAACTGGAAATTCATTTTTCAGAAAAAAAATCTCAAACATGGAAAGAGAATCTATTCTCAGGAACGAGCACCAGAAATATGAAAATTTGAGTTTGAAATGTGTATCTTGATGGAAGGCAGTATAATCTCTGCACACTGTTTGTCTACACTTTCATTTAGACGTTGCAGGGATTTCAAACGAAACTTAAAGGGGAGATAACTAATGTATGAATTACAATAGGAGGAGAGGTAAACAATGGTATGAATAGAATACACCTCAACTGAGTTAATTTCAAGACAGAAGAGCTTTGCAAGACGGTAAGCACCATATTCAACCTAACAAAGCGTGACACCCTCCAGAATAATCTTCCAATACTAGGAAGACGCTGAACAGAATGACCAACATTCTGGACTGTTCTCAGTCGCAGATCTTGGCGACAAAAAAATAAAATAAATTAGCGGCCTCCACACAGGACTATTTCCAGTTACTTATACTTTTCCGTTCAAACTCTTCAAGAAATCATAAGGAAGTAAAAATCCTAAGCAGTATACGTTTCAAACATGAAATTTCAGGGAAAAAATAGAAATCAACAGAAAGGAATAAAGATAGTTCAATACATAATAAGGATTAAGGAAAAAAAAAACGTCTTCATTACCTCCTTAATGTAAGGCTTTGACCACCGGTCCCACACATCAGGTGGCAACTGCCCACCCCATGAATCAAAAATTTGAATACAATGAGCTCCACAATTCACTTGGTATACAATGTAGTCAGATATTGCCTCCGTCAGGTGAGACAGCAGAGTCCTTAACACATGTGGTGCAGTGTGGCACATGCGCTTTATGTTGGTATATGTACGAGTCGTACCCCCCTCCACAATGTATGTAGCTATTGTCCATGGTGCCCCGACAAAACCTAGCACCGCAGCCTTCTCTCCTACCTAAATGGCGATTAGTTATAATGTGATCATTGTTATTACAGTTATTATACAGATGACCAATCAGATATATTTACTGTTTTCATGATGAATGGAAAATAATTAAAAAAGCTAAGCATCTCTACATTACCAATCCAAAATAAATTACTATTCACATATCGTCTAAAGAGCAACCAAAGAAGAAAATTTTGGCCAAAAGTAATGTAACTCAAAATTGAGGGGCACCAAGATAATAAAGCAGATACCAGGACTCCAAAAACATTCAGGAAAATGTTTATGGAATCTTTTTTTCCAAGGTAGCTATAGCTGGAAATCTATTTTTTCTTTTCATTAGAACACACACGAAAAAAATTGAGAGTTACCAAGCATTATTAGGCAGGTACGCAAAACGAAATGAAAGAGGAGAAGAAAATATAATCTCCAAAGTTAGCCTCTTCCAACTCTATGTTTTAGGAAATTTGATGACTCAGATGCACCAGACTACCTTCTCTTGAACATTGACTCAGTTGACATTTCTTTCAGTCTGAGCTATGATCTCATTAAAAAATTAAAACTTGATTTATTCAAGTTAATAAAAGTAGAAAGAGAAACCAGTACTGATAGCATGCCACCTCAGGTCAAGTGTGTGCCCCACTATGTGCTGTAAGGCGTTAACTTGATATGTTATAACGTGCTAGACATCTATGATTCGAAAAGCATGCTCAGCCTATCTCGAAAAGGCATAGAGAATGTAAGAGTGATATATACCTCGTTGCGTAGGATTTTCAGAGACTCCCCCACAAAGTCAACCTTCTCCAGGTCGATGGGGTGCAACTTTTTTAACCCCTCTTCGGACCGAATGGGGGACTGAATAACAGGACCCTTAACTTCTTCTATGTCAAAAGAAATACCAAATGCAGGCAGAGGGGTAAGAATGTCAGAGAAAATGATAACCCCATCAGGCTGGAAAGCTCTCCAAGGCTGCAAAGAAATTTCCACGATGAGCTCAGTCGTCTCTGACCTCTCTCTGAACGATGGGTACTTCTCGGCAAGTTTTCTATAGACAGCCATGTACCTTCCTGCTTGACGCATCATCCATGCCGGAGGACGATCAATCACTTCTCCTCTTGCAGCCTGAACCAATAGTGGATCTGGAAACAAATGGAACTACAGTCAAAATAGAAGCAAGTTAACACATCCCTGCAAGTCATTCTGATATATAACATGCGGTGGACCCGAGACATTGATCCATTCAAGGTTAGATGGATAGGCCTACATAGAGGCAGGTAGAAGATATAACAGAAAAGACTAGGATTGACTGCAACAAATTCAGAAACAGATTGGAGGCTAATGACCAAAGGGAAAAAAGAATAATACATCGAAACTTTCTTGGATTTAGTGTCATGTGCGTGCAACTCATTTTCGTCTTGCAGGCCAATGAAAAGCCTATAGGATATAGGTAAATCACACTGCTATCAGGTAACAAAAGAGGCAACTCTAGAACTAGCAAAGTGGAACGACCCCAGGTTTTAGATGATCTTGGAATTTAAATACTTCTGGAGGCTAGCCTCATGAAATTATTACGCAGAAAGCCATCAAACTTATACATCACATACCTGACACAGAGAAATGTCAAAATCACGGAATAATTGAACACCGAAAAGGTACTAAAAGAGGAAATGGGAAGTAGAAGGGGTGGGCGGAAATGTAGGAGAAACGGAGTCACAAGCATGGAGCTAGAGGATACGTTAATTATGGGAATAAAACTCAGGTTACTCCGAGGGGGGTAAACGACAGTACCAGAGGAGAGGCTCGCTCTGACAGACCTTCCCCGGCTCTTCTTCGCACCAAATGCCCCAGCTCTGACCTTCCCATGGTCGAGGAAGGACCCAATGGCGGGGTAAAAGCTAGAAGAGCATGAATCGAAGGGGCAGCAGCTGCATCGGAGAAGGAACATGTGTGAGGAAAGGGAAGGTCCAGAAAATAATACGAATGGAAAGAGGGTTTCTTCCCGCTGACTCACGTTCTCAGTGAGGAAGATGAGCTGACGAGCAGCATAATTCCCTCCAACAAGTCGCCGGAGAGGTGAAGGGAGGGGGGCGCGCGAGAGACAGAGAGGCAAGCAGCGCGAGGAACGGAGAGAGGAGAGGGAGTTTTAGGACGATGGGTTGGGTCGGGGGGGTAGGGGAGGAAGTTATCTCCATCCATCCCGCCGTTGTGACGCTGTCAGAAGGGGATCGTGCGCCAGGTGTCCGATTGGTCCACGTCATCGCGAAACTCGCCACGCGGAAGAGGAGGAGGTGGGGGTCTCCTGACGCAGCACTCCGCCACGTGACGCAGAGGGGTGCGATCCGCTACGTACGGCTCGCGAGCGCTCGGCCCTTCGATCCAGTCGCAAATTCTCATTGTCCACCCGCTGCTGCTCACTCGCTCGCACTACTATTTGCTGGTCGGCGAAGCGAGCAGATTCTCCTCCGACGGGACGAGCACTCTTCCTTGGTCGCGAAGAAGAAACAGAGAAAGAAACAGAGTAAAAAAAAATTCAGAAATCAGCAGAGTACGACGCCGGCGCACATCGATCGGCGCCACAACGGGGTGGTTTCAGGGTTGGTTCCAAAGCAAAACGCAGGAACGGCGGCTCCTCGCCGGGGCCTATCCGACCCGCAGATGCATGCAGGAGGTCCACGGGGGCGGGCCATGCGCGTCCTGCTCCTCCATCCTTGAGTGCCAGTGCCAGTGCCGGTGCCGGTGCCGGTCAGGTCGTATCACCGCCGCGGGGAGGGAAGGAAGAGGAAGAGGATCTCGTCTCCTTATCGTCATCCACCTCGCTTCCGTACAGGCAGCGGACGTTGCTGACGCTCAGCTCGGAACTGGCGTTGCTGCTGGTGGCGAGGGGGGAGTCGGACACGCCCACCGCCCTGGTCCTCCCAGTGGACCCCGACGACCGCACGCTGTACATGGACGACGCCGGAATATTCGTCATCAGCGGGCGCAGGCTGTTCGGGATGCTCCGCCGTATGTCCTGAAGCACACCACCATCCATCCATCCATCGATCCATCATGGTCGTTAAGCTTAAAAGAACAATCCAGCTCCAGCTCCCGGGGGAGTTGGGGGGAGGGGGGGGGCTTACCATGTGCCGCATCGCCATGTCCAGAGACTTCTTGGAGAGGTTCCTCCCGAAGCCCGAGCTATCCGGCGACGACGAGGACTTCCCGCCGGTGCAGCCCTTGGAAGATCCCCCATGCTCGTCACGTCGCGGGGGAGCGAGCCGTCTCAAATTGACGACCCTCTCCACCATCTTGCTCCCGATGAGCACCGGGCTGACGCCGTCGCCCCCGCCACCGCTGGCGTTCGACCGGGTCACTGCAGGGATGGAGGTGCCGCCGCTGCGAACGGGGGCGGCGGCGACGCCGTTGGGAGCCCTCCCCCGGGAAGGGGAACAGGACTGACGCCTCCCCCTGCCGCCGCCACCAGCACCAGCACCAGTAAGACGAGCGGTCGCCTCGACGGAGGCCGAACGAGCAGCAGGCGCCCCCCCGGGCCTGCCGCGGGACGCCGAGGAAGGCCTCTCGGGCATGGAGGTCCTCAAATTCGGGGGCGCGTCGAGGGAGAACCCGGGCATCTCCGACGGCTTCCACGGTCTGGATCTCACAGTCGGAGAAGGCCCCCGCGGCGACGGCACCGAGCTCCTGGTTGACGGCACCGAGCTCCTGGTTGCCGGCGCCGAACTCCTCCTGGTCACCGAGGAGGATCGCGTGGGCGTCGGCGCTGACTTCGCGCCGGAGGAGTTGGAGTTGGAGTTCGGAACAACGGCGGCGGGGGGCCCCGATGCCCGTCGTGCAGTGGCAGTAGGAGTGGCGGACCTCCTCGACGAGGACGGGTTGCTCGGTGCTCCCGCTGCTGCTGCTGCTGCTGCTGCTGCGGACGAAGACCGGATGGAAGTGGGCGTAGAAGATCTGGCGGCGGCCGGGGTGGACGATCTCGGGGGAGCAGCCGCCGCCGGCCTTGTTGATGAGGTGATGCTCGCCCGCGAAGTGGGAGTCGAGGAACGAGAGGGCCTTGAAGAAGTGACGGCGGGTGGGTGCACGGGGCGTCCGGTCGGCGTTGCTGGCCTGGACGAGACTGAGCTGAGACTGAGACCCCCCGATGATGAAGGCCGTCGGTTTCCCACTCCAGCGGCGCCTGCGCCCAAGGAAGAGATCGGGTGCCTGGAAACAACCGCGCCCACTCGGGTAGGCGCTTCCTGAGGATCAGCCAGCTGCAGCCATCGAATTCCAGAACAGTTTAAGCAGCCAGCCAGCCAGCAGCAGAGGGAGAGAAACATAGCGGCGAGTAGAAGAGAATTTATTTGATTGATGGGAGAGGCGGTCTCATGGCACGGCGATAGAAATCCGAGCGAAGCCCAAATTAAATTAAACTAAACTAAACTAAACTAAACTATACTAGATTTACTGCAACAACGAAGCAGTCCTGGCCCGCTCGGGATTGGCGCCATATCTGGGCAGACCCCCCACCAACGCGAGAGATCCTTCTGAATTATCAGAATCTGATGGGAGCGAACTGCCACGCAGGCCGCTTGAGAGGCCGGGCCAAAAATGTGCGCACCAACCCCACGCGGGCCGCCGCTCTAGGGTCGGGTCAGATTAGCAGGAAGGCAGAGGCAAGTGATGCATCGGTCTATATCAATCCAGAGAACAAGTTTGGCGAACAAAGAAGAAACAAATATTTAAAAGGCAAGAAGGAAGCAAAAATAACTCTACGGGCTTCTGCAATAATCATAATAATATAAAAAAACAAGATTTTTTTTTCAGTGAAACCAAAAGCAGACCTTCCTAACTTCGAAATCATATCCAGACCATCTGTTTATTTTTCGTTACCCAAGAACAGAGATGCCACCCAATCCAGGCTGCTGAACTGAATCATACAACCCTCAGCCCCCCGTGCCACCCCTTCCCAGCAGTTCCTGGAGGCACAGTTTCGGGGTCACTCAAAAACCTCCTGGGCTGTGGGAGCAAGCGACCAACTGGGAAGTTGGTGTTTAGTTGGCAATCTCTAGGGGATCTTGACAATGCAAGGTCGCCGACAAATGCATTCTCGTTTCAGCAAGAAAACACACTATATGCGCGCTGTTCACCTCAGATGAATGACAGCAGGACTCATGGGCATCAGATTTACGCTTTTAATTTACTCGAAAATACAGATTCTTTGAAAGCCATTGCTATTTGAAGGAATGATAGACGAAATCTGTTGTTCCAAATAGAACACACACACACACACCGCGCCAAGTTCTGTCAATTACCCACTACTCCTGTTAGCGCAACGAGTGACTACAAGAGACCAAAACTGGTAAAAAAAAAAACGTTTTAAAAGTTGAAGGAACCCATGTAAAAGGACGTTGCATCCATAGCCACCAACTGTGATGATGAGTCTCCACACAACGTGGTAGGAGGCCCAGGAAGAGGACAAAAATGTTTAGGATGGGCAGAAAATATTGTAGCACGCAGCATAGACAAGAATGGACATAGAATGACACAACCTCCCCAGATGCGATGGGGGCACATAATCTCTTTTCATTTTTTGTCATTTGTCATATTGCCGTATTGATCATATCTACATCTAAGAAAGTCAAAAAATTCGACCATAACTGCGCAAAGTTCACCATAGTCTAACAAGAATGGACCAGCAGCATAGGAGAGCATCCGAAGAGAGTGCAAGCTTGCATTCCCTCAAACAAGAGTAATTAAGTCAATTGTTATGTAAATTCAAAAGATTTGAACGTTAAATTAAAATGCGATTCTAGTAGCACACATTCCTTTAGTGTATAAGACATTTTAAGTTAAGTTTATTCACAAGAACTAGTACATAGCTGTGAACACAATAGATCAATATTCTACGGCATTTAACAAACTAAAATGAGATTTCAGTCTTGATCATTTTTCCAGCAGTGGCCCCAAAGAAACCTCACTGCTATTATTCATGAACTGCAGCAGGAGACATGACAAAGAAGTTCATCTTATTTACTCACCCTAGATTTGAGCATAGTTGGACGAGTTTTTGGAGTTCCGATATGACCAACAGGTGACCTCTGTGTCTCTTTGTCCAGGGATGGGAAGAGAGGAGTTCCTGGTGGTGTCAGAAGCCTGAATTTGGAATATTACCACAAGTGAGAAAAGCAAAATTGCTATTAGCAGTCTACAACAGAATGCATCAAATAGAGGTAACTCAATAAAATAAGATATAATGTGGTTGCACATTTGGAGTTGCAGAAATTATCAGGACAAAAACATTCAACAAATGAACAAACCATCAAAAGGGCATATCGGTGAAAAGCCACAACAGCAGCATGCTGCAGAACTTATATCAATCGATTTCGTGCCTAATAAGTTTCCAAAGATAATGAAATGCTCGACATATATAGATAACCACGGTATAAATCATCAAAAAACTGCACTTCTTGCGGCAGGGAGAGCTGGTCCTACCATGCCATTGTTTGATGTGAGAAATGACATTAGAAAAAAGATAGAAATTTTACATTCCAAATATTGATATTTGCATTTCTACATTTTTTTGGGCATGTCCTATTAGGAAGTTTGGACGGGGTAACGTCGAGCTACCTCTGCAGGCAAAAGGGAGAGCAACCACCAATACAACTGCCAACATCGGTGCAACCAGTGAGAAGATCACACGAGAGGGGAGACAAAGTAGGTACAGGAGAGGTAGCCGTTATGTGCAATGCAATCAAATCCAATCCAAATTGACGGATTTGGGCAAAATGGCCAATTCAGGTGAAAAATTTATTTCTGAAAATTCAAAAGCGAGTATTTATTAAAAACGGTTATCATTATAAACAAAGATCAGCGGAAACTTTTTCACCAAAAACCAGACTCTATATAATCTCCAACGACCTACCCAAACCCAACCCCAATCCCATAAAATTGGGAAACTTTTAGTCGGCAGTAGGTGGGAACTAAGGGCCTGAAGCATCAATCTTCCTTTCTTCCTTTCTTTCTCCACTCAATATCTTCCTCAGCTCTTAACTGGCAAGTGTGAGATGTCACTATTCTTTAGATGATCCGATCAATTGACATAGCATCAGATCTTGGGAACTTTGTGCCTTGGCTACCCCATCTCTATCGTTCGCTCAAGACAAGAAGGTGGAATGTGCAAACGCATTATAGAATAATCTTCGTCTACTATGAGACATCAAGGTTCCAATTAAATGATATAGACTCCCCAGGACATTGCCATCACCTCAAGTTCCCTGAATATCAACCCAGACAAAAGAACAAGCTATCGTGGCTCTTGGGGAGTTTGTTTATCTCTGTCGGACTTTATCCAGACCAGAAAAGAGCCAAAAACAGCGAACAAGAAGATTGGTTCACATGACAAAGTGATACCCATGTTTCTAGCCATTGCCAGAATCTAATAGTGAGGACTATTTAGAAGTTCCAAATTAAGCAAAAGACATAGGAGTTAACCATGGAAGTTCTCCTTAACAAAGAAAAGAGGCTGTAAGACCATGACTCTCAAGTCTATAAAGGTTTCAAGGGTCAAGCCTACCAACGTAATGGTGTCTCTCTCTCACTCAAATGACAGCTCAAACATGACCTCTCAGGTGGGTGTACAAGAAAATACCCCACAAGAATGAAAGTGTATGCACTATCTCCACAACTCTCCATCAGCCTGTCCCTCAAACCAGCCTTCCACTCCCTTTCCGATTCGTGCATCATGGTGCTCCCACGAGAGACATCCCCACTAATTCCTTCACTTGGCCGAACAGATAGCGTGCAGGTCCAACAATGCCTTTCAACATACCAGCGGCACTATGTGGTGGTGTATCAAACGTCAGGTCAGCCTCCTGAATCCCACATCTACTTGTCTTCTGTGTGGCGCAGATCTTTGACATCAACAATGTTAAACATTGCATACTGAAGCAGCTAATATAGGTATATCAAAGGTTAACAGCGACAAGAAATTGGAAGTTGATTCACAAACAACGGGCCAAAGTTAGACTTTTAAGATGGTAAGCCAGTTGTTTTCCTAACTGGGAATTCCAAAGATCGAACCAATCCTCCCCTCTTTACCAGTCATAATCGTTCTTATTGTTGTCTGAATTCAGGAAATCATCAGCCCCAGTCCGTCGTGTTGGAACAGACGAGACAATCTTGAATATCGGAGAACTCCCTGGTTTTGAATCTGCAACAGGGAAGAGGAACATGGAATTAAAGATGCGCCAAAATGACGTTGTCTTGCTCGAAAGATTGGAGGAAAAGAAGCAACAGGATGACGGGAGTCTTGTGCTACTCCCGATCTTCAAGAGGGGCAGTGTCACCGTTATCAGTAAGGTGGGTTGATGAAGGTGGATTGATCAGGTTTACCTGGCAGAGTATCGAGCTCATCAGAGTTATTGTTGAGGAGAAGGCTGTTCTGGCGCTCCTTCTCGCGTTTGCGCATCTCGAGGAAGAGAGCAAGCTCCTCATCCTTCTCCTTTATCACCGCGCCCAGAGTACGCCCTCTCGGCGGCTGCTGTTGCTGGGGGTGGTGCTGGTGCTTCTGCCTCAGAGGCACGGACGAGGAGACGGTAGACCCCCTCTCTGGCCCATTAAAGCTCCGGTTGAGCATCTTCTCTCCACTTCCAGGGTAGGGTATCTGTTTGGAGTAAGTAGGAGGGAAAAGAGGGAAGTGCGGACAAGAGCAAGGGATGTATATGTATAGTCAGGAGCTCCACAATATCCCCAGCTCTGGAACGATCGGAGAGGAGGAGATGGAACGAGGGCAATGGAGCGGATCCGGGAGCGCCGGGTGGAAGAGGAAGGCCGAAGGAATCGCAACAACGAGGTGGCGGGGTGCTCTGCGATTACCGGAGCGGAGAATGTGGGTTGCGAAGAAGCTGGAGCCGAGGCCTCCCACCTTCCACGAGCGGCAGCAAGGGCCCCTGAGCTCACGACCGGCAACACCAGCCCCTCGGACCGACCCTAGGTGCAGTCTACCTACTGCGTTCCTCCCCGCCGCCGCGACCGTGGGATGGAGAGGGGACGGCAGAAGGCGATCTGGCACGGAGGGTGGGCCACAAATGGAAGTGGGAGAGCAGTGGAGGAGTAGTAGGGAAGCAACGGCGGCAGGGCTGGGAGAAAGAGGGGGGGAATGTGGGTGGTGGGAGACAGGCGGGGTGGAGCGGAGGGGAGGGGAGGGGAGGGGAGGGGAGAGGAGGGGAGTCACTCAGTCTCAAAGCTTCCGCCGCCCGGAAAAAAAGGGGGGAAGAGCTCGGCGATACGAACCGAGTAGAGGGTCCGAGAGAGAGAGAGAGGGACGCGAGTTTCAGGCGAGAGCGATGGCCGCCGTCATCTCCTTTGTCCGTCCTTATTCCTCGTCTTTGGTTTTCGCTTTTTCTTCATCATCGTCGTCGTCTTCTTCTTCTTCTTCTTCTTCTTCTTTCTGGGTGTGAGAGAGAGAGAGAGATAATTTGAGACGACAAGTCGTCGCCCAATATCCCCTTTCACACGGAAGGACCAACTACGAAGAAAATAAAAAAGGAACAAGTGTTTATTTTATTTATTTATAAATGCGTTACGTATTTTCTGGCGGCAGCGATATTTGGTTCCGTCCGCCCGGCGCGGCGCTAATCGCCGTCACGCGCCGCAATCTTCACGGGTTCGCGTTCTTGTAAGCCTCCTCGATCACGTGGCCAGGAGGCCAGCTCTCTCTGCGCACCCCCGCCATCTCTGTTCGTCTCTCTCTCTCTCTCTCTCTGCCGCCGACCGCGGTGGCTTACACGCAACCGCGCTGGGTCGTTCTGCGGGCGCCACGTCACCTAGGGAGAGAGAGAGAGGGAAGAGGGATCGGCGCATCGGCCGCTAGTTGAGTCCGGGGGGAGTAGCGATTTAAATTCGTCGACTTAGCGCACGTCTGAGCTGTGACATGGATAATACTTCGTGAGGAGGGGTCGGTGGGTCGGTGGGTCGGTGCATAGAATGATGAGGATATATATATATATATCAATAAATAAATGCATAGGGGGCTCTTTGTCGAGCCAGATCGTCCGACGGTACGAGATGATGGAGATTGGATCAGCTCCTCTCCGTCTTGGCCCTTCTTTCGGGGACTGAATTGACCCCACCACCACCATCATTCATTCATTCACAAGGCGGACAGGAGAGCGAGAGAGAGAGAGCCGGAACTATGCGTCCCCGACGGCCGTCGACTCTCCCATTCCTTGTCCGCTATTCCCCTTCACAGTGTGATTTGCCTTCGTCCCCGTTTTAATCGTTACTAGGAGGCGTGGTGACGGAGGATTATTGATAAAGCGATTGACGATGGCCGAGGGGGCCAGTAGCAGCAACAGCGGGCGCGTCAGGCGTAGAGGCGAGACGGTGGTGCTTGACCATGGCCAGAGGAAGGGCTCCTGCGGCTACTGTAAATCCTCCGGCTTCAATAGCATCTCCCACGGTTTGTGCCCCCTTCCGCTCCCCACATCCACTGGAACCGGATATAGAAATCGGCGTCAAAATTTATTGTGAATTTTCCATAGTTTGGTCGTTCCGATCGTACACTGTGCTCGTGATTGTTCGGATTCCAACATCCCAAGTTATTTATCTTTCGTCGGTAGGCGTAGCTGTGGGGGGTCATCCTTGATGTCCATGAATTGTCACCCTGCTGATCTGAGGATCCCTTCAAGTTCCCATATCTTAGAAACCCGACTCGATTTGCTGAATGACCGGGTTGTTTATCGACGTCCGTCCCTGAAATATCAATCTGCTGTTCCACAGACTGATTCAATCTGCTTCAACTTTTATATTTTCTGAATACGGCCTTATTTTGGATTGCTTTCCAGCAAAAATAAGATAAATGACTTTCACAAAAGGATCTGGCATATGTGCTTGCGCATCTATATGAGTGATGTATTATCTCTCGCCTTGTTCTTACTTATAAAGTCGTTTCTAATTTATTATTTTCATCATCGATGTGCCAGAAATTGTAGATGATTATCAAGGGCAAGGTCCTTTAGTATTTTGTGAACGCACCCATTAATTAGGTACAACCCCATTGTCTGATAACAATAAGTTTAGCCCTGGTCGACTAAAGCTGATGACCCAGCCACATCAGCCCCCATCCGCAAACCTGAAGCATCTTTTTTCGTCTGTGGACCTGATCTGTCCATCCTCTCTTGATTCGTATTCTGATGAACCCACCGTTCAGCAAAGAAATTGGTGATTATAGAGCATTGATGTGTAAAATCAAAGCCAAGTAGACACGGAGCATTCTAAAATTAGATTATTTCTACACATTTCAACAAAAACCGAACGCACCAAATGTCCACATTAAGGAAAAATGTTACAGAGCTTACCATAATTCATTTGGACGAGTCATGCCCTGAAAGTTACCCAATTTACGAATTATCTGACTCAAACTCAATTATTGCCCATTGTGGAAATCGTGCATAACGCAGTTTCTTTTTGGAAAGGCAACACCGAAAATTCTTCAAAACTTTTCCTTGCTTTCGTGGATATGAATTAAAAGAACTACGTGTTTAGTGTTTCTCATTTATTGCGTGTGCAAGTCAATGTAGAGGACCTGGCTGCATATCGCATGTTACGAATGTGTATTGCTACAGTGAATAACTTTATTTATGTGAAGGCTACCTTTCGAGGTTTATGAGTACTTTGTAGACTGAAGAAAGCATCTCCTCTTGTATATGATTACACCATTGTCATGGAAATCCTTGCCCATTATACATCTTTATCATATTCTCTGATTCAATGGAACTCTGGTACATTGTTGAATTTGACTGGCTAATTGATGTCTTTTTTTCTCAGTCTGCTACTCATTTGATTTATCTGATACTGTTTAAGGTATTCTTGTTTGTGTTTCATTTACAGGGTTATCGGCTCACATAATGACAGTTGACGATTTTCAAGGTTTTTCTCCCCTCGAAACATAACATAATGCTGCGATCACTTACTGCATGATCACCAAGGTGATAAGTGGCTGGGATGTATGAAAAATTCGTTAGCTTTACAGTGGAAATAAATGCTCTCCGTGACACTGGCTACTTTAAGAGAAGTTTTGATAAAAAAATATTCGTCAAACGCTGTGGTGAGTAAAAAGAAATGTGCTCAGCCATTGTCCCCGAGCAACAAGAAGAAAATATGCACGAGGCTTTTTCTCTCATAGAATGTGGGACTCTGTATTCTAGCTTCTCTATATAAGTTCAATGCACACATGATATGATCATAAAGTGAGGTTTTGCTAGTCTTCTGCCTGGGGTTCAATTTGCACGTTCTAAATATATGCATTTCTTTCATATAATCTGGTTAGTAACTCCCTCTTTGAGCCTGCCTCTTTTGTCCTTTAATCCGTCCTGGATATCTCCATGATGACAGTGAGGCGCCCCCCCACGCCCTGGTTGCCTTCTCATCATCTTAGCCTGTGAAGAGCATACCTGCGCTATTTGAGGGAGTTGCCAACTGTTTATTTATTTGATTTTCTACATTAACCTTTCCCTGTTATATTCGTTATGTACATTGCATACGGCATTGTCACTCGAAATAATGCCAATATACAGTTTAAGAGACGTGGGCCAAGGACGGAAATATGTAAAATCTTTGAACAGATAACTTGAACAGATAAATTTCGAAAGTGGGCGCCATGATCGTGTTGATTAGGTTTTCTTGTGTAAATTCTTTGAAATAAGTTTTTTTTGGTAACTTAATCGAAACTCCAAATAAACATAGCATGAACACAGGCTCTGTTGTATTTAGCAAAATAATGGAGTCCTTGATTAATTTACGCTCTATTTAGCTTCTTTGTCCACAAACCTGACCAAAGCCAAATGCTGACATCTGTCTGAGGCTTTTCTTTTTCCAACAGGAGACTCGGGATTTGATCGGCAAAGCCTGATGTTGAGGATTTTGATTTTTGTTTTCTTTGAAATTGTCCTTTTCCGACCATATAGATTATGATCATTAATAGAAGAGTTATGCCGTACCATTTGGTTTGTGACGGTGATTCAATAAAAACTCTGTAAAGTGTACACAAATAATCATTTGAGTTCCTATATACCTTAAAAACCAGTCTCTTTGCAGATCTTCTAGACAGAGGTTGGAGGAGATCTGGCTCATATCTTTACAAACCTGAGATGGAGAGAACATGCTGCCCATCCTATACTATCCGTCTCAAGGCAAATGACTTTGTTCCCTCCAAAGAACAAAGGCGTGTGCTCAAAAAAATGGAGAGGTACCGGTTATTAGTCATTAATTTTAGTTTCTTAAGGACTGGAATTTTTTTTATTTTCCTCCGCATTCAATGCCAGCTTCAAATAAAATGTAGGTTTCTTGATGGTACGCTGGATTTGAAAATGTCTAGTCGGTTAAATGGTGAGACAAACTCTATGGGATCCTTTGATGGAGATGCTATTCATGAGTCTTCGACAAGAATGGTCTTGGAACCACGAGCCAAAGGTGTGGGCTTAACCATAGAAGATGATTGCCTGCGGCTTTTGTCAAAGAAAATTGATGATGCTGTAGTAGCCTGCTTTCAAAGCAGTGATTCTCGTATTATTCAACTACCGCAGGCTATTGTGAAAAGACTGGCTCACAAGAATAAGAAGAAGCTGAAAGAAATTTCAGAAGACATGTTGTATACCAGCGGGATTGCATTTCAGATTGCAGCCACACTACAACGGTATCAAAATTCGAACGAGAACTATTGTCAAGATATTCCAGTAAATATTTCTGGTCAAATTGGAGGTTCTTCTTCTGTTCTTTCCCCCAACAATATCGCTGAGAAGCTAGCTCATACCATACATATGCAAGAAGAATTGTCTGACATAATAGTCCGGGCTTGCAATGGTCACCTTAATTTTTATTCTTCTGGGGAGAAGGTTAACTCAGAGATGGTGGGTGGCGGTGTTGTTTCACGCACACAATCTTCAAAAATTGGCAGAGGAAAGGACGGGTGTGTACATGAGCATGTTGAGAATTCATCTCAGCAAAATAGAAGGCGAAAACTAGAGATACGGATGAAAAGATCAAACTTTGACCCTGAAGAGTTTGAATTGTACAAAAGGTATCAAATAAGAGTTCATAATGATAAACCAGACAAAGTCACCAAAAGCCAGTACTACAGATTTCTGGTCGAAACCCCTGTACAATTTGTCTCAACTAGCAAGCATAGAACTGTGCCTCCATGCGGGTTTGGTTCCTTCCACCAACAGTATCGTATAGACGGGAAGCTTGTTGCTGTAGGCGTGGTTGATATTCTTCCAAGATGTTTATCAAGCAAGTATCTATTCTGGGACCCTGACCTGGCCTTTTTATCTCTTGGAAAGTACTCGGCTCTGAAGGAAATAGAATGGGTGATGCAGTCGAGGTTACATTGTCCTAGTCTTCAGTACTACTATCTGGGTTACTATATTCACTCCTGCAGCAAAATGAGATATAAAGCAGCCTACTATCCCTCTGAACTTCTTTGCCCTCTCCGCTATGAGTGAGTTGTTTTTTAAATTTCAACGGGGGTTTGAGAAGCGCAATTTTTTTCATATAGAGTTTTAATTCATGTCAAATACGATTTTTGTTGATGATAAAGCACATGCATCAAAATATTTTCAAACAATCACAATCTTTAATTTTAAATGACATAAAGGACATTCCAAATAACTTTATCTTGAGGCCAGTTTGCCTCATTCAGCATAGTGATATGGTTGCAAGTTCAGCTTGCATGGAAATTGTGCATTGAACTATTAGATATTTATGATGCTCTTTGAAATAATTTCTTTTTCCTAAGATGCCCAAATTTATCACGGACTGATACCGTGGGGGCGTAGATGAATACGATTATTAGTTCTCATGTTATTATGTTAAAACAGTATTGTCTATGTTCTTTTTTTACGCAGGTGGGTACCTTTTACGATAGCTAGGACCCTGCTGGATAAAAACTCGTATGTGGTCCTGTCGGATCATGCATCCCTTCTAGATGGAGGATCTTCACCTTCTCAGCTTCATGAAAATTCCAGGCGGTCACCATTAGGTGATCTTGATCCTGGAGGCCATGAGGACTGTTCAAGTAATGAAGACGGTGAAATGGAGGTTGATTTTGATTGTCAGGAATCTGAAAGCGATGATGTGTCGGACACAGAAACTGGGGAACATAATGCCCTAGATCTCAGCGATATTGTCCTTGAATTGAATGACTCTCGTGTGAAATTCAAGGTACTATCATTTACCATTCAGGTTGCTTCGTATTATGGACCAGATGCAAAATCAGTTTGGGAAGTTCTGGTTGTACATGATCTGGGTGTGCGTGTCCTTTTCCTCAATTTTGTTATTTCGGTTGCATCCCAAAGCCTAGTTCTTACTTTGGGTCATGCCGATTTATGCTGAGCATTATTTCCATCATCACCATCATCATTTAATTCTTAATTCTCGGTTTCTTTTTGCGGCCTATCTGCACTTTGCCTGCTAAGATACCGTTGTGAGCTCTCTGCAGGACATTCAGCATTCGTTCCGCCCAATTCCAGAGAAAAACCTGCGTTCCTTGGAGCAACAGCTGCGGAGGTACGCGAGGGTCGTGGGGACGGAGCTTGCCAACACCATGATTTACAGGCTGATGTGACCACACTGGGAGCTCTGCGGAGCACGGAAGAGTAGAAGAAAAAGAAGAAACTGCGGGCCTTCGATGGGGAAGCGGAACAGAAGAGTGGACCCCTGTTTGGGTTGCCTTGAAAAGAAAAGAAATGAGCCACCCCTTGCTGCCCCTTCGCCCCACCCTCCCCTTGTTAAGACGACTCCCACTAGATTTTGGTCGAGCAAGTCCGACGGTCGTCTTCTACCTCTCGCTGACGTGACATTCATTGATCAGTGTCGACCGGCCACAACATATGGAAGAAACAATTGACTGTACACTTGCTTATTTAATCTGTCTGCATTCAGAAGAATGACGGTACCTCACAGGGCGGAGGTCGAAAAATGTACAGTCCCGCCCCCTCCAACCCGGCGGTTGTGTCGGGGCAGAGGTGCGGGGCTAGCGCCATCCAGGTTCTTCACGTTTCGTCGCCCCGCCGGCTCTTCCACCGGCGGCCGCAGCTCCCAAGCTTCAGGACTCGCCCGCGGAGCTGATTTCGTCCGGGCCTAGCACCTTGAACCTGCTCCACGACAAGAACCCATCCCAAAGCTGCTCAGCCTCTCTCGGCAGTAAGATGTTCATATGAAACTAACATCCCTCCCACTCACTCTCCCCCCCGCTAGAGCAAATATGAATGCGAGAAAAAGATAATCGGTTCTTCCTTCCCGCACCCCCCGCTACCCCGTCCGGCACTCGTCGGTTAACTCTGCAATTAGTCCTGCTTCTAGCAGCAACAAGAGCACAGCACGGCAGGGTATGGCACCTCTCAAGGACGAACTTCCCTTCCTTGTACTTCTGGCTCTTCTCGTGGGCGAGCACCTGCAATTTGAGGGCACGAACCAGTCAATCAGCAGGGTGAGGAGGGGGGAGGAGCTTTCATTCCGTGTGCCCCCTCATTACGTACGTAGACCCATCCGACGACGGAGCCGCAGCCCACGCAGAATACGTCGGCGACGGTGTGCATCCCGGTCATCATCTGCCGCTCCTCGTTCTTCCCGACTGACACATTAACGCTGCCATGCACCCACCGACGAGAGCATGTCAGGCTCATTCCTTCATTTCAACCCTAAAACCGAAAAGCATGCGCAATCGAGACAGGTTCTGCCCACACGGGTCGACGTGTTGGCTGGTGAAAATTGGGCTTATGGAAGCTCACAGAGCGGAAACATTTGCAAACCCGTTGAGCCATGGGGAACTCACACTCTAGCAAATAGGTAGGCCTTCCCATGCCTGCAATGGAAGGTCTGCGCCCAAAAAAAGAGAAAAAGCAAACATGCAAAACAGGGTCAGAATGTTTAAGCAGATGAATTGTCACACCCAAGACTTTCATACTCTCTCTCTCTCTCTCTCTCTGTTCCTAGCTATGACTCTAGCTGAATAAAATGGTAGAAGCAAGATGCCCATTTTAAAACAGCGGAAGATAAGCTGCGCTAGATAAAATCACAGCATAGAGGTCCTAGAAACAGCTAGTAAATAAATCATAAGGTCCCAAACCAATAAACACATGAAAAGCTCGAGCAAATAACCCTGGAAACATGTGCTTAGCAAGAACAGGCAGTCTGACGAAAACATAATGAAGAAAGAAAGAAAGAATGAAAGAAAGAGTGCGCATCCCGTCGTCCAGAGGAACCTGAGATGGACAGTTCAATGGAAATCAGGCTCGATGATTCAATGGCTTGCATAGCTCTCCATCACCTTCGAACTAGAGAGCGACCGTGTCTTATTCGGCTAGTATTCAAAAGTGAAGGTGATGAAGAAAGGGAGCGCCAGAGTTAAGAGCCTTTTCGACGAATGTGGAGACCATCTCGCCAAGAGATCGCCCCACTTATTTGGCAAATACCCAACATCTCCATTGACTCGAACTGAAGAAAGTCTAAGCTGATATTAGCCCAAACTGGAGATGGTGGCCAAAGCACAGCAGACCAAGAGCTAGATATCAAGAGAAAACATGATAGCCATCACACATGTCTAGGAAATAAATCTGCTGCTGCCAGGACTCGCATCATCTCATCATGACCCACATTTTGTATGGATATGTGCTGCATGTTCTAAAAACGAGTAGTTGGCACGTCCAATGCCGCGAAACCAAGGGAGCGTCCGCGCCACACAACAAAAATATGGATGAAAGGAAAAAGAAGATGTCCAGTGGATGAATCGGAGTTGAGGTACGGCGAGAACCGTCGGAGGAGAACAACGTGAGACAGGAGGAATCCACGAACTGTCCGCCCGCAACGAATTCTTAAAATCCAAGAAAGCATGTTCGAGGTAGATACAATTGATAAAGTATGAATGTGAACATGTGGTTTGATGAACATCCATGCGCTTACGTTATGCACTGCACTACGGTGCATAATTCCCGGCCAACGACCACCAAAAACCGAAGGCGTGTTAGCAACTGATGGCCAAATTCGAGGGCTTAAAACTCTGCTCTGATCAGCCTAGAATGTCGATCGGACAAAGAATTTTCCTTGGGACCACTCGGGACGGTAGAAGATCCACAAACACGGTGAGGGCGAGCGGGGAGGGGGGGGGGGAGGAAAGAGAAAAATGGGCACACAGTGTTTCGGTTCGCCTCACCCTGGAGAGGATGTCCTGATACCGGGCCATATGTGCCCCGCAGTGCTTGCAGCTGTAGATCCTTCCCTCCATATGGACAAGGTGAAGCCTTCCCATCTCCTTTCCCCCGACGACGACAGTGCTTGAGTAACGGCGAAAACAGGCAAGCCAAGAGGGGGAGTATCGCCCCACTTGATCCCCGAACCGGCGATCAGCGCCCCCCTTCCCTTTCTCCTCTCCCCCTTCGGGAAGAACAGCGGTGAAAAAAAGTAGATGCGGGTTGGGGGAGGGGGGGCAGATGCAGATGCGGGGGGTTCTTGGTGGAGGACGACAGACGATAGGAGGAACAGAGTTTTGGACAGAAGGAAAGAAACAGACGGCGGAGAAAAAGGGCAAAGTAGGAGTGCGTGGACCGCGATGACGACGGTGCGTAAGGCGGAAGAATCAGAGATGGACGGACCGTGGGAGGGGTTCGCCTGCCCGATCCGTAAGGGCCAGGGAACCGGCAGCGGGAACGACGGGTGGGAGGATGCCGTCATCCGAATGTCATTTGACGTCGCCACGGCAGCTAGGAGGAAACGTGGAAGCAAGGCCCTTTTTTCTCACCGAACCCACTGAACGTTTCAAACTAGCGCTCTCGAAAGAGACCAGGGCATCATCTCAAATTCGATCGGTGGCTAAGGAGGAGTAGGATGGATTGAATCCACCGCCATCGTGTCAAGTTCATCTTCGATTTTGCACATTCGAAGACCCAAGAAAGCCTCGAATCCGAACGACGTTCGCATTAATGGGAGGGTTAGACGCGCTGCTCAACTACAAATCGCTAACGCTCCGGCGGTGCTAGTAATAAACAATGGGTTCAAGAATCGACGCCTCGCCCAACGCAAGGGAGAGGGACACCAGTCTAATACCTAACCGTCATCCTCCTCGCTATGTAGAACCTGCTCGATGAGCTTAATCTTGTTGACGTTCTCATCGTTGACGCGAGAGAGCTTTCCCATCGACGCCTTCAGCTGTGAGATTCTTTGAGAGTCCAGGGCTTGATTACGCCTCCCCTGAGATAGTCTCTGGATCGGGCCGCCAGGGGAGGGATGCAGACATCTCCTCAACCTCCCGTTCAGGGCTTCGATGGACAAATCCAGGGCACAGAGTTCCACGTCCCTGAATCTCTCTGCAATTCAGACGACGCACAAAATTGTACACAGCTCACGGCTCGGAAGCCAAGGAAAGTCAGATCAGACAAAGCTTTAAAAGGGTTAAAAAGGAGAGGGCTTTCAATACCAAGTTGGGTTTTAAACTCTCTTTCTGCCTTGGACAGTGGTTTTCTGTCGGCTCCCGGTAGGTTTTTGAAGCTCTGCAAGCGCCTCTCCTGGATTCTGTACACCTCAGTGGCACGATTTATCCGACTTGTCAAACGCGGCTGCTTGTCCTCCAATCTGCTCAGCGACTCGCCGACCACCTGTAAACGCGCATGCTGCTCCCCGAGAATTGCCTTGAGGTGATCTCCGTGCTGTTTGAGCTCAACATACACCTGGAGATCAAGAGAAAATGGATGGGACGCTGAAGTTCAAAAAGATCAGGGAGGGGAGGGGATGAGACGACAATTGACAAGGAATGCACACCACACAAAACATGCAGAAAAATAAATAATAATAATAAATACATTCATATTTGGTTTACCTTATGAGCATACTCCACAAAATTTTCGTGGAAGAGCTTGATATAGTGATGAAGCGTTGACCTGCCTTCAATGGATTCTGGACTCAGAGATCGTAGGCTGGTGGAGTCCGGAATGATGATGACCTTCGGCCCATTAAGGAGGTCTCGGCTTATAATATCACTGACGGCTACATCCTCACGACCAATGGAGGGTCTCACACTCTCATCAAGAAAATGCGGCGGCATGTCCTTCCAGCCTCTCATCTCCAGCAAGATGCACTCATATACAGACGTCACCACGACAACCTGCGAGTCACCAAAGGAATCTGCTATGCAAACGAAACCATAGAGCAGGGGAGACGAAGCCTCTCCGTGGCAGGTGCTTAGAATAGGGCACACAGAGGGGGCACTCGCGGACTCATCTGATCCAGGGGTGAGATTCGAGAATGGGAGAAAATGCAGAGTGATCAAGTCTATTCCTCCGCCATGCAAACAGTAGAGCCTCTCGGAGACCAGCGGATCCGAAAAAACCGACACTGGGTGATGTAGGGCTGCCTTTGGTAATGCCAAGTCCACAACAGCCAGCCTAAGTAAGGGGGGTGGATTTCCAGACCAAACCGGGTCCGCCGCATTGCTGCTCATATTTCCTTGAAGGAATCTAATGTTATGAGGTTCTTGTGAATTCGGCTCACAAATCATGCCCATTTGTGCTATGTGGCCCCGTGAATTCACCCGCAAATGAGGAGAACTGTCCATATTCCATAGAGGTTGCACTTCATCAGCAAGGGCATCAACCTGTAGCTGTCCACTGCTCCAGGCGATCACTAGAATTGAATCTTTGCCGATTGAACTGTACAGGATAGTCACTGCCCTGCCTTCACAATCTGCAACCCATGTTTCTGAATCCTCAAACTCCTTGCTGTGGTACACCCGACGGAGAGGCCCCTGCAAACCGAACAGCTTTGAGAATTTCATGCTTCGAGAAGCAGCACAAGGGACGAGGTCATGGAACAGCAAGGATATACATAACACGAGAGTGCAGTCAAAAGACAGACTGCAATGAGGTTGTTTATATTGGAAGAGGAAGCAACAATTTGTCCTCTCATGATTCTGTCGAACAGAAACCAACAGCTCTACGGGTTTAGAATAAAGCCGTAGAATGCCGTTATGCTTACAGTGATTATTCTGTATTGACCCTAGTGGAGGACCCCATTCTTCTATCAGGTTACACTAGAGGAAGCAATTAAAAATAACCCGTAATTCCGATCCCTCATTCTGGGTAATGTGGTAGACATTGTGCATATTGACATAAGCGTAATCACGACCTTGATGAAGAATGGCAAACGGAAAAGGAGAATATAGTACCACCAACCGCACCATCAAATGTCCCACTTGTGATCAGGGAGGATGATGCCACGCATCTGCAGGACCATCCTAGCCAGGAGCCAAGGCAAGCATCCAATCCACACAGAGCATTGTTCCTGCTCTTGAAAACGTAACGCCCCACCTGGAAGCCTTAGTTCTTCGTACCGCGAGAATCACGCGGATGCCTGCCTCCTTCTGGAAGAGCGTCCTCGGCGCCATGGTTGGTGTCCGCTGCCGCCCTTCCAGACCTGAGATGGGCTCCGCACAGGAACAACCCGAAGGTGCTCACCGAACAATTTTCACTGTACCCACCCACAGGTTGGGAAGCAAACCCTAGGCGGACGCATCGACAGACAACTCCCCCACGCCCCTCTTCCTCAATGAGTCCCATAAATCCAACGGACAGCATCTCATCGATAAATGTGCGAGATCGACTCGGACGGTTGATTGGGCCACGATCACTACTGACCGCCCCACGCCGAAGTATTCCACTTCTCGGGTCTCATGGGATATCTATCGTGTATCTGCCGCTGGATCCGAAACCGGTATTCGTGCTATTTCTAGGGCTTTCTCCCTCGTCGAGGAGGAAGATTATACCAGATCGTCTCTCTCCCTCTCTCTCTCTCGCCCGCGTGCGGCTCTCGGCCATGGCCGTCGTCGACGGGAGGCAGCCGCTGCAGCAGCAGAACCACCCGAACAAGATCCGGTGGGGGGAGCTTGAGGAGGACGATGCGGATTACTACGCGTACCTCCTGCCTCCTCCGGTGGTGATCGGCCCTGACGAGAACGGGGTGAAGAAAGTGATCGAGTACAAGTTCAATGACGATGGGGAGAAGGTCAAGGTCACCACCACCTCCCGGACGCGGAAGCTCGCCCGGGCCCGTCTCAGCAAGAAGGCGCTGGAGAGGCGGAAATGGCCCAAGTTTGGGGACGCTGTCCACGAGGAAGTCGGGAACCGCCTCACCATGATATCAACCGAGGAGATTATCCTCGAGCGTCCGCGAGCGCCAGGTCCAATCTTCTTGTCCCGTCCTCATTATTTCCTCGAGTTATTTATTTATTTTCCTGATTCGATTGCTTTGCGGATGTTTTCCCTCGTCGCTCCTTTAGTACGGATATGCATATTTACAATTTATGTCGTTCATGCGTGTTTGAGACCCTGGAAAGACTTTTTGGGGCTTTGGATCATGTTGAAGAGTCTTCTAGATGTCGAGAGACACCTAGAAGAGATCTTTTAGGAACGAGATTTTTTTTGTCAGAACCTTTGGCATCTTGTGTCCAATCTCCTTTGGCAATAGAGAATGTTGTTGACCATTGATATGAAGATGAGAAAGGTTATCATTCTTCACTAAAATCAGAGCAAATCAACTTACGATAGCTGTGAATGTAGATTTTTGGTTTTATTCTATTTGAGGATTAGTAATCGTGGAAATCACTTTGTGATTGTGGCGGATGAAGATGCTTAGGACTGAATGGTAAAGGTTATTTGTCTTCTTATCTTAAATAAACTTTCATAAATGAGTTGAAAAGTCGTAATCATATATAATTTTGGGTAGACGTCGGTACTCCAGAGGGCGCTGATCGGTATAATGGTATATATTGATCAATTGGAGTCACTGTGGCCCTGTACATGTGGTTGGCTTGGTTTTTCAAAATTTTCACGGAAGGGTAAGAGTGCCACATGAGCTGATGTCGGGGGAGACGTTTAAAATTTTATGAGGACGTGACATTGCTAATTGTCAAAACGAGGGTCGAGAAGAAGGGATTCAAAATTGGCCAATACATGCCTCGAACTGACTCCTATATTACAAAGAGAACCATGAAGAAAGGATTTTAAGATGTGACATTGCCATCTTGAATACTAAGAAGCTTAGTGTGGGGAACATATTCCATCCGGATATCAAATGTTGGAAATTTGAAGGAGACAATTTTAACTTTGGTTGAAGAAATGGCAGTGGTGTGATCTTCATTTTAGCGGCCAGTTGGCAGCATTTGTATCCTGGCACGAAGTACGAATTCCCCTTTCTTGTATGGCATGCTCACGTAAATGTTTGATTCGGATGTCATTATTCAACATTCCCCTTTATGGATACCTTCGAGAAGGAGGTTTCACCTAAATTTCGATTTAGATCAATTTTTTCTCGGGAAAGTTATGAATTCCCAGGAGATTGAATAGTCTCCTGTTTGTATTAGCAAACCTTTTCGGATCATTATATCCCTTGCTTTACAGCAGAAGTGTTGTTTTTGAGTCAAAATTTCTGTTGAAAGAAAGGAAGTCGAAATGTTGGATACCTTTATGTGTCTCCTCTCTTTGCTGATAAAGTATTTCAGGCCATGGTTTCTGGAGTATTTTTGATTTTGCGAAAATTCTGTGTTCTAATTTTTACGGGCCATATAATAGTTGGCCTTACTCAGCATGGCCTCCGCTCCCTTCATGTGGTGAAAACGAGTAAAAACTTTGGTGCATCAGACCATCTTCTCCCAATCTGTGTCCACCATTCGGCCCCTATTTTTATGTATCTTTTCTAGTTGTTTTGTATGTTCCATTTTGTTATGACCCACGAAATTTTCATCGCTTTGTTTTAGAGTTTTATTAATACTTTTAACGGATGGCTATTTCTGCTCAACAATTAGTCCATTCAAATTTGAACGATGCAGACAAGCTCTGTTTTCCTACTCCTTGGTCAAAAACAAACGCGACTGTGTGCCAGCCTGTAGAACTCTGGTCCAACTGTGGGTCAGGATTCATTCATAACCTCCTTTAGGTCGTGCCATCTATATCCAGAGAAGCATAGACATGTTTCCCATCTCGAAGAAAGAAAGCTGTTGTAGTAGGCTATAGGCATTCAGATGATAAAAGGCTGAATAAAGGCATTCTCTGCCTTCTCTCCTTTATGTGAGTTTCTTCAGGTAGCAAGGCGGAGGAGGCAACCGCGCCTGATGCCCTGGCCACGGTTGCGAAAGCCGGCGCCGTGCTCATGGTCTGCAGGATCTGTCACAAGAAGGGCGACCACTGGACGGCACAGTGCCCGTACAAGGACCTCGCCGCCGCCACCGCCGATACGTTCGTTGACGGGCCCCCGAGCTCTGAATCTGCAGCGGCTCCTGCCCCGGGCGCCCGGTCGGGTACTTATGTGCCGCCGGGGATGAGGGCGGGTGCCACCAGCGCCGGCGAGAGGAGCCTCCCTGACCGGCGCCGGAACGACGAGAACTCCGTGCGGGTCACAAACCTGTCGGAGGACACGAGGGAGCCGGACCTCCTCGAGCTCTTCCGCACCTTCGGCCCCATCAGCCGCGTGTACGTCGCGGTGGACCAGAAGACGGGCGTCAGCCGGGGCTTCGGCTTCGTCAACTTCGTCAGCCGCGGCGACGCCGAGAGGGCGATCAACAAGCTCAACGGCTATGGCTACGACAACCTGATCCTCCGGGTCGAGTGGGCGACCCCCCGGGCCAACTGAAGCCTCGCCCGCTCCCCTGGTGGGGTGGGGGCCCCTTCTCTGCTGAACTGCGTTCAAAGTTTTGTCTTTTGAGGTCTGAAAGATTCTGCTGCTGCTTTTCCATTACTGTTACTCTAACTGTTGTTGTGGACGACACTCCGTCGACTATGATTATTATGATCGGTGGTCGTGAATGTAAGAAATGATGCTATGGTGTAGAAAGTTGGCCTAGTCCTTCAGGAGAAGGTCAAACGATCCGACTTGATATGAGAGAGCGTCGAGATTGCATGGCTCGATGAGCTGTTTTCGGGGCCGCCGCCGAGTCCCGCCGAATGGCGGAGGCACGCGCCGGCTCGGCGGAAGGCGTATAAAAATTGTCCGCGGGCAGCTGAAAGGTGGAAGACGGGAGAGGCGGCGGTGGAGGAGGGAGGAGATAAGAGAGCGGTGCTGGGGCAGGAGGAGCTGGTGCATGGCCGCGCCCGGAGTCCCCCCGAAGGCGGAGCAACACGGCGGCGAGGATAGGCCGGCAGTGGCCTCGTCGTTCTCCTCCGGCGGCGAAGCGCACCAAATGAAGGAGACGGAGTCACTGCCGCTTGGAGAGAAACGAGAGGAGTCCCCTGGGGAGGCCTTGCAGGAACCAGATGACTCTTCCATCGAACCTGTGATCTCTTGCATCCCCCTTCTCCTTCGTCTTCGTCTTCCTCCGTCTTCCTCCGTCTCTAGACTGCTACCTGGATCACCGGCGGGTGCATTACGCTCTGCAGGTGCCATTAGGGGAAGCCGTCTACACCACTGCGACCTTCTTCGAAGATCTAACCTTGCGGAAGGAGCTGATCCGGGGACTATACACCGAGATGGGATTCAAGAGGCCCAGCAAGGTGCAGGCCACGACCTTCCCCATGATCCTCACCCCTCCCTTCAGAAACCTCGTCGCCTAGGCCCACCACGGCTCCGGGAAGACAACCTGCAGGGACCCCCCCCGCGGTGTCCGTAGGAGAACAGCAAGCTTTAACTTCATCTCTCGCTGACTACGAGGAAAACACGCAGAACGAGACCGTCCTCACGAAGATGGGCAAATACACCGGCATAACCTCAGTTTGTGAGATACCCCACCCTCCGACGCTTCCCACTATAGCCCCGTCGCAAAACCGCCAGTCACCGAGCAGGTTCTCATCGCCACGCCGGGTACAGTCAACAGGTGGGTCATGGAGAAGAGCACCAGGAAGATGAAGATACTCGTCTTCGACGAGGCCGACCACCTGCCGGTCGAGGTGCTGGACTTGGCGCCACCTCGTCTCCTCCTGCAGGATGGATTTAGGGACGATGCCCTGAAAGTCACGGAGGAAATCGAGAGGAGCAGCCCCCATTGTCAGGTAAATCCCGTCCTACAGTCGGAGTTTTTACCAGGAGAAATCCTGGAAAAGTAAGTCGATTTGAGGGAGGGGTTGAACATGGAATCAGGTGCTCTTGTTCTCGGCTACCTTCGACGACGCCGTGAATGCGTTCATGAGGAGGGTCGTTGGGGAGGCGAACCAGCTCTACATGAAGGAAGAGGAGCTGACTCTGGAAAAGGTCAAGCACTACAAAATACAATGCCCAAACGAACTCGCGAAGATCTACGTGATCATGGACAAAATCTTTAATTTTGGGGAGAAGGTAGGCCAGACCATTATCTTTGTGAAGACGAGGCACAACGCCGCCATGTTCCACAGGTTTTTGCTGGGCAGAGGGTTATGAGAGAGATAGATCTTATTTTCCATTGTACTCATGAAAGAAATATGTCTTATTTATAAAAATAGAAAAGGTAAATGTCCTTCCAAAAGGAGGTAATTTTGACTTATGTGATAGTCACATATCTTAGAGGTGATGTTTTCAACCACCCTCATTTTCTACTCTTTCTTCATACCGGACCCCTAAATGGGTCAATAAGGATGAAGTAACAATTGTGACATCATTCCTCACTCTTCGTACATCCTCTAAATGAGTTAGATGGGAGAAGACTCTTCGCACATCTTTAGAATGGGTCAAATGTGATGGGCTGACACTGCCAACAAACTCCACCTTAGTAGTCATAATCATATCTTGAAGTTGACATCCTTTAATGTTGTAAGTTCTCCACCTTTTGCAAAGTACTTATAATATGAATTAAATTTAAATAATATTTGAACTTCTCAATTATGACTACCTTTGTTCACATATCTGTAACATTTTCTTTCGTGTAAACTTTCTCTAAAGAAATATCTTCAGAATTCATCAACTCATGATTTTGTGACACCACATATCAATATATTTTAACTGTACATAGTAAACTTGATTCTTGACCAAAAAAATAATATTTTAATTATTACAATGTAAATGAGTTTAAGATCTCTATATTAAGAATCTTCTTTACTAGATTAAGATTTTTTATATCAAATTTTCTAATTAATAATATCTTAAATTTAACGATTTGATGTGAATTCTTCAAAATAATAAATATATCATTAATATAGAATATTAAAATAATTTGAAAATCATCTTCAAGAGTATTCATATAAATACAACAGTCAAAATCATACTTTAAATAGTCAAATATGTAATATGTAAGAGTCAAACTTCTTATATCACTACTTCGATGATTACTTCAACTCATAAAGTGACTTCACCAATTGAGAGACAAGATGTTCTAACTCGTAGATAATAAAACTTTTTGACTACTGCATATAAATAAGTCTCTTTTAAATCTCTATAAGAAAATATTATCTTCACATTTAACTACTCAAGCTTCATATCTTTATGTGTGATAATAGTTAACACCAAACAAATAAATGTGTTCTTCACAATATGTGAAAAGATCTTTGAGTGGTCAATTATCTACTTTTGTGTAAAGTCTTTTATAGTAAGTCTTATTTTATATCATGGTTGATTACTATCAATTATTAGTAAAAAAATTATATAGTCATTTATATTAAATAGTTCACTTTTTTACATGAAGATCTACTAATTCCTATGTGATTTTTGTGTAAGGATGTTTACTTCTTAGATATCACTTGTAATCATTTCTCTTTTTTAAGATAACTTATTACTTCTCAAAAAATTTTAGGCTCATCATCTCTTACAAGTACTACAAAAGTAACATACTCATTAAGATGAGTAAGAGGCCTTATTTCACATTTATCCCATCCAATAATAATACAATCAGAAACACCTAATAATTCTACAACTCAATCTCTACTCTTAATAAGATAAGAAAGACTCTACACGATCTCCACCTTCAACCTTGTTTTATCTTTGACATGAGTATCATCAAATTTCTAAATCATGTACTTTGTAAAAAAAGACTTCAATATATGATTTTCATCAAAGACCACATCTCTATTGAAAATAATATTTTTCACTTGTGAATCTCAAAGTCAATAACTTTTCATGCTAATACTATATCTCAAGAAAATATATTTTATCAACTTTGAATCTAATTTTGATGTTTCATCAGCAAGAATAAAGATATATCATGGACATCCGAATATATGTAAATTAAAATAGTCAAAAAGATTCATAATTCATACCTCTTCAGCCACCTTCACATAATAGTAGAATTTAACAATCTATTCACCAAGTCAACTATTATACTCACAGAATTTGTCTAAAACTCTTTGAACAAGTTGACATTCATTTGTAAACACTAAGCTCTATCAACAATTGTATGATTTATCCACTTAGCAACATCATTTGATGCGAAGTATTTCTCACTATATAATAACGTTAAATGTTATGCTCATCATAAAATTGATCAAATTCAAAATTTTAAATTCTATGCTATTGTCAGTTTGTAAAACTTTAATCTTCCTTCTTGTCTAGTTCTTCACCTTTGCACATCAACTCTTTAATTTTGTAAATACTTTTGACTTGTGATTCAAGAAGAATACTTAGAGTTTCTTGAAAAAATCATCAACAAAGGTTAGAAAATAACAAATATCACTCATTGACGTCACATCAACCAGATCATACATAATTATCTCATACTTCATTACTTTGAATGTCATATTGTACTATTTTCTCATGACACAGTACTTACAAAAATCTAATTTATAAGTTTTTATACTAGGTAGCAATCATCGTGTACGTAGCCTCTATATACTTGTGTCACTCATATGATCTAATCATAAGTATTATAGAAGAATGTCATTAATCATGAAATTATTCGATGTTGCAACACAAGATCTATTTATAATAATACTTTTCTCAAATTTGTAGATATTTACTTATTGATGTCATACCTTTATCATAATGATTGTTCCCTAGATAGTTTTAAGAATCTCATTCTTACATTTGAAGCAACATTTATTCACTTTCAAAACTTCAAGTGAAATCAAATTCTGATGTAATATTGGAACATAATAAATATTTCTACACTCTTTGACCACTCCGTTAAACATTCGAACCTTTACCAAACTATACCAACAACTTCACAAGTTGTATTATTTTTCATAGAAATAACTCTTGTTGTACTCTTGTATGAATCAAATTAGTCAACATTATGATACATATGATAAGAATAACTAACATCAAGAATCTGTGTTTGACAACTCTCAAACTGTAATAAAGTCAAAATATATTTCACCATCTTCTTTGTCCTCAACCTGTATACTATTAACCAACTAGATTCGACTTTTATTGTCTTATTATTTTAGTTTTTTAGATGATCTCTCTACAAGTATTCCTTCTTATGACACTTGTGATAAATTTAATTTTTCAATCAATTCATCTATGACTTGGACCAATTCTTCTTGTCTCTTGATGATTTCTCCTTTTTCTACTTTTCACATTTTCTTTTACTCTTCACATATAAACCTTCACCATGAATTTCACTAAAAAAAAATATCTTGATAAAATTTCATCAATAAATGAATAACATCTTTAAGAATGAGTGATGTGCTATCATGCAACAAGGTTATAATAAGATGATTATATGAATGAAGAAGAGAAATAAGTAGAATAATAACTTTGTTCTCATTAGAAAAATTTGATTGTATACGAAGTAGGTCATTTAATTATTGATTAAAATAAAAAATATGAGATGACAAATAATCTACTTTAGTGCATATCATTTTTTCCACTTCTTCAAGAGTTCTTTGAGATTATATTCATTCATGATTTTCTGAATAGTCTAATTAGACAAACATGTATGAGTAAAATGTTTAGCCTTCTTCTCTATTATCTCTCAATCAATAATATTGATTTTGTTTGGCTTTGATCTATTCAAAGTTTTATATAAGTTGTCTACAACAATGTATCATAAACACAATGCTTCTAAAAATTGAAGTTAGATGACTTATTCAATTTTTGGATGTGTACATTAAAAATCATAATAAATCTAGAAATAATTAAACATGACTTTGATAAATAAATATGTAAGCACATGATCATAATAATAACAAAAAGTCAATTTTTAAATATTAGTGAGAGCAAATAGAAAATAAATAATCAAACTATCAAATATTTTGATGATAACAAAACTTCCACTAAACACTTATAAGCCACATCTCAATACCCTTAAGATGACCCATACACTAAAGAGTGAACAATAGACTCTTATATCTTTTTATAAGGATTTCACTTGTAATATAAAAAAGAAGAGAGGCCAAGAAAAAGGAAGAGAGTTGATAAAAAAATAATAGAATCAAAAGAGAGATAAATCTCATAGTACATTGTATTCATTAAAGAGAAATATATGCCCTATTTATAGGAAAAGAGAAAAGATAATCATCTCTTTAAAAGGAGGCAATCTCGACCTATGTGCAGGCAGGCCCCTACATCCAGGAGGTGATGGTTTTAATCACCCTCATTTCTCACTCTTTCTCAGTGCATGACTCTAGAACGGGCAATAAGGATGAGGTGACAATTGTGACACCGCCCCTCACTCCTTGCATGTCCCCTGAATGGGTTAGACAAGAGGAGACTCCTTGTACGTCTCCCAAATGGGTCGATGTGATGGGATGATACTGCCAAGAAATAGTTTAGAGGCAGTCTAACAAAGGTCCATTTAACCACGACCTCCTTGCTCACCGTTTTGACCAATCTTAGGCTTGTGAATTCTTGATTCGACACTCTGGATCGTTATTTTTCTCCCAAGTTCAACTGCAGACACCTAGAGTTTGCTGTGCTGACGCATTTTAGTCATCTATCTGTTTCAACTAAAGGTTAACGTGGTTGTCAACTATGATCTTTCAACAAAGTATGACGCCCCTATGGAGCCAGATTTCGAGGTCTACTTGCATCGGGTTGGCAGGACCAGCTGCTTCGGTTGAAGGGGTAAATTTTCTTGTTGGAGAGGTATTCCATTCAAGAGATTAAGAAGCAGCCAGCCAAATATAAAATGGATTATGCCGCCATTTTATTGCCAAGATACAATTTTCTTAGCCCATGAAAATAGCCCCATAAAAGTGGAAGCGCCCGTCTCCCTCCTAAGTGGAGCCGGATGGAGAGAGTTTGGATGTGAACTCCATTCTTAATCTTGGTACAGCCCCATAGAAAGTAAACAGCTGCATGTACGATCGGAAGGATCGGATATTGACCCTTTAGATCGTGGTGATCTTGTTGGGTGGGATGGTGGTACATCATCTTTTTTTTTTCAAATTATTCTATTGTTTTAGTGGGTTTTTAATGATAGTGATTGATTAGCCACATGAATATAGCTACATGTTTTTAGACTCAGACCTTGTCTTGTTGGATCAAACAGGGATTGTGTTCAACCTGCTTTGCTGGGATTCAGACAAAACGATCATGGAGAGGATTGAGCAGCAAGGTCCTCGAGGTTGCTCCTCGAGCTCAAGTTCATGAACAGATTATATCAATTTTTGTATAGTCAAATATACGAAAAACAGCCGTGAGACGTAGAAATATAAGGATCATAAACTACGTCGGATTTTAAAGAAACCTATTGTTTCTATTTTTTTCCAGGTACCTGACTGGAGGAGTGAGGATTTCAAGGCTGCCCTCAACAGCGCGGGCTTGTTGTGAGCTCCTTCCTGCCTGGTTTGCTCTCGAGGGCCACGTTAGTTCTTGGGAAGTTGTGCGCTGTTAGGACCAGGAGAACTCGGCTTTTTCTTTTTTGTTAAAGTTCCCCACCGAGGATCTCAAGAAAATCAAGGCCCTGTGAGAAAAGGGTGGTGGGTAACTGTGGCTCTTGCCTCATTTTGTTTCACGAAAAATTGGTCTGGCTTCCGGAGAATGTTAAACTGCGCTATATAAATCACAGCACAGGCGGGCCAGCAACAGCCAGTCAATAAATCACAAGTTCCTTCTTCCAAACATATGTTTTGCAAGAACAAGCAGTCCGACGAAAACTTAAAGAAAAAAGTATGAAAGAAAGTGTGTGCATCCCTTCTTCCAAAGGAATCCGAGATGACCAAAGAACAGCAGCAGACCAAGCGACAGTTATCAAGAGAAAACATGATAGCCATCACGCACATCTTGGAAACCTGCTGCCGCCGGGACTCGCATCATCTCATCATGACCCGCATTTTGTATGGACATGAGTTGCATGTTCTAAAAACGAATAGATGGCGAGTCCAATGCCGCGAAATCAAGTGAGCGTCCGCACCACACAAGAAAATATGGATTACAGGAAGAAGAAAATGTCTGGGAGATGATCCTGAGATGAAGATACGACGAGAACCATTGCAGGGGAGCGTGAGCAAGGGGTAATCCAACAACTGTCCGGCCACTGCGAATTCTTAAAACCTGACGTCTCCCAGCTTAAAGTATGTTTTGGGCGAATACAACTGATGAGGTATGAATGTGAACACGTGGTTTTATGGACATCCTTGTGCTCACGTTATGCACTGCAGTGCGTTGGATAATTGCCGGCCAACACCCACCAAAAGCGAAGGTGTGCTAGCCGCTGAAAGCCAAATTCGTGGGCTTAAAACTCTGCTCTGATCATCCTTTTTTAATCACGAGAATGTTTATCGGACAACGAATTTCCCCTTGGCTCCACTTGGGACGGCAGAGGATCCACACTCACTGAGGGCAAGAGTGGGAGAAGAAAGAGAAAAATGGGCGCGTAGTGTTTCAGTTTGCCTCATTTCCTTACAAAGGGGTCAGATGTGCCCCACGGTGCTTGCAGCTGTAGATCCTTCCATCCAGATGGACCAGGCGAAGCCTTCTCATCTACTTTCCTTTAGGACGACAGTTTCTGAGTAATAAGAAGAACAAATAAGCCCAGAGGATGAGTCTTTCTTAGGGTCGAGTTGTGTTCTCATTCTCCTTTTTTGCATAGCGGAAGGCTGATGAAGACACACAGCAAGAGGAGGGCATTAGGTAGGAAAAAAGAACACGCGTGATTTAACATGATTCAGAGAAATCTCCTACGTCGAATATCTCTCAAGGATCTTTTCTTCAGGAGAATCATTTTACAACCCCTCGATGTCAACACATTGCCTCACAACACATCTTTAGATAGACTAAAACATGGACAGTGGCTCCATCTATGGTAACCAAAAGATTTTGAAAAAAAAATCTATATGACACAAATCACACACTTGCCTAAAATGAAGATTAGAGTTAGATCTGTGTAATCGTCGAAGAGTCCATTAGAGCCCAGTAGGGCTCAATTGAATATTTTTCTTCACAATTTAACAATCTATATAGAAGAGACTGATCTTCAAGGAAAAATAAAGTTTTTCTTGAACTCGTGCGATGCCTCTAATTAGCTAACTTTAGAGGCTAATTGAGGTCATGCAAAACCATATTTTTTCTGTCATGACTGCCATCATGAACATATATGTTGAATTATTCAATCCGTTAACCTTTTCAAGTGTTAATATTCCATCCTTTAACAAGCTGCTGATAAACTACTTCTTTAATCATATATTTTTTCTGGCTACGCGTGTGGCACTTTGACTATTAGAAATCAACATGATATTCTTGTGATGCTTACAAGATATAGAAGGACACTTTTTGTTCTTATCATTTTCCTACTTTCTAATATGACGGCAACATATTTTGGTTTAGTTGTCGAGATAGCCAAAATCTTCTACAACTAAACAGTTCAGCTTACAGTAATACCACATAAGAGTGTAGAAACATCATGTGGTACTGCTTCTCATGTTAACGTCATCATCAAAATGTCAATCTACAAAAGCTTGCAACTGTAGATTATTTTTCTTAAAACAAGAGACACGGTTGAGGTGCATTTTGGGTAACAAAAAATATATTAAACAACCATCCAATGTTTCACAATGAAAATGATCACAATTCTCACTCCATGAGTTATATTTGGTCTAATGTAAATCACGTCTTGTGTTAAACTATCAATAACAGACATATGACATCAAAAGACCTACATTCATCCAATTCTCTTCTTGTATTATTGTTGTCTTTATCAAATGAGTTGTTGCATTAATAATATTTGTCCAAAATTATTTTAGTAGCCTACCATGTAAGATAATGTTTTGGCTCACTCATGATGGACAATGGTCATGTTCATCATCTCAACAACCTATTTTACTGATGAGTGTCCAAAATTTCTTTATTCATTCGATTCTTATGCTCAAAATTGAATTTATTCAAAATATAGTTGTCATTTTCACTACTATTGTGAGATTCCATGTTTTAAACCTTTAAGGCTAAATTCAAATGCATGGCTTTTTGATCTCTTAAAAATCATATAAACATCAAATTAATGTGCATTAACACAACCTTTTCAGTCTTTGAGGTTATTCTAAGCTTTAAGAAGGAAACCCTCTTCTATCTGTTGAGAATCCACTTTTTTTCCATTGATTTTTTATTAGGTGACTTTTTTTCTGATATTAACAACTTCATTCATTTATTACTCATATGCCTCAATTTAAAATGTAATGTCGTTTTGTTTATTTCCCAATTAACCACTACTGCATTATCTTTGTTGATGGTGGCCATATATAAACTGTCGTTAGTTAAACATCTCGTAATTATCATATAGCTCATTTTGCGATTTTTCAGGACTTATTCACCAAGGTTGTTGCATAATCTCCATTGCCTAGTTGTCCCAACTAATATCATATGTTTATTCGATCTCAAGACATGTCTCCCATTTAACAACTTTCACATTATCTCATTGTAAATTTTGATTTAAATGGTCGCTTTGCCAACAATATCCAAAGGTCAACAATTATCAAGATGCACCTTATCACAAATTTCAGCAATACTATTGATTATCTACTGAGGTAAAGTGGAATGCAACAAGGGTTTAAAATCTAAGACTTTATAAGAGTGTTTATGCTCAAAATAAGAATGTCTTGAATATCCTTAATTTTTTTTTATATCATTAATGGTATGATTTTTCGTTAATATCTGACTTCTTACTAAATCTTTTAGTGTGCCTCTATTTTATGGATTGATAATGTATGTTATTTGAACCCTTCAATTGATTTATTTCTCTTGATTTATCTTTATCATAATTTACTATTTTTGTGCCCTTTTCCTGCTTTAAACACATAACGCTTGTGCATATTTCCCTTAGTTCTCATGTAAACATCTTTGCCAAGAAGCATATCATTAGCGTTAGCTAATTTCATTTTTTTGAACCTGTAGAACTAGTCATCATGGCATCCCAACTGTTGGACAAGGAAAACATCAAAATTAAGACTAATTTTGATGATCAAACATACTTATAATAAAAATGCCAATTTACAAATTATCATATTGAACTTGATGTGGTGCACAATAAATATTTGTTCTCTTATTTTGAAATTCAAGAGACTACGCATCAAATACACTTTATTTGATATTGATGGATTATCACATATATTTGAGAGAGTTATCATAAGACATGGAATGCTATTTTTTATTTAGAATGTTGAATGAAAAATTTCCAACTAGTGTCTGACAGACCAGTTCTAAAGCTTTTTGATTTGAAATCATATTCGTGCAACATCTCATCTAGTTTCACATCAAACAGCAGTTGGTAAAGCTTCTTCTGGCATAGATAATCTTGCATCTTCTTGATCTAGAATTTTTTCAATTGAACTTGTCTATCTTGACAGTCTGTTCATCTATAGCCATTGATCTCACCATTTTTCTAGTACCGAGCTCACCATGAATGTTTGTTCTCAAGCCCAGTATAACTGCAAATCAAAAGCTGTAATGCTAATTGTTGGGGATGAAGAGTGGCATCATTTCCCTTTATAGACAACGAAAGACTGATGCAGACACGCTACGAGAGAGAGAGAGAGAGAGAGAGAGAGAGAGAGAGGAACACACCATACTTAACATGATCAGAAGAAAGTGAAAATGGTATTCTTTTAAGAGAATCATCTTAGAGCTGTCTACAGCAATACATAGTGCTTGCACATCACACCTTTCCATGCTGAAGAGCGGAAGTGGTGGCTTCCCCTCATCTTGTCTGAAGATTAGGGAAAACAATACACCACAAAAAGGACATATACGCCCCTAAATGTCGACTAAATTTGGATGTGTGTAGTTGCAGCAGTGCTCATGAATCCTCCAAAGCCAAATAACAGATCATTTTCCACAACAACAATATCGTCCACTTGATCCTCGAACGACACCTATCGTTACCTCCTTCCCTTTCTCCTCTCTCCTCAAAGTCGGTTCATGCTCTACGGAATTAAGTTAGACGGGGTAGAGATGCAGATTCGGGGGGTTTCTTGATAAAGGACAACAATGATTAGAGCACAGTTTTCGACACAGGGAATGAAAGAGATTGCAGAGAAAGGGGCCAAGTAGGGGTGCATGGATGGCAATGACCACAGCGCATAGCACGGAAGAAAGAGACACACCTGCGGACGGACTTTAGGAGGGGGCCAGTGCACGGGGTTCGCCTGCCCGATCCGTCAAGGCCCAGGGGACCTGTAGCGGGAACGACGGGTGGGAGGATGCCGTCATCCGAATGTCATTTGACGTCGCCACGGCAGCTAGAAGGAAACGTGGAAGCAAGGCCCTTTTTTCTCACCGAACCCACTGAACGTTTCAAACTAGCGCTCTCGAAAGAGACCAGGGCATCATCTCAAATTCGATCGGTGGCTGAGGAGGAGTAGGATGGATTGAATCCACCGCCATCGTGTCAAGTTCATCTTCGATTTTGCACATTCGAAGACCCAAGAAAGCCTCGAATCCGAACGACGTTCGCATTAATGGGAGGGTTAGACGCGCTGCTCAACTACAAATCGCTAACGCTCCGGCGGTGCTAGTAATAAACAATGGGTTCAAGAATCGACGCCTCGCCCAACGCAAGGGAGAGGGACACCAGTCTAATACCTAACCGTCATCCTCCTCGCTATGTAGAACCTGCTCGATGAGCTTAATCTTGTTGACGTTCTCATCGTTGACGCGAGAGAGCTTTCCCATCGACGCCTTCAGCTGTGAGATTCTTTGAGAGTCCAGGGCTTGATTACGCCTCCCCTGAGATAGTCTCTGGATCGGGCCGCCAGGGGAGGGATGCAGACATCTCCTCAACCTCCCGTTCAGGGCTTCGATGGACAAATCCAGGGCACAGAGTTCCACGTCCCTGAATCTCTCTGCAATTCAGACGACGCACAAAATTGTACACAGCTCACGGCTCGGAAGCCAAGGAAAGTCAGATCAGACAAAGCTTTAAAAGGGTTAAAAAGGAGAGGGCTTTCAATACCAAGTTGGGTTTTAAACTCTCTTTCTGCCTTGGACAGTGGTTTTCTGTCGGCTCCCGGTAGGTTTTTGAAGCTCTGCAAGCGCCTCTCCTGGATTCTGTACACCTCAGTGGCACGATTTATCCGACTTGTCAAACGCGGCTGCTTGTCCTCCAATCTGCTCAGCGACTCGCCGACCACCTGTAAACGCGCATGCTGCTCCCCGAGAATTGCCTTGAGGTGATCTCCGTGCTGTTTGAGCTCAACATACACCTGGAGATCAAGAGAAAATGGATGGGACGCTGAAGTTCAAAAAGATCAGGGAGGGGAGGGGATGAGACGACAATTGACAAGGAATGCACACCACACAAAACATGCAGAAAAATAAATAATAATAATAAATACATTCATATTTGGTTTACCTTATGAGCATACTCCACAAAATTTTCGTGGAAGAGCTTGATATAGTGATGAAGCGTTGACCTGCCTTCAATGGATTCTGGACTCAGAGATCGTAGGCTGGTGGAGTCCGGAATGATGATGACCTTCGGCCCATTAAGGAGGTCTCGGCTTATAATATCACTGACGGCTACATCCTCACGACCAATGGAGGGTCTCACACTCTCATCAAGAAAATGCGGCGGCATGTCCTTCCAGCCTCTCATCTCCAGCAAGATGCACTCATATACAGACGTCACCACGACAACCTGCGAGTCACCAAAGGAATCTGCTATGCAAACGAAACCATAGAGCAGGGGAGACGAAGCCTCTCCGTGGCAGGTGCTTAGAATAGGGCACACAGAGGGGGCACTCGCGGACTCATCTGATCCAGGGGTGAGATTCGAGAATGGGAGAAAATGCAGAGTGATCAAGTCTATTCCTCCGCCATGCAAACAGTAGAGCCTCTCGGAGACCAGCGGATCCGAAAAAACCGACACTGGGTGATGTAGGGCTGCCTTTGGTAATGCCAAGTCCACAACAGCCAGCCTAAGTAAGGGGGGTGGATTTCCAGACCAAACCGGGTCCGCCGCATTGCTGCTCATATTTCCTTGAAGGAATCTAATGTTATGAGGTTCTTGTGAATTCGGCTCACAAATCATGCCCATTTGTGCTATGTGGCCCCGTGAATTCACCCGCAAATGAGGAGAACTGTCCATATTCCATAGAGGTTGCACTTCATCAGCAAGGGCATCAACCTGTAGCTGTCCACTGCTCCAGGCGATCACTAGAATTGAATCTTTGCCGATTGAACTGTACAGGATAGTCACTGCCCTGCCTTCACAATCTGCAACCCATGTTTCTGAATCCTCAAACTCCTTGCTGTGGTACACCCGACGGAGAGGCCCCTGCAAACCGAACAGTTTTGAGAATTTCATGCTTCGAGAAGCAGCACAAGGGACGAGGTCATGGAACAGCAAGGATATACATAACACGAGAGTGCAGTCAAAAGACAGACTGCAATGAGGTTGTTTATATTGGAAGAAGAAGCAACAATTTGTCCTCTCATGATTCTGTCGAACAGAAACCAACAGCTCTACAGGTTTAGAATGAAAGTGTAGAACGTTTTTATGCTCTCAATGATTAATCTGTATTGATCCTCCTGGTGTGAGTCATGAGTCAGACAGATACAGACCATTAGGGGTAGAAAACACAATTGGGTCTTGAGCATTACATAAGGTTTTTGATTTTTTCCCTCTAATAGGAGAAAAATAATCTCCTCATATTGATGATGTGCCACGCTAAGTGCTTGGATTGCATTTTAAGCTTCACTTGACGCCCAAAATTACATTGAAAATATGCCTCTGTAACATGTTTTACGTAAATAGAGCAAAAGCAAATGGGCATGAGAAATTGTTCACAGAAGAAACTAATTTAGAATAATCTCCGTTTCCTAATGTAATAAGATGGGACTCGGGATTCATTCTCTTCCAATGTTATAAGAAAAACGAATAATATAAGCCGCTTGCCTATAAAGTAAAATGGGCAGGTCTGAATGCTTTACTGATGGAAACACATTTCAATACAAGGCAGCCACGGGAGCAATAAAAAGCAAGGAATCCTCAACTCCTTTCAGGAAAATTACACACCTGCAATGAGAGTGACGCATCTACTGGAGCATATGAATGAGCCCTTAAAACAGGTAAGTTGAGCCTTTCTTTTGTATGGTCTATCAGCTCAGGAAACGTTGCTTCTAACCAAGCGAGAGCCAATCTGCAGTTGCTGACAGCTTTTGAGTTGGAAGATTTCTGTCCGAATTCTAGAGCATCTTCGTAAATCTCCTTGATAAAAGGCAAGCTGAAGACACTGCCATGTAAACAATAATTTCCGTTTCATTGGAATGCTTCCAACACTTTAAGGTAGACGTAATCATTAAGATGAATGTATGCACAGGGGAAGACAATCCAATGTGAAAAGGGAAATATTAATTAAAAAGATTATGACAAATTCAGAAAGTACCTTCCAAATGGAGCAACTGGGCAAAGGATATAGACTGAGCCGTCACTGAATAAAATGAAAACCTGGAATATTGAAGGCAGACTTGTGAGGCCTATCCTTCGATCTGTCCATGGTAGACTATGGACAGTCACAATTTTAAACAAGCACGAGGAGATGCAACTTTTGGACTTATTTAAAAAACTTACTATCGACAAAAAAGAAGCAGAGAAGAAATTACTCAGAAAAATGTTCTTTGGCAATAGCTTTTTCAAGAGTGAATGGTTGAAAGCATGCTGCCAGATAAAAATTAATTTCATTGCTGGGCGGAACCCAGAGGACTACCATATTCTCTGAATTAAACTTAGCAATGCCGATATGAAAATGAGCAAAAATGCGATTAGATGGAGTACGTTGATTAGTATGGCTGTCCTTTCCCATGATAAAATTTTATTCTCGGCCATGTTAAAAGCAGTATTATAGAGAATCTGGATTCTGGAGAGTGGATATTTGAAAGCAAATTAACACCAATTACTGACATCCTGAGAATGACAAACTTCTATCAGACTAGGAGGTTGCGAATCAGTACGTAGAAATGTAGGATTTCCAGACTTTGCCTGCGTTCATTAGGTGAAAAACTTTTGATATGCTGTTCCCTAAACTGATGCCATCCTCATGTAGCATAAATACGTGAGAAAGTGCCATCTTACTTTTCCTAGCTTATCAACGAAATCTAGTATATGATGACGTTGGAAAAGGGCAAGTATTGAAGAAGCTCTGACAACAGATTTTATTGCAGGCCCTGTCTTGTTCTCCTGGTAGCCATCTACAGCTAAGATACCAAATTCTTATATCAAAAAAACTACTGTCTTTCAAATGGCAGAAAACACCCAAAAAAACCAAACATAGAGATTGTGCAGAAATGTACGTCACAAAAAGTCAGTGTCCCCTTCGTATTCAGCTAAGATGAAGTTCACATTTGATGCTGTATCCCCGCCCTATACTATTCTCTCTGCACACAACTATCTAACGTCAAAAGTTCATAATCCACATGCTTTGAGTTTGTATGAGAATCCACAACCCCCAAGAAGATACAGGGACAATGTAGCTGAACAACCTTTCCTGTAGTTCTTAGCATTATCTTATAATTGTTAAACTTCACGAGCTATCATCCATAACTAGAATGCGGTTTTGTCAACGTTAACTAAAAAAAGTTGCAAGTTTTACGGAATAACCCTAGCGAACCATTAAAACGAAATAAGAAGTAAAGTTTTTGCTGGTGTAAATAATTTGACATTGTTAAGAACAGCTTAGGAGTCAAAGTAAAATATGGCCATTACAACCGTGATGCAAAAAAGTCCTATACCAGCGAGAAACAAGCGTGCCACATACACAAGAAAAAACCATACTCACAGTAAATCGATCCCACAAGTGCTCTCCTCCAAAGGAAAATGCAACAGGGCATACTGATGCAGCATTTTTGCATCTGCCAACTTCAACTGGCTGCAGAAAATATTCCTGCTCTGGTCGTTCAATATCAGAAGATAAATCATATATCCTGCAGAGCATTGTTAAAATGTATAACTTCGAGAGCTACAGTTTAACTACACCAACAAATATTTGAAAACTAAGACCTAGAATTTTACTTGTGAAATGGATTCTCCTGCTTACTGACACTTTCTTCAACTCAATAGGTAAATATGGTGGAGAGGCTCCATAATCATAGAATCAGAGTCAAAGCTCTGAGAACAATCAAGTAGAACTATCGATGTCACACAATCTTCATTTCATTCATAAAGGTTAAATGTTCTACAAAATGACAAGTCTTTTATGCAGACAGTAGGAAAACCCATGAAGAAATTATCGCCAAGGTACAATGAAAACCATTGCTCTCCATTATTCACAAATTAAAATGTAATGCTGAAAAGACATTATTCATTGATGCATGCATCAAAACCATTCGTGGTTTCAACATGTCTCCATGTCATTTGTAGTTCAGTATTTCGATAGGGTCCATGAATATGCATCCAGAGAAAGAGGAAAACCTGAAAACCGAATCAGAAGAAAGAACACCCAAATGGGTTACGCTACAAGGATGCCAAGATACTTGTAATACTCGTAGGGTACAGTTCTCAACAAGGTAGGCCTGGGAACCCACGAAGACGGTCCTGCATGAAGGGAAAAAAAAGAAACTGTTGTTACCTGTACAAGCAACAAATAGATAGCTTCCAAGACATGGAAGCGCACACATATAAATAGCTGGGAAACTCATAACCACGAATTCAAAATCTCGAAAATCTAGATTAATAACGTTGTCTTAGAAACTGCCCGAATCTAAAATGAGAGTGATTAGAGGCATCTCGACTTCCCTGGGGCATAACTAGCAATGGCTGAGGTCACAGCTGACATCTTTACGTCTAAGAAAGACATGGATTGACAAGAATGCTCGTATTGTGTCATATAAAAGACGGGAAATTGGAAATAATGATAATGTACGTCTGGGGATATCAGGAATGAGTCTTGACTTCCGGTTGGGCCTATCTAGGAGCCAAGAAAGCCATAGCTTATTTTGTGAGCAGCAAAAAAATAAAAAATAAGCCATAATCTTTCCTCTTGTTTTATCATCCTTGTCGTTGATAGTCAGGATATTGTTTGCCTAATCAAAGTTACTACCTTACCCAGGTGGTTCCCAAGAAAATACAAAACATAAAGCTTGAAGCCATTTAAAATGAAGAAAACAAAAGCTACGTCTGAAAAAACTAAATCTCAGTTGTTTTTTGAAACCGGTTCTAATTGCTAGAATTAAAAGTAAATTAAAGACAAATTTTGACAGTTATAGCTAACGTAAAACATACAGCATTGAAGTTGAAACGTAGAACATCATCCCCATACCTGCACACAGTTGTATTTCCAATTGACGAAATTCGGTCATGTATGTACATGACATAGACGCCACCGTAACCAGAAATAAGTACTGATGATCCTTCCCTATTCAGTGATATATGGTGAACTAACAAACTTATTTGGATGCTTGGAAGTATCATCTGCATACAGATGAAAGTTAATATTTGCTAGAATAGCATACCAGCAAAGACTAAAAGCAAATCACAGAAAATATGATAACACTGCTTATAACCAATATCCTCATTAAGACAATATTTGTCTGAAACTCGACAAAATACAACAATCATCCTATATTATCTGGTTGCTTTGTACAAATATCAAAGCTTTTATCTAACACCAATGGCATTAAGTAGGAGAGCAATTATCTTAAAGATTTCGTGAAACATGAATAGTGCAAAAGTAAATAGAAACTAATGAATTTCTGCAAGTACATTGAACAACTCAGTTACATCCTATATTTTTCCAATAAAGAGTTCAAAATTCGTGGAGTTTCAAGTAGGTACGATCAATTTATGAGTTTAATAGATAAATTGGTTCCCTTGTAAATTTTTCTATAGCAGTTTTCTTGGTACAATAAGTGACGGATCAATCGTTCCCCAATCAGGGGTAGTTCATCTGTACAAAGAGCTTCCATTTGCTTTATAAGAATCCACTGCAATAGAAAAGACGGCACAACTAGAAATATTCCCATCTAAAGCTTTTTTATAAAGCCCTAATTGTAAGTGGAGCACATTTATAAATTTCGTGCTTCCTAATATTGCATAGAAAGGCTAAAGAAGACCAAATGATGACGGCCCCATGAGCAAAACCAAACTGAACTGCCGTATCTTCATCGGGGTCAGTCCTGTCATTGGTCTTTATGGATCTCTCGCCTCATGTTAGAATGATGGCACTCTTCTAATGTTTGGGTTTCTTCACGGACGTACATCAGTGCAGAGCTTGCAACTTGGTCTTTTGCTTCCATCAGTCTTCTTCAGTAAATCACTTCTGCAAACATCTTCTCCTTGGATATTGTAGGATCATAGGCAGTTCAATTAGCAGCATCTCCATCAAAGTTAGCAAAATTAGGATCCCTTCTCTTTGATCTAAAATAAAGCGTAATTTCAAAATGAAGCAAAGGCTTTCAATCCCACGAAATCTATTTTCGAATAGTTCGAGGGCTGGAACAAATGAGTTTCAAAATGGGTAAAGGCTAATTTGAACATGAAAATGAAGAAACAATGTGTTGAACTTATAGGTTGCCTGAGGAGATCGCAACTGTGCTTCATCATGACTCCGAAAAACACTCGACGCTCCACAAATGTCTCATTTATGAAACAGAGGACCAGGCAGGCTCATATCGTGTAGAATAAACAAGGAGATGGATTTCTATCGCCCCGCAGATTATGACATGCATAGTCTTTATCATGGAACAATGTTTTGTTTCTTCGCACCTTCATCAATAATCTTTACCATTCCAAAATTCTGATGAGCTTCTGAATTGGGCGCGCAGGGGTGGGGGGTGGGGAAGACCTGGTAATATGGGAAATGGCAACCATTCCAAAGAATCCCTTTGATACGTACGTGCCAACGGAGCATGAGAGGTTATCCGCAGAATCCAAAGCACGTCAAGTAAAGGGAGTGAACACCCCACTGACGTGCGAACAGAAACATCAGGGAGCAGGCGCGGGGGTTATCGAGGAGCCGAGATACCTCCGAAGGGCTGGCGGCCTCCGCCGACGCGGGTCCACCAGGGCTTCTGAAACGCACTGAGATGCGGTGAAGGCACACTCCCTCGGGGTCCCACAAGTATAGGCGCGAGCAGGAGGAGTCCCAGGCAGCGAGGTTATAGCCACTGGTGATTTCAGAAACGGTGGCATCAACCTTGAGCGCAGCACCAGTCTCCCTGTTCCTGTCGAAGACGGGGTGTCGCTGAAGAGGCAACCACTCGACGGCGGAGGCGGAAGATGCCGGAGGGATGGCGGCCGATGGCGAGGCCCTCACCCCTCTCCGGCCCTCGGTCCCCACCCATCTCCCTCCCGGGGTGAGAGGTTCCATAACGTTGCCCCTTCGGCAAGAAGAAACCACGCGGGAGAAAAAGGCCACAAGCAGGACGGGGAAGCGGGCTCGGGCTCGGCTAGATGGCGACGGATTTGGAAGAATGCACTGTCGCACTGTGAATGCTTGTAAATCAGGAGGCAATCCTCATTCGCGATGCATACGGGAGAAAGTGACGTAAGCACCACCGCCGTGCGGGGGCGAGGGTTTCTTCAGCCGACCTGCTTGCCTTTTCCAGGGGCAACATCCCTCGGAGGGGGTAATAATAAAATATCCTGATTTTATCCTGTTACTCAACACTCTGGTTTTCCGCAGGAACGATATTTTTTCTGGGGTTTCGACGGTCCCCACTCCTATCTCTTTTGCCCCCCCCCCTCCACAGCATCCTCACTTTCCTTCTCCGACTGGGTCTCTCTCCTTCAAAACCAACCAATACCGCGGTGTCGCGCGGACGCGGGTATAAGATTGACGAAGTTCTCTGGAGGTACTGGAACCTCATCCACTCCAACAGCAACCAGTGTCGCCCTCTGTCTCTCTCTCGCTCTCTCTCCGGCCGTACTGGCGGCACCTTCCCCCTAACCCACCCCTCCTACCCGGGCGGATATCGCGCTCCCTAACGCGACGCCTGGATGAGGGACGGGTTGCTAGTGTGGCGGCACATCCCGGGTCTCCACAAGTCCGTGGGACAACGAGCAGGAACTGGAGTAGAGGTGGAGAAGGAAGGGGATGAAAGAGTTTTTCTTGTGGTTACGGCTTCCTCTAAGAACATGAAGGCCTCTTTGGCTCCCGGGCGGGGGAGTTTTGCCTCCCTTGTCGTGGGAGAAAGGCGAAAGGTCGGGACCGAGGAGGGCCGAAGCGGCCCTGGCAGCGACGACGAGGACACCGCCCTTGGAGATGACGTCAAGGTATGGCCGTCCACGGCGCAGTTCCTGAAGCACCCCCTGGCGCTATTTGCCCTGGTGCCGAAGGATGCCACCCTCTTCGCCGCGGCCGCCGCAGCGGGTGCGGCTGCTAAGACGTTGACAGCGCCCCTCGACCGCATCAAGCTCCTCATGCAGGTGCGCTGGTGTCACTTTCTTCAAGCTTGTCTGTTAACTGTCCGTGTGCCCTCCTGGTGATTCCGGAGGGTTTAGTTTTGAAACTTGAGAGTGACACCTTTTTCCTCTCGGAGGAAGTGAGATTTTAGATGAGTCTTGCCCATCTGAACAGAAGGACGACCTCTCGTGACTTGTTTTCGTTCCCATCGTGCAGACTCACAGCGCGCGGACCGTGGGTGAGAGTGCGGGCAGAGGAATTGGTTTCTTTGAGGTACCCATCTCCGGCAGTCAGTTGTCTTGTATTTGCATTTTTTTTTGGGTGATTATTCTTCTAGGAGTCGTATGAATATCTTCTTATTGGACATCACTTCAAGAAATGAAGTTTTTGGTATGTGTTCGATGGCATTTGCTAGTTCTCATTGGTAACCTCATAGATGGCATGCTCAATGCAATGAACGTGCACGGGTTATTTTCATATTTGCTATCAGTGATTGTTTTTTCCTGAGGAATTACGTCGTAATATATCTAGTGGTTGAGGACTTCGATGGCATAATTTTAAGACGTGCGGAAATTTGGTCTTTTAATGGGAACGCGATCAGAAATCAGTTTACTCCGGATGAAAGTTGCTTATCCGTATTTCTTTCCAAGTCATAAATTCTGAGCGTGTACCGGATGCTACGAAGTAGACCTCTGCTTGAATGTAACACCTTGGAAGTATTCATTCCGAAAATGTTTTTTTATTTATGTCTGAGGTCATATGTTGTTCACCCCAGGCTCTATCTTTGATCGGAAAGGAGGAAGGTGTCAAGGGCTACTGGAAAGGCAATCTTCCACAGGTAACTTATTACAATACACACATTCTTGGTTGTAATTGAAGCGGATGCAATTGCACAAGAGTCCTCATATTTTTCTCGTGACTGTGAGAATGTCTTTCAGGTAATCCGAATAATTCCATACAGTGCGGTGCAGCTATTTTCTTATGAAGTCTACAAGGTACTCACATGATACATGTAGACTTTCTGAGCAACAGCATGACTCCAGCATGTTTGTTTCTTTTGAATGTAAAGGAATCCACACTAACTTACGCTTCATCCTATTGCTGGCTTATTTGGTCTCCAGAAACTCTTCAAGGGAACAGATGAGGAACTCTCTATTCTTGGAAGACTGGCAGCAGGAGCATGCGCTGGGATGACTTCCACTCTTGTGAGTCATCCTCGACCTTTAGTCATCCTGTTATTTTTCCTGTGCTGCCATACAGTTTCCTTCTTACTCCTTCCTGCACGCATGCGGTGAAAATTACTGATTTGGCGACTCATATATTTATGAGATGTTGTATATCGTTTGGCATAGGTCACATATCCTTTGGATGTGCTAAGGTTAAGGCTAGCGGTTGAACCTGGGGGCAGAACTATGTCTCAGGCAAGCGATTATATTTTGATTATGACTGATATGCCAGAATTATGCTGTTCAGTAACTCTTGGTCGTTGATTTTCAGGTCGCATTAAGCATGCTGAGAGAAGAAGGAATCGCCTCCTTTTATTCTGGGCTTGGTGCTTCGCTTGTCGGAATTGCTCCATACATTGCTGTGAACTTTTGCATGTTTGACTTGTAAGCTTCCTTTTCCGTTCTTCTGTATTGCTTTAACTCCATTGCAGTCATTTGGGATAGTAATCTTGCAATCCATGTTTCGATAGGGTAAAGAAATCCCTCCCAGAAAAGTATCGAAAGAGACCAGAAACATCGCTTGCAACAGCGTTGGTATCAGCGACACTAGCAACACTTATGTGCTACCCTTTGGATACCGTAAGAAGGCAGATGCAGATGAAGGGCTCGCCTTATGATAGCATTCTTGAAGCTTTTCCAGGTAAGATTAAAAAAAGTACAAAAGTAAGATCAATGTGTCCACTTTCTTCACCACCCTGACAAATGGTCGTTGGGTGATGTCTTGATGAGTAGCTGCCTGGTCAGTGGCCGAGGTTTGCATGTTAGAGAGAAATTGGCAGTGAAATATTTGCCTGGTTGAAAATCTGCTGTATTTGCATGCCTGGTTGAGTGGAATGGATCTCATCACCACTTATTTGAATTTGCGTATTTAATGTAAGCTATTTTCTTGCTGCAGAAAAAACAAAGAGGTGGTCATCTTGTTTACGTTTATGAACTTGCATTTTAGACCGTTGCATACACGAGATAAAGGATATCAAGATGACTTTAAACTGCCTTACTGGAGGGTAGTAAGAACGTGTTCCAGGCCTGAATGATGCTCCCTGAGAGGTTAATGGGAAGCGGCTGGTGCCATGAAAAATGTTCACTATTCATGGTTCCTTCTTAGGCCTTTTTTTCCCTTTAATGAATCACGAGCTGAGAGTTTCTAATAGCAATCAGTTCCCTTCTGGGAGTTAATGGTACTTTTGAAAATTGGGCAAGCCCATTTTTTTGTGATAAAATTAACGAGATAAATTAGGCTTTGGAAGGGCTGCATGCTATATAAATGTTCATCAAATGGGATGCAGAGGATGCTTCTAGTTGTTATTCTATTTTCCTTGTCTGTTTTTCTAAGTTGTGTTTAACGTATTTAGTGAATTATTAACTTCTGGCGTCCAAAAGAGGGAGGAGAGGAGACCAGAGGAATGCAGTCCTTTACTCCCATGATTTAAGTAGTAGTGTATTGGATTCATCCGGGTGTGTGTTTGTGTGTGTGTGTGTGCGCTTTTGGTGTTTTTATTGTTTGATTATGGGCCATGCATTGCTGGCCCATTCAAGCACCAGGATCGACTGTGCAGAGTATCGATTTTACGTAATCTTTCGATTGACGAATCTGACTGATGACATCGACGACATTGAGGAGAAAATGATTTCTTATATATATGCAGGCATTGTGGAGCGCGGTGGTGTACTCGGATTATACCGGGGTTTTGTGCCCAATGCGCTCAAAAGCTTGCCAAATAGCAGGTATGCTGCCTTACGAACGAGAAATTGATGAAACCTTACAAGATCCTACGCACATGATGGAGTCGCACCACAAACACATGCAAATAAACCCTGCAATCTTGTGACTCGTGGTCAAAGCTCTCGCGTTCTTGTTCGGGCTAAAGGTTTGCAATTTACTCTCCTAATGGGTGCTGTGGTCTTTTGCAGTATAAAGCTGACCACCTTCGATACTGTGAAAGGGCTGATTGGGGTGGGTCAGAAGGAACTCCAAAGAATCATAGACGAGAACCGAGCTAATTTAGTAGGCTGAGAAAGCTGGGCAACTCCTGCTCTCCGTTTTTTGCTGTAAGAAACGCGCATCAGACGCAGCAATTTTTTGGACAATTCCGTGAGGCTCATCATGTGGCAATTCCATACTGGGTCAGCTCTTTCCCCGAATGAGAGCGTAAAGTTCGTTGGTGCCCAGCTTGTGGGAATGTAGTATCAGGTCTGGTGCCAAGGGAGGCCCTTCTCTCTATTTCCTGCCGTTGGGGCCGCCCCTTCATTTATTTTTTTTTCCTTACTTTAGTACCCAATTATTAAACAGGCATTTTTTATTTCGGCATGCAACTGTCGCCGGCTGTTACGACCCTGAGCCGTTGTTTCTGTTCTTCAGACGTCGGCATTCAGGAGTGTCGCACAACTTTGTATTGTTCCTGTCCTGCGGTGATGATATGGAATTTGTCATCGTCACCCGACGCCGGCCTTCGAATCGGGTTGTTCTCGCCCGTCGACCGAAGCGAAGGTCTCCCTATCAAATAGTTGTCCTCCCGGCGGACTTCCCCGTGCGCGTTGCGATGGTCACGGCGGATTGAATCGTCCTGGTTTTTTTACTTTCCAGAGCCGACATGATCCTTCCCCAATACACTCCAAGAGAGAGAGAGAGAGAGAGGATGGGCACGCGACTTTTTGATGAAAATTTTAACGGATTGATAATTTTAATTTATGACGGAGTGCGACTCTTTCTCTAATTCTTTTATCCGCTACTTTCGCAAAAAAATGTCATTTTGAAAACAAGGTCAGAAGCATCCTCCTGCGGACTGCGCGCTCCCACCTCCCGCCATGCTATCGCTTCACCAATGTTGCGGGAGCCGCCACTCCGCACCCGCCGCTCGCCGACGGCTGCTGGACAACCGGCGACGTCTGTGCCGCTGGGTAAGGGTTGGGGTTCTATACGTGACCTTAAATGATGATGCTCCACTCCGATCCGAATCCCTGATCGGGGTTGCGTTTTCTTCATCCCCGCCGACCAAATTGGCAAGGTTTACCCCAAGATGGGGGAGGACATGCCAATCTCGCTGCTGTCTTCCAGACTCCGGCTGCGGCCCAACGGTGGAGGATACGGGAGCAGGGCTAGACCACAGCGGAAGGCACAGAGAGCCCATGCGGCGGGTGTTGCTGGTGGAGAGATACGAGAATGGCGCCGCCAAGAGGTAGTAGTCCCCTCGGTGGCTAATTGGTGATGTAACTACGCGGAGTGCAGAGAGCATGGGTCTTCAATTCCTCTGTAGCTGTCAGTGACACAACGCTGGTAGCCTCGTAGGTATACGTTGGACTGTGATTCGCGTCTGCATACTTCTTGGGCGACAGGTGGATTCCCCGAGGATACGAGAGAAGGACGAAGACCCTCTACGGAATTGTCTTGGCTCCCGGACTCCCTCAGGAGCTTCATCCTGCCTGAAGGGTTTCCTGGTGAGAACTCCTCATCATTTCTCTGGAGAAGCGGAAATATGAAGACAGCGCTGTCGATGGTTTTCGCATGATTTATATCGTTAGAATAATTACCGCAGGATGCAGACCATTTTCGGAAACGCAACATTTTCGGCATCCATCTCTATTTTTGTCGGTTAATGCTGTTTCCACGTTTGAAAGTGCAAATGGACTTTTGGTCATGCCTCCCATTTTGGTGTAAACTTCAGGATCGGTGTCGGATGATTACTTGGAGTATATGCTGTTGCAGTTCCCTACAAATGTAACTGGATGGGTTTGTCACACGTTGGTGACGTCCAGTCTACTTAAGGTACGCCATTCTGCCGAGGATTCTGGTCTATCAAGTTTAAATTAATTTCTTGGTCCCTTTCCACGAGAATAAGCAAGCAGGAGTTGATATCTCCGCATTACAAAGCTTTCTAAACAAAAAAAAAAATTCTTACCATTTGATTTCGGAGTATTGAGTTGCCAATTAATCGAGGTTGGCTTTGTGATGCGTATTGTTATCATCACGATTGTTGTCTTGAATAAAAGAATTACTAGCAGCAGAGCATGATAGTATCGTGTTGCTTCAGACTGCGAGTAGAGTAAAGCACTAATTTATCAACTCATCAGACCTGCATTGCAAGAACGAATTTTGGCAGGTTGAAAGTCAACTGAGCATTTTAGGTATATGGTGTATGCTATTTATATAGTCTTTTGACATAGCGATGTCAGCTGAAGGCATCTTTTGCTGTCCCATGGAAGTAACTAGAACGTTATTCTCTTCGAACTCAGATCTTGAACTAATGGCAGGCATTTATTCTTTTCGACTTATTGTTGCTGTCCATGATTCTGGAGATCAACAGGATGTAGATGCTTCGTATGGGATAGTCTTATATTTGTTTTAGCTGAATCCAATTTGTGAGATCTTTATCAAAAATTGACTGCAAAATGCTACCAGCCTTCAAAAAGGAAAAAAAATGCGTTGAAGACCAATTATTCCAAAGGTTGTGTTTATTTACTATTTCATTTAAGGGGACTCTGAACTTTATTGTGGAACTCTTGAATAGCATTAATCTGTACGATTTCCAATTTCTTTGCCATTTAGATTTTTTTTTTAATTCATCTTAAGATATAGCGCATCTAAAAAACTTTTTATTGATCTTTATGCATGATAACGTCACAGGCTGTGGGTGTCGGATCCTTTTCTGGATCAGCTGCTGCTGCTTCTGCCGCAGTAATTAGGTGATTTGCTATTTTGCTGACTGGGAAGGGGAACAGGGAACTTTTTTTTCTTTTTTTTTGGTACTATCGTTGCTCTATTTTTATGGTGACTAACCGCAGCTAAAATTATAATCATTTATCTCTTAATGTTTGTCAATGCTTTTAATTTTTTTCCTATGAACTCTTTTCAGATGGGTATCAAAGGATGGCCTTGGGGCTGTTGGGCGTCTATTTGTTGGTCTGGAATATGTTCGTTAGTTCATTCAATGATTAGTTTTCAATTTCTAGTTTGTAACTACAAAACGCTTCCCAGGTGGACGTTTCGGGAAGATTTTTGATGATGATCCGAAGTTATGGCGTATGTATGCTGATTTTATTGGCAGTGCTGGAAGGTCCGGCATGCAACTTATCAGGAAGCCATACCTGTTTGCTCAAAATTCTATACTTTGTATCTGATTAATCTTGTATACAGCATATTTGACCTGTCTACACAACTTTGTCCATCATACTTTCTTCTACTTGCTTCCCTGGGAAATCTTTCCAAGGTATCTGGAGGCTGTCTTTTTTCTTTTAGTCGGCTTGTTGTTTTCACGGGTGATTTCTGTATGTCTGGATCATTACAGGCTGTAGCTAGAGGACTGAAAGATCCGTCATTTCGTGTGATTCAAACTCATTTTGCAATTTCTGGTAACCTTGGAGAGATTTCAGCAAAGGTATGCATAATTATGATGCATTCGATTTTCGATTTACTGAAATGACCCATCCATCCAATTCGCCTCAACACCTTTCCCCCCACCCTCTGCATCTCTGGAGCCCATGCCATTGAAAGGAGGGAAAAAAAATACAAATCATTTCAGCATCAACATTAGTTACAGAATAAAATAGGTGCCCACGAGCAGCAGGTGTGATGCGTTTATAATGGATGTGAAATCGAGGAGGAAATAGGATTTCATTTTCTCACTTTCTTCTCTCCTTTCTTCTTTGCTTTCTTTCGGCAAGGTGAAAGGGTCTTCGCCTGGATTCTGAGATTCCTAACTTGGGTGACCAGTTCAAGTTGGCCAACCTTTGGTTTCATCGTATTCACCTTGCGGGCATAGACCTAGGTCAAACTCCTGAATTCAGAAATTACATTAAAGGGTAATCATTTAATGTAATATTACGTGTTTGATCTTAGTTTTAAATCTGAAGTCTTGTTCAATTTTAAATCATTAAAGACTTTTCCAAAACCTCTGAGAATTTTTATTCTTCAGTGACATTTCCTCGTAAACTTGCTGTTAAGTCTATAAAATATTTGTCATTTGGGTTATAGTTCAACAGAGAGTTTATTCTCTTTCTTAGGTCAAAGTGGTATTGTCATGTTTGAGAGAAATTATTCTTTTTCATGCCATTTATCTACTGGGTTTATTCCCTCTCCGCACACCCCCCTCCCCCAGGGCACCCAAACACAAACAGACGCCATCCAGTATGTAATGCTACTACTTCATTCCGTCCATTCTTTAGGCTGTCTTGCGGCCTAGATGCCATATCAATGGTTTATCCTGTAACAAAAGTTTTGTACTTGGAAAGAAGATGCATCAAATAAATAATATATAATTCTCGATTGAAGAATTGTTTTGACTTATTCTCTACTTACGTTTGCCATTGACTTACACAGTTAGTTTCTTTTTTTGCCTGCTGGTTCATTCCTTACGGGGGCCTACATCTTTAAAATGTGCTAGGAAGAAGTATGGGAGGTAGCAGCTCAGCTTCTTGGCCTTGGTATAGGAATATTGATCCTGGTAATGTATATGATAAGTTATTGTTGAGGTATCTTTGAACTGCCTCTCGAGTTATATCTCCTATATATCTTGGGACATCACAAATGCTTAAAACCGAAATGCAGGATACAAGTCGGCTGCAAACATCATACTCTACGCTAGCATTAACATGGTTAAGCATACGTTTGCTGCACCTTGTTTTACGCTATCAGTCACTTTCTGCTCTCAGATTTTCTACAGTAAGTAATATCGACTATTTAAAGCAATCCAATCCATTTATTTGCTATCTTTACTGAAGTTCTGTTGCATTTCAGTCCTAGATAAAATGTGGAAGATAATGTAGGGTATGCCTCTGTTTACATTGTATTCGTTTTATTTATCGGTAAAAAAATGTATTTATCTAGTACTCATACCTCAGGGTGAGAAAATAATTATATTTTAAAAATTAACCAAAAAAATCCCCTTCAAATATTTAAATAAGATTCTTTCGAATTTTTTTCTAAACAAAAATGAGCTTTCTGTTGCTTTCCAAAAAAGTAATTATGTCTAGGTATGTACATTGATTCTTTGCCTCTCTTTTGGATTGTCATCGTCATAATTTTTATTATGACTGTTAATAGCTTCATCCTGTGCACGATTTCTTGTTGATAGGACTGGTGAACTTTTTCAAACTCCCGATTACATTGTAGAAGAAGACACTACGCATTTCCTACTTTGAAACACTCCGTGAATCTTAGAGATAGTTAAAGAGGAATAGTAAAGGTGTTTTTCATATTACGTATCAGGCTCTCTGCCTTATAGTCGTCTAAAGTTGTTCAGTTTTTCTATTGAGGTCTGATTGTCTTTCCTTTGCTTACAAACTCACATGGTAGCGAATGCTTTACTGTAAAACATATAGCTCTTCTCTCTTCTTACTCTTTGATGGTATTGATTTGGTTTCTGGAAGTTGTCTTTTTTTTTTCACTTTATATCTTTCTCCTCTCTCTCTCTTCTCTCATAAAAAAACGCTCTCACACTCACATGACTTCCACACACAATCTCACTTTCTCTGTTTGGTAGATTAATTTAAAGCGTGCACGGGTACTTGTGAAGTCACACGTTTCAAACAGAACAGTTCCTGGTACAACCACTATTCATAACATCATTTGAAATATTATCCTCCTTCCACATATTTTAACAATTATTATCTATTGACACAGGTTCTGCGGTTTGCAACAGAGAAGAAGATATTTTGTCATGGGAACGATTTTTAAGACCGCGTATTGTTTTTGGTGTATCATTCGAGCAAACAATCAGTTGGGATAATTCAAGTCAGACGGTATCCTTTGCTTCAACTGAATCTTGGACTAGCTACAGTTTATGAATTTTTAGTAGCCACGATAATTCCTTTACATGGTTCGCACTCCAGCTCACATATTCATCTTGGTATTGCCCTGCCCCAATTTGCTTGCTTCTTCTATATACTCTGTTGCGAAATGGTTTCAAGGAAAATCACCTGCTGTCCTCCTCCCCAACCCCTCGTAAGACAGAGATACATGGATTGTTCAAGTCAGTCCTAGGATAGATATAGGCTGGATATGCCCTTGGTTTCTAATGCTTTTGTCCTCAACAAACGACAAGTCTAAGGAGCACAATTGAAATTCTTCCAACTTATTAAATTCTTGAATGGAAATCGATGTTAAGACCTGTGAGAGTCTCCTTCAGAGTGATACCCGATCATGTGCTCATTTTCAAACGTGTTTCCTGCAAGAGTTTGCAAAGTCTCTACTTGTGTTAGGTGTCACAGCGATAGCATCTTTCTATGGTAGTGTTTTCCATACGGTATGCGTGCAGGTGGCAGATAATAGAAATGGTGGTTTTTCCTCATTCCTGGATAATAAAAGATATCAACGGCTTCTGTCATTGTCATTTTTTATAATGGTTTTTTAAATCAAAATGAATTTTTTCGTTCAAATTTGAACGATATTTTCATTATTTACTCTCCTTTTCCTCGTAAGATTCACATAATGGCAAGTGGTAGGTCTTAAACCTTCATGGTTGTATTAACTGAAGTTATATTCTAGGTTGTATTTGGGGGGATTGTTTCCATACTATTAAAATTGGATTATCTTATTAACTGACGGACCTTCTTCCTGCCCGTTAAATGATGCACTGCCCTTTAAGAGGGTATAGCTGATGAATGCCTAAATTTGCAGCTCGCAGAACTATGATATGTTTCTCTCTGAGAAATGCAAATGCTGGTTTTCTCTAGGCTCCTGAACCTTTTCTCATGACCCATATGTAATGTTGCTGAATTTGCATTATTTGCCTAAAGTTTATATCTTGATCGTCAAGAAAACTGTTTAGGAACCTTATGTTTTGCCCTCGCATATCCCTGTTTCATATGTGAATATGGGCCGTAGAAAGTAACGAAAGGTACCGTAAATTCCGCCAATTGAAGTTTTCTAAATGTGTTTCTGTATGTTTGGGCGTATTCTTGAAATAAATAGGTTGAAGCTGTTCTCAAACTGTATTCCAAGGAGAGCTACATTCTCTTTGTTAACAATGAACAACCAGAACCAAAATTTCTTGTCTGCTTGAAGGTTGACACCTGACCCTCTATATCTTCTGGTTAAGGACTATGATGTCCCCAAACTTTGACTGGATTTTTATCTCAATGCCGATCATTGCAGATAGGAGCAACAGGGTTGACACTCGTGAGAAGTTTATGGCAGGCATACTGGCTGGATTCCAACTGGAATAGTGGTTCAGATTGCCTTTTGGGAAAGCTGGAGGAAAGCCTCGTGGAACTGGAAGCAGACTTTGATGACTTTCTTATGAAGATGAAGAGATCCGGATGGGACGACGACGCCATCAATATCAAGGTGCCCAAGGGGCCCCAGCTGGAAGAGGCATCAGAGACACTTGATTCGGGATGGCGGTCATAAATTTCTACCGATTCTTTGTTCCTTACTGCCACTTGTTATGGTGACAGTGCCCATTACCAACCTACATATAATGTTTTCCTGGGAAATCCTGCTTACTAACGAAAGAATGAGAGAATAAATAACGTGGTTGACCTGATTTGCATCTACTTGTGCCACACTTTATTAGAACTACGAGGCAGGAGGAAATTATCAGCGACCCTTCTTGGTCCCTCTTCCCTGTATTAAAGGAAGATAGAGCGCCGAGACAAAAATGGCGAGCTTTGCTTGCGAGCTTAGTGGGACATTTTTCTTATAAATATTACTACAGTGCGCCTTCAGGCATCAATCATCAAGTGCGGATGGATAGGTTGCCAGATGAATTTGGTTACGAAATTCCTTTACAGAAATAGTAGCATTGACAGCGCATACAGTGGTACATGCCAACAGGAAAAGAAGAAAAGCAGAGTGAGGGGTGGCGGTGAATTTAAAACACGCGGCGTCCGCCGTCGTCTTCAACCGATGTGATGATCAGTTGTTTACGTTCTCTCTCTCTCTCTCTCTCTCTCTCTCTCTCTCACTCTCCCCTCTCTCATGACGAGGAGAAGGTGTCGATGATGGTGGTGTGGAGAGGGTCGCTCAGGTGGGTGGCCCAGTTGTTGAGGGGGCCTTTGCCGGTAGCTGCCGCCTGCACGGCAAAGCCAAGAAAGGCGACCATTGCGAGGCGGGCGTGCTTGATCTCGGCCAGCTGCAAGGTTGCCTTCTTCTCCGGGTCGGAAGCGAGGCCGAGGGGGTCGAAGAACTGGCCCCCAGGGTAGAGCCTCTTTTCTGGGTCGAGCTCTGCGTTCCTCTGGAACTCGATGTACCCGATCACCAGCACCTCGATCCATATCAACGTCGATATGGAGAAAGGCAGCGGCTGTCCCAGGTAGGATGACCCGTCGACCAGTTCCACCTGAAGCACCGAAAAGAAAGGGAAAAACGCGTCCATGTGGTCAGACCTGCTTGCTTCTCCTTAACTCACCTTTTTTGCGCGGGAAAGAATTGGGAGGGGGCGGGGGGGGGCGGCGGCTTCGATTGATTACCTTGCCGGCGTCCTGCCAGGTGACGCCCGTGAGGGACTCGACAGCTAGTGCGCCAAGAGTGGCGAGCATGGCCCAGCGACCGTGGATGAGCTCGCACTCACGGAAGCGCTGCAGGCCAAACACCTCCGTGTAGGGCTGGAATGGAGTGGACTTGACATCGTCGGTCTCGAAGCGGGTGCCGATGACGTCACCGGCAAGGTTCTTGGCCAGGTTCTGGTCCAGCGAGTCGAGATCGAACTGCAGGTATTCGGCAGGCTTCCCCAGGCCGAAGGGGTCGAAGCCGTAGTCGCCGACCAGAGATCCGTCGAGCCAGGGAGGGGACACGGCGCCGGGGTACCACAGCGGGCGGTCCGAGGTGACCGCCGACTTGCTGGGCTTCTTAGGCTTCGCCGCCTTCTTGCCGCCGAAACCGAAGCGGGCGAGGAAGCGGCTGGAGGCGGAGACACCGGAAGTGGAGCTGACGTCGGGCAAGCGGGCGCCCAGGAACGTCGATGCCGTCGCCGCGGTCGTGGTGGCCATTTGTGACGGCAGGCAGATGAGACCTCCCCTACCTCTCCCTCCCACTGGCTGCCGCTGCGGCTACTACTGCACTTGTGCCGGTCTGAGGCGATCGGTTGTATGTATTGGGTGGCTCGAGGGGGAGGGGATGGCCCATGGCGCTGTAATCGGGGCTTCCAGCCGCCGGATCTCATCTAGCACCCATCTGACGGCCGACGCGCCACGAGGCCTTATCCTTCCTTATCTCTTGCTGCGCTCTGGTTGGCCGGTGAGGGATGGCGGGCGTTAAGTGGCAGGCCGGGCTTGTGGCCCTCATTCGGGGGGGGTGGTTTGGGGGCGATGGATGATGGCCTCGATCCGGTTTTTAATTGGTTCTTTGGATCCTTTCTCTTTCCTTCTCTTTCTGACGTTGCGGGCCGCCCACGCCGGCCCGGCGGGGCTCCGGCGGCTCCGACTCGGCGCACAGAGCGCTCCCTTCGCGAGAATTTCCTCCCTCTCGATCGAAACTCAGATTCCCCTCACTCTCTCCCTTCCCCACACCCCTCTCGGACTGCTTGTTCAGTCAGGTTGTGGGCCTCGAATGCTACAAGCTAGAGTACTCAGGACTCCACAGAGTGAGGTGGTGTTACCTGCTACAGGCTCAGCTCCCCTATCTATCTAAAAGTTTGAAGAACATGCGGAAGGAATGGTCTAACATCGGATGAACTTATCCACTCTATCGTCGGCTTACAGGGGAGACTCCTGGAATCTCCTTTTCTTTTCGCATCCAACTGCCAAAAGGACGAACGATTGTTGGAGGGCCACTAACCCTCTAACAATCCTAAAGTGTGATAGTCAAACAAGTCAGTTACAAACGACATGTTATGGGATTAATGTAAAGAGAATTTAATGGATATCGCAGCTTTACTCGACAACTGGAGGGTTACTGATGATTAACTAAATATACTGGAGAAGTGAAAAAATAGTAGACTGAGGTGAACTAAAGTGAGATGAAGAGGAAGTTCATGCAAAAACTTCCTTCCGTCTAAATAAACTTGTAGAAACAAAAAATGTGGTTGTTTAAGGGACAGGCAGAAAAAAAGCACACCTGGGGAAACTATCACAAATGTGAGAAAAATGTAAGATGAGTGAGTTCTAGATTAGCTGATGATGATGACGATGGTGCCTTTCAAGAGTTCATGTACGACCTCTTGGCAAGTTGAACCAAATAGCTGATATGTAGCAGAGGAATCTTAGTAACCTATGCTACCTTTCTATGTTAACAGCTCTTTAAGGCCATCCTAATCTAACAACAAATATCAAGATACAATCTTCCTTGCTGCTCCCATTTTCATAATTTATTTCTATCCTCCATCTATCTCATATTTATAGTTCTTTAGAAAACAATGTGATAAAGAAAAATAGAAATGGCTTCCTTAAGAAACCTAGTACAAGGAATTGAATGTGATAAAAAAAAAGAAAAAAATGGTTTCTCAAAAGGAACCTGGTACGAGAAATTGGAACAATGTGATAAAGAAATATAAAAATGGTTTCTTAAAAGAAACCTAGTATAAGGAATTAAAGCAATGTGATAAAGAAAGAAATGGTTTCTTAAAAAACAAACAATGTTCAAGGGATTAAAATACAAAGAAATTCCTGAATTCTCCTTTTCTTATCAAACACAACCACATTCACCATCTTCATCATCAGTGAACACCACACATTTCCAAAAAATGTAGTATTTTCCAACCATATTAGCAATTTTGTAGGAACCACAATTGTATAGGTTTTGATCCTGAATAGGCTTAGACATAATACAATTAGATAGGGAATTGAATTTTTATTATTATCTACAGTTATATTTTTAATTTTTGAAGGATTTTCCTAAGACTATGTGGAATGGAGTCAACTTGTTAAATCAACTCCCTTGTGTAGACTTATTAGGATGACTCAATTTCTAAAGGTCAACAAAAAAACCCTTGTTTATATATATTCAAACTTTCCTAACCTATGCCTACTTATCAAGAGTTATTGTCCTCAAATCCTTTATATGATAGATTTTCATGAATATTTATTTATGGTAAGCACAAAAACACAACTAATTCTTATGTCTCCAAGTACTTTTCTAATTAGGTTGGTGTTTGGAGGCTTGTGAAAGCTAGGGTGATATATCAGATGGTCTAGGAATTGACTAGTAAAAGAGATACACCTTGGAGCACAGATCAATTGATTTGCTGTATTATGAATGCATTACTTGGAAGCTAGTAAGATGCACTATTTATAGAGAGCAAGTGCGCAAATAATGAACTTCAAACGACTGTGATCTAATTGATAAAAAAATGATTAAGCACTAAGTCAACTTTGAGTTGATACAAATGACAATTCGTCTTTGTTGATGTCCAATGATAGTCCAACACTTGTCGTCAACTTAAGATTATAAATCATATTTAATTTCAATTTTTTTTCTTTCTTCTCTCCTGAATTTGACATGCTAATTACTAAGTAGACTCACTTGGGTCAAGTCATAGGTCAATTCATGTAAATCATGAGTCTCTTTATTGATACTTTTCTACAGTGTTTCTTTCTACAATGTTTTCTAGTCTTAAAAAAGTTAATTTTTTTCATTTGGACCCATCATTCAATGATCCTTTACATATTTTTACCTGAAAACCACTATAGAATAATAGATGGACCAGGCCTAACAATTAGATCTTTACTCAACATTGGTGCAATATAAGAACATATTCCGAATCAAATTTTCTTTTTATTTCTACTCGTCAACTGTTAGTATTGCAACAGTAAGAGCACCAAATTAAGATGAAGTATACAACAATCAATGAGAAGTCATTATGAGTATATAAATATTGTTTCATGTACGTGTAACCTCTATATTGACACACCTGGGAAAGTGCACAGCAAAGAATGAGGAAGCAGATCAAATTCATGGAGCTCTATTGTAATCACATTTACTGCCCAAAGACAGTTTACACGTAATACATTGCACGATTGACAATGAAAAATTTCACAGGACCGAACATATTTGATGAATCTAAAACTTGTGATTTTGCATAGCATTGTATTCCACGAACTGATAAAGATTTCAGATGTACTTGCCCAAAGGTTTCTCTCATTATTCGTGGTGCTAATTAGATAATTTGCATTCCTGATGCACATAGACTGCATTTGGGACACTCTTGTTGGTGATCACCACCGAGCTAATGTTCCAAATCTCAATTTAATCTTAGACAAAACGAACCATTGATGCAATTACTGACAGTGCTCCCTCTCTCCTACCTAATAGAAGTATTAGAATGCTGCTTAAAAGCTTCTTAGTATGTCAGTGAATCTATATCGTGAATATTTTCTTCACTTTCTTCATTCTTCTCTGACATATAGGGCAAGTGCCACCGTCTTCTACGACCCTATAGGGTAACAAAGCAATACAATGTCAATGTCTACGAAATTAGGAATGTACATCAGTGTCACTATATTAAAGAAAATCGTGGAAGGAAAAGAAGTTATCACAAAATCAGGAGAGCAAGGAAGCACACACCTTGTTCCACACGCAAAACATGTAGCACAGTGTCCACATGGAAGGAAAAAACAATCTTTCGCTGCATCAAGACAAATTGTACAGAGGTGATGGGGATCATATCCTTCACTCCATCTTAAGCTGTCAGGTCTATTTTGAGAGAGAAGCGATTCCTCAATATCATTTTCATCATTTGAAACAGAATCATACGACGAACCCAAACTTGCGGTATCATCATCTTTGCTCAAAAGAAGCGGCGCTCTTTCAGGTGATGCCTCTGCTGCTTGATTATTATTGGAGTTACAATGAAGATAGTTGATCATCTTGAAGGCCAAGACGATAACAACAGTCATCAAAGCTGAAAATATTACATAAAAAAGGTGAAGACTTCTTTGGGCCTTTTTAATTTAATTTTAATTTTTCTCTGGGATGGGGGGTTGATGGGGCTTAGGATTTATTATCAAGATATACCTGAGCCAAAAAGATATGTTATCCATCGAGGTTCGTATGACAATTTGACAAACAGCTCATTGTCGTCCTCATTCTGCGTACGCCCAATAAGAAGTCAAATGAAAAGGGCATTATTTCAGTCTCCATGCATTCAAATAGTAAATACTGACTAAAAATAATCTCGGTTACATGGACATGTTGGATCATAGCTATCTGATTATTGAAAGAAGAATACTAAGTAACCATCTACAGAAGCAATCAGAAAGTGTGAAAGGTCAAACGCTGTGCTGTATTTTAAAACATTAACTAAACCGACTTCTCACACAAGGCATGATCATTAATAGAAACCTGCCCTTAGTGATGAGCACTGACCTCATATCCTAAGAAAGGTTTGCAAAAGAGACAGGGCGAGAAGTTATGAAAGGAGATATGATAACATACGTTCGTAGGCTACAGACAATAACTAAGAGCATGCAACTACACATCCACCATGTGTGTGTGTTTCTAGACTATTTGAATTTCAGACGAAATTTTCTCGCAGGCAGAGTCAAACATAACATGTTTCTCCCTGTGGAATTCAAGCCTCTCATCAGGCACGAAGGTTCCTCTCTTTTTTTTTCATTGATAGACTTAGTGATGACGAAACCAAAGCATCATGGCGCTAGCTTCATGAATGGCGAAACAAAAGCACCATTCATAGTAAAACCAAAGGACAACATTTCGTTTTCTCCACTGATAAGAAATATCGGTTCGACCATAGTTATCATGGATGACATCTTCTCGACACCAATATAATCCAAGATACTAAGAGTTCCTGGAGATGTGACATATATCACATCACTTCCACCATCACCAGGATCACCTCCATCATTAGGATCTCTCCGAAACATCTTTCTCCAACCTCCGAATTCAGGCCTAAAGTCCAAAGTCAGAAAAGTCAGAACAAGCCCATCAAAGAATCCTAAAATTTGGTGGTAAATCTTCGGCTGTCCCTGCCATTCCACATCATACCACACTTCACGAGTTGGTAGCTGTAGTTCTATCTTGTTTGCCCGTCAAACTCAGATTCAATTATATTATATTGAAATTCCCAAGTTCACTGATCATTTAGTGACTACAAGTGTAAAAGATGTAATAGTTCATGTCTCTATTACCTGTTGAAGGCTAGAAGTCGCAAGTACCGCAGCATTTGTGTGTAAAAACGATAGCCTTACAGCACATAAACCATGACGCAATGAGCATTGGTAGGATGCTCCAGTTGTATTGTACAGTAAAGCATCAATATCAAAGTTCAACGCCACCTGTTTTAATGCATCTTTGCTGAGTCAAATCATTCGAAAAAATTCTATGCTATGAGAAAAAATAGCACTTAAAAGACGCAATAAGATCTCCATGTGAATGATGCAAATGCACGAACTGAACTTCCAGAAATGAATGTTGAACAACTGCAAGCTATCTGCAAACTCCGAAATCGAATGGATAAGATACCTCCACTGGCATTGGATTTAGGTTGCCTACAGCGATATAGTAGTCAGACGACTTTAGGATCTTCTGTTGAACAAGACCACTCCCTGAAACGAATGCTTTCTACCTTTAGAAAGGATTTATCAACAAAAAAGCAATATCTTTTTCACACTCCTTAGAATGCTGAAGGCTTTTACCATTAATAAGATTCCACGACAAAGTATTATGAGGAAACAATGGGTCTTCCATCCATCTATGAAGGCTTTCTTCACCTATAAATGAAGGATTGTTGACATCCAAAGAGCTTAGAGACTGTCGAAACATCATGCATAAATAAAAGGACTGATGTTTAAATATCATCGAAGTTTCTCAGTGAAGTGAACGACAAACAGAAAACCCATGACCATTGTTTTTTACTGACTCATCAAAACTTGTATATCATGCAGTCATACAGGTTGCACCTTGAAAAAAACTATAGAGAATAACTGATTATCAGCTCAAAAAACAATTGCTGGTAACTAAAAAGTTCCCAAGGTAAAAATCATAAAACAGATCAACATTAACCAGAAATACAATTCCCCTTATAATATGGAAAAATAATAGATAAGTCATCAATCAAAGACATAGAAACACAGAAAACTTTTAAAATACGCTTCATCAACTCTACAGTATGCCCTACGGATGATTTCACAATCCACGGGCACATAGATATAGGATGCCCCAGTGAGGTGAAGAAGACCTCCAGATCATATTATGTAAATATGATACTTTACACATGTCTGCTTGTTAATCCTACATAGTTGAAATGATACTTGGCATGCAGAAAAGGAGTTAACTAGTTGCAATAAGAACTGTTCGCACATTGGGTGAAAGGAAAATATTTGTCTTCTTGGCAATGCCAGGGAGGTTCAAAACGAGGCAGTCCTTTGTGGAGGTGGTATTACCTTTGGCAATTATGAGAATTAAAGGAGACGATCCTTGCGAATTTATGTTGTACGATATGCTTATGTGAGAACCTTCATTGAGATAGTACACCCATTCCTGGGATGGATGTAGTTACGGACATTAGGAAGATAAAGAGTGAAGGGAACTTACAGAGACGCAGAGAGGACAGACATAATGGTGGGCAAGAATGTCTCACCTTGTGGAGACCGTCTATTACAGATACATTGTGGATTTCAGACCACATGACTTTAACATCTAGTGGAGGTCGTTCAGAGAAGCCATAAAGCTCTGGACCTTGTGCGCCGGTGTCAGACTGAAGCTGTTTGTGAAGAAAAGATGTTAAACGTTGTATACGGGACTCCAGTAAGATGACGTGAGAGGATAATATAGAGAGGCTATTTATTCACTTATGACCTATATTTTATCTCGCTATTTTTCTTGAAGATCTTCATCCGTTCATTCCATTCAAATAGAAGATGATTGGCCCTACTAAGCATAAGAGGTATCAAAATAAAGCAAGGCACTGACGCGCCTTGATATCCTGAACGAACAAGGAATTGGCGTCGAGGATCTGGGAGGAATTGGGGCCGAGGACGAGGTTGGTGGACCCATAGAAGCCGAGGATCAGAGTCATGGACGCTGCTGCGAAGGAAAGGAAAGGAAGGTTGATAAAAAGGAAGAGAGAACATCTCACACCTTGATGCTTTATAGAATTGAGAAACAAACCGGGGAGAAAAAGAGGAGCCAGATGGAGGGAGAAGCTGACCGAAAGACCAAAATGTGAGTAGAACGACAAGACAGGACCAGGTTTCCTCCCTCGTCCCCTCGTAGAGCCATGTTGCAGCCACGTCGTTAGCTGGCGGCGGAGACGACGAGGATACAGTAGCGTGGTAAGTAAGGATCCCTAGCATCCGGGGCTGATGACGCTGTTGGTTGTGATCCGGGTGTCGTCGATGTCCCTCGTTCCCCTCTTCAACAGTGGCTGACGGAAAATTGGAGGCGTTCGCCCCGTCGTGGGGTGGACTGCTGCCAGTGTGAGGTGAAGCGGAAGCATAGTCTTGGGAGGAGCGGTCAGATCCCTCTTCCATCCTGCGAAGAAGTGATGAAGGACGTTCGACTGCGGGTGACAGAAGCCGTGATTGTGCGAGGGGCGACGGCCTCCTGCGAAGAAGTGAACAAGGACGTTCGACTGCGGGCAACGGAAGCTGTGGTTGTGTGAGGACAGATGGCCTCCCGCGAAGAAATGAACAAGGGCGGTCGACTGCAGTTGACGGAAGCTTCTGGCATCTTTTGCGTGGAGAAGAGAAGAGAGAAGACCAGTTGGTGGGTTGGAATGGGCGGCATCGCCCGCCAGTCGTAACTGCTCAAGAAGGTCGAGAACTCCAGGAGAGCGGAGAGGACTAGCCGGTGAGAAGGACCCCCCAACCGCTGTATGTGAAACAGGTGATTTTATTGAGGCACTCTCCTAACCTCTGTCTACAGGCTGGAAGTATCTACTAATCTCATATTTTTTTGTAAGATGTGGGATATGATTTCCCAAAAAAAGTTATTATTAAGCCAATATATCTTTCAGGGCACCATTCCACTACTTTAGACATTGCTCGTGAACTTTGGTACGAAATTTGGTAATATCGATAAATGATGGAAATTTACACTAACCTATTGTAAGAAATTACTATATTACTCTTTTATATAATAACTCACCTTAACTAGTTAAAATATTTCATTTCTCAACCAAAAATTTAAAAAACCTAAAAAATTAAAATTAAAAAACAAAACCCTTCATTAATAAGGTTTAAGGTTTAGGTAATAGTCCTAGTTTTTAAGTGAGCTACAATTAAGATAGGGAGGGGAGCTCCTAACCTTATTTTTTTATGCTTGGGCCCCAAATTGAGCTACATTTCACTTAGATAGTGTGGTTATTATGAGTCCTGAGTTCTAAGCATGTCCCAATTTTCCTATCACAAATAACTGGTTGCTGTGGCCTGAAAACTCTAGCAACCTTGTGCTTCCTGCGACTGTTTAATCTTTGCTATGTATGCTTCTTATTTCTCCATGTCCATGATCACATTGTTAGCCACATGGTTGTGTTCCTTGTCATTTGTTAGTGTAGTTTGGAAACTCTAAAACATTTCCTCTTCATTAAAGTGCGAGATTTTCTGCTGCATGTGCACCATATTTCTTGTTTCTTCCATATTCAAGACCAGATTTCAGCCACCATGTGCGGTTCTCATCCCTTTTATACTTCTGGGTTTTCATCAAATATTTATCCAACGTTCAGTTATGGTGTGCATTTTTGTACTGTTGATGATGCTCTACCTGTTTTGTGAAAGCATCTCAAAGATGCAATGACTCATCATTTTTACAGTTATATCTGATAAGAAATATCCTCCTTTTCTTGTTGAGAATGGAGATCCTACATATGTAGATTGCACAGAAACAACTATAAAAAGGAAAACAGAACCCTCGGTAGAAATATCAATTTTACTATGCTCGAAGAGGAAATCAATATTTGCCTCAATGCTTCAAGTTTGTTTCAGGTTTTCATAGCTATGTTTTTTTGAATTTCAGGTATCTTCTTATTCTGTTTCATGATGCTCTAGTTGAGGTGTGGATGATGACAAAAAATCCAATGATGGTAAAAGGCTCGATCTGCCTAACCAAGTTCTTTGTGTAACCTGTTGCCATTAATGCTTTACAAGAAATTTGTCATGGTTGTCATGCTCCCATTGTTACCTTAGTGATGTATTAATGAAGATAATAATATACATTTCTCAGTATGATGTTGATATAGATGATGAAGGTGAACTACATTTTTCACTCTTTACTTTTTTATCTCAGTTGATTACCTTGCAAATGAGGCATAACATATTATAAGATGACGAGCAGCTAACTAGATTCTTCACCCTATTTTATTTATTGCTCTAGTACATGGAAAATGATATAATTTTCATTTATCGGTTCGGTTTTACCTTTTCTTTTATCTTGCTAAACGTTTTAGGCTTAGAAATTGTAAAATTTGCGTATTGTATCATTCCCAAAGGATTTATTTGAATATATATGCTGTTGCAGCTTAGATCGTTAGCTCTACCTTTCACATTAATGGAATGGACACTTCCAAGTGTACCTCGTCCTAGTCAGAATGAAACTTCTATATAAACTACATCTTTCTCAAGGGAACAGCCATCATTAGTAGATACAGTGCAAAATGAATCTACTTTAAAAAGTATGTAGGGCACAGTTTATTCATGCTGATTAATAATTTATGATACATTCTTTGAGTTTCAACTTGGATTCTTCCATGTGTTCCTCTGATGTATGTCCATTGATTGTTAATTTTATAGAATGAACAACCTCTTCTCCCACAAATGACACATCTGAAAGTTTTGCATTCACACTGACAAATGGAGCTCTTGATGTGTTTGAAGTTTAGGGGAAAAGAATATATGATTTCAGATATTTATTTCTCCTTCCTACTTTGAATTTTAATATTTTGTTGATATTGTTCATTGGTCTATACTAGAATTTGAATTGGCATCTAGTTACTTTTTATAGTGAGAAATTAACAGAAGCTAGAAGAAAGTGGACTACATATGAATTACAATTTTATGTTGTGATTAGATCATTACATACTTGGGAACACTACTTGATTCAACAAGAATTTAATTTATTTATTGACCATCAAGCTTTGAAATTAATTAATAGTGAGACCACCATCAACAAAATACATGCTAGATAAATTTTATTTATTTAAAAGTTTTTTTTTATGATAAAGCACAAATTAGGAAAATCAAACAAAGTGGCTAATGCACTGAATATATTTGACTCATGCTTGAAATTCAGTATTATGAGTCACCCACAAATTGATGGTCAAAATAGAAGTGACAGGACACTGGGTAATTTAATCTATTGTATTTTAAGAGACAAACCAAGACAATAGGATCTTACCTTAGCTCAAGCAAAATTTACATACAATTCTATGATAAATTGGTCTACAAATTACTCTCCATTTTCTATTGTCTACTATTTTCTACCAAAAGTTCCTATTGACTTAATTGAAGTATCAAGAAAACATGATACTAATGTAGTAGCAAATAGCATGGTAAAATATATCTAAATAATGCATGAGAATGTGAAGAGACATCTTACAATCAATTATGTAAACTACAAAGAAAATGTAGACAGAAAAATAAGAAAGATGATCTTTGAAGTTGGTGATCTAATTATTATATACTTGAGAAAAAAATGATTGCCAATAGAAAATTAACACAAACTCAATCCATGGAAGTATGGTCCATTTAAAGTCCTTCAAAAGATTAATGATAATACATGTCATTGATTTATCAGAGATAATGGAAATATCATCTACATTCAATGATATGGATATCTATGAATATACAATATTTAGAGCAAGTTACAAACTTTAAGACGAGTCCTTTTCAAAAAGGGGAGACTATTGATGTAGCCGAAACCCTGAAGCCCACTACTTAAGAAGCCTAAAGCTCAGTATTGATGCACCTTGGAGCCCATTACTATTGCAGTTTGAAGCCCACTTTACTAGCCTAATTATAAAATTAGGCCCATATATCTATTTTTATTATTTTTCAAATTTCAATTGAAATTTAAATTTAAATTTCAAAATTCAAATTTGAAATTCAAATTTCAATTGAAATTTAAATTTAAATTTCAAAATTCAAATTTGAAATTCAAATTTCATCTGAAATTCAATTTTTTGTTTGAATTCAATTTTTTTTTTCAAATTCAAATTTCAGCCAAAATTTGATTTTAAATTTAGATTTCATTTGAAATTCAAATTTTGGCACCCAAATCAAGACTCTTTAGCCTATCTAAAGGCACCCCCTATGGTCCTAGAGGCATATTACCTTTTTTTCAATATAACTTCTTGACTTTTCTTCCTTTGAAGTTCTCTTCTTCTACTAATGGCCTCTAGCACCCCTATGGACTCAAGGAACCTGTTCTTGATTTTGTGGATTCAAAATCACTCCCTTGTGGACTCAAAGGACCATCCTCTTCACTCTATGAATTTAGAGTGAAAGGACAATCATTGAAGTGTATTTTTTGAGGATTCAAGACTTGTCTTCAACCTCCACAACATCAAAGTTGATCACAACTCATTCAAGCCATTGCCTCCTTAAGTTTTGCTATATCATGAACACATAAAGAGGTGAACTACACCTCACTTATGATGATATTATACCAACATGGGGTTACACTGATGAAGGAGGAATGAGAATAGTCTCATTTTCCTCAAAGGAGGTCTCTTAGTTGGCAAAGGCCTTCCAATTTTCTCTAATAGGACACTTCACCATGAAACACTCCCACCTCAATGATATCTGGCCCCTAGGCATTTTTAGGATAGATAGTCATCAATGCCTATAATTATTAGAGCATCTTTATCCATTTTGAGCTCGAGACTGACTACTAGAAAACCTAGAGTAAGACCACATGAGAGATCTAGGATAGTATTATGCACACATAGATGGACCTTATAGATAGGCGACATTTTTCGAGAGTAATAGTTACACTCTATTCTAATTTAGATAGGTTTCCTAGCCTACCAACACATTTGTTCATGCCTAAGGCACTTGAGTCTTTGACGAACTTAGTTAGTATATTTATATGTATGTGTAGAGGTAGACCTCTTGACCGCCCTTAGTGTATGATCATTGTATAGAATGGGGATGAGAAGATCTACCATGCAGTCATATACGAGAGACTACCTCATTTTTTTACACACACTACATAGTTTTCAAACACACCATCTACATTTGTCGACATAAGATCATCTCATCATCTTCTGAGTCTATCGCAATTTATCTATCATTCCTAGCATATGATGATTATATCACTAAGGCGGGGAAGACTATACCTAATCGTCATCCTATATAGAATTTATATGCTCTTTCTCAATCACTACCGATCTAGGTTGTCCCTCCAACAAGCCCTAAGAGAACAGCCCCACCTACGTCAGTGTCACATCTTGTCCCTCGAGCATTCACTTCCACCTGAAATGAGAGGAAGATGATAGTAGGCCCAACACTTCTCATACTAATAGGTAAGAGGAAGATAGTCTAGACATCGAATGTTTTCAAAGCTCTAGACACCTTGATTGAGAAGGCTGACAATGTTCTTATCATAAGAGAAGATAGCAGCCCATGGGTTCAACAACACTCTCCCAAATGAAGAGGGCTTACTATTACTTCATCTTCAACTAACTCCTCTCTATCCTCTAGACCTTCACCTCTTACTATCTCTCTGTCACCAACTAGCTCCTCTCCATCTATTAGACCCTCTCCACTCTCACACACTTTCTATTATGTCTGGTGGATGGAGAGGAGCTAATTGAGGATGAAGTAGTAGTAGGGCCCCCTCATTTGGGAGAGTGTTGTCGAGCTCGTAGACTACTATCTTCTCCTATGATGAGAACATTGTCAACCTCCTCAGTCAAGGTGCCTAGAGCCTAGAAAACATTTGATGTTTGAATTGTCTTCCCCTTATCTACTAGTATGAGAGGTTTTGAGCCTACTATCATCTTCCTCCCTTTTCGGTTGGAAGTGGATGCTTGAAGGATAAGATGTGACACAGATGTAGGTGGGGCTCTCTTCCTAGAGTCGGTTGGAAGGACATCAGCCTAGATTGGTAGTGGTCGAGAGGGAGCATGCGAGCTTTATATAAGACGGTGACTAGATGTAGTCTTTTCTACCTCAATGATATAATCATCATATGAAAGGGGTGATAAATAAATCGTGGTAGACTCTGAAGATGATGGGGTGGTCTTATGTCGACAAGTGTGAATGATGTGTCCGAAAATTATGTAGTGGGTGTAAAAATAAGATAGTCTCTTGTATATTACTGCATGATAGATTTTTTCATCCTCATTTTGCACAATAATCATGTGTCAAAAAAAGGTCAAGAGGTCTACCTTTACACATACGTATAATTATCTTAACTACATTCACCAAGGACTCAAGTGACTTAGGTATGAATAAATGTGTTGGTAGGTTAAGAAAACCTATTCAAATTGAAATAGTGTGCAATTTTTTTCTTCAGAAAATGTCATCTATCTATGGGGTCCATCTATATGTGTGCATAATAGTATCCTAGATCTCTCATGTGTACTTGCTCCAAACTTTCTAATAATTAGTCTTGAGCTCAAAATTGATAAAGACACCCTAATAATCACCTTACTATGAAAATATTTAGGGGTCAAATAAATCTTATGGATATCATCAAGGTGGAGGTGTTTCGTGGTGAAGCACCCTATTAGAGAACATTAGAAGGCCTCCGGCAATTGGGAGACCTCCATTGAGGAAAATGAGATTATTCTCATTTCCCCTTCATCAATGTAACCCCATGTTGGTATGACATCATCATAAGTGGAGTGTAGTTCACCTCTTTGTGTGTTTATGACTGTAGGAGTGGGTTGTTGTCCTACTAGTCATTAGGCCCAAGACTTGGCTTGGGCCTAGGTGGGCTGGGCTAGCTCAGCTTGGGCATAAGCAGCTTGGGCTTGAGTGGTTTAGGCTAGTGGGTTTGTGCTTAGGTGGGCTGGGCCAGCTTAGTCTGGGCGTGTTCGGCCTAAGCTCGACAGCTTGGGCCAGTGGGGCCTGGGCCGGTGTGGTCAGCCCTGGTTTCTGCAACTTGGGCCAGCATGCTATGAGCCAGCACAATCTGGCCCCTGGTTGGCTGGGTTGTTGTGACCACAGCTTTTGACATAGATGACATCATTCACGTCGCAAACAATGGAATGGTGCCTACAAAAAGTTGTGGCACCAAAATCCGTGTCATTGATTTCAATTTCAATAGATAGATTTAAGCTCTTATTAGCACCCTACATGTCAGCTCTCACTGATGCAGGCACATACACTATAACCGAGGAAATGACGTCAGCCGTTTGCAGTGTCTTTTCCTCTAATAAATCTAGTTTGTTGATCTGTAGATCAACAATTGGAATTTTGAGGGAGTCTAAGATAGCGGCATAGGTGGAGGTGTCTTTTGGGAACTTATTAGTAGAGTACTAGCCTGGAATGATAATAGTTGAGATGGAATTTGTGAGCTCGAAGAATTTTGAAAGAGTCTGAGATAGAAGTGGACGCTCAAAGGATGGGATGTGTCATCGGGGTAGGTGGAGTTGTCATTTGGGAACCTGTTGGTGGGGTACTAGCTTAGAATGATAATGGTTGAGATGAAATTTGTGAGCTCAGTGTAAGATGACGACTAGAAGTAGTCTTGTTTGCCTCAGCAATGTAATCGTCATACGAGAGAGGTGGTAAGTGAATAGATGTAGACCCTAATGGTGATAAAGTATTTTTCTACCGACGTGTGAATAGTGTGTCTAAAAACCGTGGTGTGTGTAGAAATAAGGTAATCTCTCATAGATAATAGTTTAGTAAATTTTTTCATCCTTATTCTACACAATAATTAAAAGGTCTACCTTTACACATACGTATATATATCTTAGATGATTGAATATTTTAATACCTAGATTTAGGCGTATAAACATTCTAATTGTATTTGCTAAGGACTCAAGTGCTTTAGACATGAATAGATGTGTTGACAAGCTTAAAAAACTTATTTAAACTAGAGTAAAGTGAGATTATTTTTCTCAAGCGGTGCTGTCAATATATGAAGTCTATCTATGAGTGTACATAATGGTACTCTGAATCTCTCATATGGTTTGACTTTAAACTTTTTGATAGTCAACCTCGAGCTCGAATTAGAAGAAGATGCTTTAATAATCACAAGTGTCAATGGCTACATTTTCTTGAAAGTGTCTAAGGGCTAAATATTTTTTTTTGATATGATCTAAGTGAGGATATTTTCTAGTAAAACATTCAATCAATACAAATTAGAATACTTTAGCCAACTAAGAGACTTTTTTCGAAGAGAATGAGACTATTCTCATTCTTTCTTCTTCAATATAACCTTGTGGTAATAAGTCCGTGGTGGTGTAAACAGAGAGTAATAGAGTTTTATGTGTGTTCTGAATTGTAAGAATAGATTGTGCTCCTATAAGTTACTAAGCCTAAGTCTTGGCTAGGGTTTGAGTGAACTAAGCCGATGTCAGATATTTGTGTGGGCTGAGCTAATATGACTTGGGCTCGACCTTCGATCTAGATTGACTCTACCGCGCAGATTTTATTTTAATAGTAGCGGGCCGCCCATGTGCTTAGGCCCGCACAATCTTGGGTTTTGCAGCCTCAATTTGAGGGGGCGCCGCCGCCACCATAGTGGCGCCACCCCCGTCAGCCTTTGCCGAGGGGGACGCCTTGGATACCATGACTGATGTAACGGCGTCAGCAGAATGCGGTGCCTTTATCTCGGCTCCCTTTTGTCTGTTGAGCTCGCCGCTGAGGGGAGGCCTTGGGAAGCTGACAAGTCCACGTCAGCCGACACCACCCCGACATCTGCCGCATTTTCCTCTCGTCGATCCTCACTGTTGATCTCAGGATCAACGGTGAGGTCAGGGGAGACGGTGCCACGTGCCGTTGCCCCTTTCCCGCAGAGCAAGGGATTGGCGCCAGGAGTCATCACCATCGTTTGCGGAAACAAAGGGGGCGCCGGCCAACGGCGAATCATAGTCGTTCATGAGGCGGTCGTTCAGCCCATTACCGGCCCCAATTTTTGGGCCATCAATAGGCCCCTCGGATGATGTTTTATCGCCGCCCAAAGGGATAGGTCGCCCCTCAGGCATGTCATGCGGCGGTATGGGAACCGTCATTGCCACGTGGCGGTTTCCTATTTGATCGCATGCTTCGCTCAGTTTTTCATCCGGCAGACATGAGTCCGCCAATGAAATCTCTGATCTACTCATCAAGTAAGCATGGGAACAAGATGATGAAGAAGAGAAATATGTAGAGCACAGAAGTACGATTCAAATGATTCCAAAATATTAAACTTTGGCCGAGTAACTAGAGAGATATTACATTTATAATGAAATGTCCGGAAAAATACTTCTCGATGAAGAAATCCTAACAACGAAGGCTTCAATCCACTATTTTCGACGCTTAATAGCTCGAAAATGATAGATTTTCGCCTTCCGAATCCAATGAAATTGGTTTCAGTGCCATCCGAGGTCACATGAGAGAGATATCGCCATCTGAGATGGAGGTCAGTTGAAGGTGAAGAGAGAGAAGCTCCCGCGAGGAGAGAGAAAATAGTTGGGCAAATGGGGGTATTTTAGGGTTTAGGGTTTTTTTCTACAAAATGAGGGAATTTTCTTTTCTGAAAATTTACACAACATGAGTTGAGGACGCATTAAATAAATTCCTAGCACCCACCCACCAAAATGGCACTTACAGAAAAGAAAGTGTACAAGATCAAGAAACGGAGCTAAAAAATGTCATCGATGATGAGCTTTCCTTGGATTTCTTGTCAAGAACCTCAGACAGTGCCACGTCGATCTCAGAGAATACTTCTCCCTTTGGAGCATTTCCATTGATCTTGACGGTGATGTTCTCATAGACTCCGAGCACAGCTTCCACATTCTGATGGTGGGTCTGCAACCGCAGCTTTACCTTTTCTTCAGTATCATCAAAGCGTTGAGTAAGCCTGGCGGCGATTTCTTCAATTTCAGGCGGTGAATACTTCAAGTGGTAGATTTTTCCGGTGACAGGGTCGAGCCTCCTCCCCACAACTCTCTCCACCAGGATATCCTCATCAACATCGAGAAGAATGAAAAGTTCAGGGTGGATGCCAAGATTTTCCAGAGCAACTGCCTGAGAAAGGCTTCTTGGATATCCATCCAGAAGCCAGCCATTTTCTTCTGCATCCAGTTGCAGTAAACGCTCTTTGACCATATTTACGACGATTTCATCAAGGACTAGCATCCCCTTTTCCATGTAATATTTTGCTTGCTTCCCATTCTCAGTCCCTGCTGCAACTTCTGCTTGTAGTAAATCTCCAGCAGCAATATGCACTAGTCCATACTTATCCTTGATCAGCTTGCACTGTGTACCCTTTCCAGATGCAGGAGCACTTGATATCATAATCTTCAGAGTCTCTGACTTTGCTGTTGCCAGGACAATCGACCGAGATTGGGGTGAAGCGCGCCTCCTGAAGCCAAAGGAGAAACAGCATTTTGGAGCGCGATCGAGGCGAAGAGTGAGCCCAAGTGAGGACGACAACGAAAAAAGGGCAACAGAAAGGGACGACGAACGGGGCCCGCCTACAACGGGCTTGCTGGACGACGACGTAGAAGAGGGGTTCGCCGCTGCTGGTTTGGCAGCGGCAAAGGAGAGACAACCCAAGCAAGTCATAGACGCTGGCTCGCCCCTGTAGGGTTTAAGGTTTTTTTTTTTTTTTTTGGGATAACTGTCTTGGGCCGAACTTCTCGAGAGTTCAGGTTGCCTCTTGGCAAGTTGTTTTCAGAGCTGGGTGCTTGTCGGCATGTTGTTCGTGAGATGGATGCCATGCTTCTTGGCATGATGGTAGGGGTGCTTGTCGGCACATACCCAAGGACTTCCTAGGGAGTTCACCCATCTAAGGATGACTCCCACCTAAGCATGCTTAAATTTAGAGTTCTTATGGGATCTGGTGGCAACTCTCCCATTAGAGGGGTTGGTTTTAAACTTAGGGTTTAAGGTTTTTATTTATTTATTTTAAATTTATTATTATTATTTATAATTGATTAGATGAGAGAGGAATTTGTCATAATAAGTGTAGGCAAATTCATGGCATCTATCATCACTCTTGAGCTAATAGCTAAGGTGCGTTCCACATTAGTGGTACGTGACAAGTGTCATGATGATGTCGTGGTTGTGGTGTGTGATAGACTTGAAATCAGAAACAAAGGAAACACGTACCTATATCTCCATTGTGGTCTTTAGCGGCCAATGGTAGCCGCCCCTGATCTCCTCCAAGCAATACGTCACTGCTGTGGAGGGGCCGATAGTAGAGTGTGATGTATATATAAAGAGGGTATGTCGAGTTGCTCAAGTCTATGAGCACCTCGAGCTTCGAGGGGCATGTTTTGTCGAGAAGAGAAGACTGTCCTCCGACACGATCTAACTCTATGCGTAACAAGAGTGTCGGCCGTTTAATTCTTTTCTTAGAACTAATGCGTAATGGCTGTGATACGCCCTTGACATCTCATGATGTTTGTTCAGATGTTCTTGAGCCTCCAATGAGGATAAAAGTCTACACATAACATGTCCACTAACACTTTGAAGTCAAATTCTAGGATAATATCAGTAATATTTTACTCCTCATAAAAAAGTAAATCATCCCATATTGCCATAGCCTCTACCACAGTGTTAGTCCGTATATTATAAAAGTTTGAGGAGGCAAAGAGAATACATTCTGTACTATCGCTTGAGCTAGATGGTCTTGGGTTGCTTTGAGATGCTCCATCGACGTTGAGTTTTTACCGTCTAACATTTGGTGATGTCCATCTAATAGATCAGATATTAGTCCAAGTTTGTATAGGTATGATATGAAGTCCCCAAAGCCTAAAAGCCTCACAAATAGAACATGAACATTTCATTTTGTTTGGCACTAAGGAATGAGTACTTCGAAATCATTGTGTTACGTGCCTCATAGTTTCTATGGCATGTATCACTTGACTTGTAAATTGAGATGAGTTACATCTCTTCTATATTTCCCATAACATATATGCTATGGAGATATGGATGAAGGAACTAACCTTGACACTCGTTGGTGAGTCAATGATTCTCCTAAATACCTCTAGTGGTGGTCTCGTAAGTCTATATGAGAGCGTTGGAAGCCAATTCGTTAGCAGTTGACTCCAACACTCGACAACAATATCACTATGGATTTAGGGTTTAGGGTTTTTTTTTTTTTTTTGTTTTTGTTTTATAATTGTCTTGGGCCGAACTTCTCAGGAGGTCACCCATCCTAGTACTTCACATGCCCAAGCACTTTGGTGCCTCTCAAGCACATTCTTCAGAGATAGATGCCACTTGCACCTCTCAACATCGTGGCAAGGGTGTCTCTCGGCACGTTCTTTGGAGTTGGGGGCATCTTGGCATGGTGAGATGGATGTCACATATGTGTCTCTCAATATGGTGGCAGGGGTGCCTCTTGGCACGTTCTTCGCAACTGGGGGCGTCTTGGCATAGTTAGATGGATGCCACATATGCCTCTCGGCACGATCATGCAGCGGTGCCTTTCAGCACATGTAGAGCAAGCATCTCGCAACACATGCACATGTACCCGGGGACTTCCTAGGGAGGTCACCCATCCGGAGACTGCTCCCACCCGAGCACACTTAACTCCGGAGTTCTTATGAGATTCAGTGGCAACTCTCCCACTAAGGGGGGTTAGGGTTTAGGGTTTTTTTTTTTTTTTTTTTTGGAGGGTGAAAGACCTCTTTTTTTAGAGGGTATGTGATAATACTAGAGATAGACTCCAATTCACTCATCATATTTGAAGAAGCCGGTTGGTCTACATTTGGGCTAAAAGAGCCTTTGAGTTCATGAAGTTGGAATATCTGGTCAACTGTAGTAGGACGTGTAAACCTCCATGTTGTGCACCATGAGGTGTTCCTACAAGACAAGAATTTGCTGCAGTAAGTGGTTCTAAGAAATAAATAAAATGATATAAAGTGGTGAGAAAAGAGTTGTTAAGACAGTGAAGAGGATAGAACTATGCTTGGAGTATGACAATAAGCCCAAATATGAATTTGTCTTTCTAGTGTTGTACGCGTCTAATCTCTTTGGCCAAGATCTTGTTAGTACCATCAGTTGTTGTACTTCCTCTAAGTAAGTAAGGGACCTTTCACCCCACGAAGAATGACTTGGTTTCTTTTTCTAACTCTTTTCCTTTTCTCTTATTCTCTCTCTCTTCTTTCTCTCTCTTTTTTTTTTTTTTTTTTTGAGGGCCTCTTCTTTTACCCTCCACTAATGCCCATTATTTGGTGTACAAGGGTAATTCCCTTTCGAGTCTAGTGATTAGGGGAAGGAAAATAGAATGCTCGTTTTTTTTTTTTTTTTTTTTTTGAGGGCCCTTTCCCTCACCCTCCACTAATTATCTATGATGGGCTGGTGATTCTGGGAAAAGAAGTAGGCTGTCTCTTTTTCTTTTTTTTTTCTTTTTAAAGAGAGAGAAAGGGAGGGAGAAAGAAATAAAGAATCGAGAGAGAGAGAGAAGAGAGAGGGTCAATCCTATAGATATAGATCCTTCCCTTCTCATGGGTTCAAGCTGGCTGATGGTACTAATGAGATCTTGAGAGAGGTGCTAGGTTGGCGATTCACAACTAGTTTGGTAGGTCTGATGTGCTATAGACCTATAGTTCAAAAGTAGGCAGATGCCAACATGTGCTGATAGTTCTATGTCCTCACTACTTGAGGGTGATAGATAATAGATGTGAGGTGATTATGAGGAGAGTAATGATTGGAAGTAATATACCTAGGTGGATTACGATGTGCCTTGTTGTCCATCTTGTGTTGATAGGCAAAGTGCATTCCACATCGGTGGTATGGGATGAACGCTATGATAATGTCATGGTTGTGGCTTGTGATAGACCTGAAAACATAAATAAAGGAAACACATACCTGTATCTCCATTGTGGTCTTCAGTGGCCAATAGTAACCACCCCTGATCTCCTCCAAGCAATACGCCACTGCCGTGGAGTGGCCAGTAGTGGAGTGCGGTGTATGCATAAAGAGGGTATACCGAGTCGCTCAAGTCTATGAGCACCTCAGGCTGCAAGGGGCATGTCCTACCAAAAAGAGAAGACTATCCTCCGACGCAATCTGACTCCATACATAGCAAGGGCGTCGGCTGTCTGATTCCCTTCTCGGAACTGATGCGTAATGGTTGTGATGCGTCCTTGACATCGCATGATGTTTGCCCAAATATTCTTGAGCCTCTAATGAGGACAAGAGTCCGCACGTAACATGTCCACTAACACTTTGGAATCAGATTCTAAGACAATATTAGTAATATTTTGCTCCTCACAAAGAAGCAAACCATCCCGTATTGCCATAACCTCTACCTCAGTATTAGTTCGTATATTATAAAAGTTCAAAAAGGCAAAGAAAATGCATCATGTACTATCACGTAAAATACTTCCTCCTCCAGATGGTCCAGGGTTGCCTTGAGATGCTCCATCGACGTTGAGTTTCCACTGTCTAACCCTTGGTGGTGTCCATCTAACAGATCAGATAGTAGTCCAGGTCTGTGTAGGTATGATATGGAGTCCCCAAAGCCCAAAAGCCTCACAAACAGAACACGAGTGTTTCGTTTTGTTTAGCACTAAGGAATGAGTACTCTGAAGCCATTGTGTTACGTGCCTCATAATCTCTATGACACGCATCACTTGGCCTGCAAATCGAGATGAGTTACGTCCTTTCCATATTTCCCATAACATATATACTATGGAGATACGGATAAAAGGACTAACCTTGACACTCGTCGGTGAGTCAATGACTCTCCTAAAGACCTCTAGTGGTGGTCTCATAGGTCTGTACGAGATCATTAAGAGCCAATTCGCTAGAAGTTGACGCCAACACTTGACAGCAATATCACTATAGAAAAATAAATGTTCGATACTTTTGTCCGTCGTGATGGAACAACAATGACATCTCCTTTCCACCTCCTGATCGGTGACAATCACTCGATCGTTGGTGGGTAGTCTTCGGTGCATGAACTTCCACAAGAAGAATGAAATACGAGGTGTGATGGCTGGATGCCATATGAGATTTTCCCAAAATGTCTTTGGGGAGCGGTTTCTAAAGTGCTCCCAAGAGGAGCTACAAGAGAAACTGACATCTACGGTAAGTGTCCAGATGGGTTGGTTCTTAGTAAAACTCGTCTCAGTCATAGTGATGGCTGGTAATAAGTCTGACGGTAGTCCATGCTTCTCAATAAGTAGACGAGTGTCTCCTTGGAGAAGCTGGGCTACCGTCAAGCGAGGCCAAGAGGATGTGAAAGTGGTAAAACTGGCCAATGGTGTGTCCTCTAGCCAAGTGTCATACCAGGCACTGATCGTGCCTCGCCCTACTCGCCAACGAATAAGGGGCACCATCTCTAACCAATGTTGCTGCCAGTCTGCCCATCGTTTGACTCATTTGATGTCAATGGGCTGTCGAGCTCACTCACCATATTTGGTTGACACAAAAAAGCCTAGCACCGATGGTGTGGTCCTCATCCTCCAAACGAGTTTCTTTTAAAGCATGTTGAGTACATCTTGAGGGCGCCGAATACCTAGGCCACCCTCATCCGTAGGTCGACATGCTTTCTCCCAAGAAACTCGACGTTGGCGACGAGGTCCCTCAAGTTGTCCATCCCAAAGGAAGGACGTGTATATCTATCTAATAGTATGTAAGATGGTGTCTGGTACCTCATGGACTGCCAAAAGGTGTAATGGCATGCTCATGAGGACATGGCGTATCAACTGGATCCGTCTTCTAGGGGATAGAAGTTGTAACTTCCATCCCGCTAATTTCTTCCTCAACTTGCCCACTAGGGCGTCAAAATAGTGTATGCGCTTACGGCTGAAGAAGATAGGACATCCTAGATAGTCAAAAGGTAAGTGTCCACGAGAGAACCCTGTTAGGCACTGGATGCGTCATATGGTCCCTATGGGGGTAGAAGGGCTTACCATGAAGCTACTCTTCGAGTCATTTACGAGTTGACCTGCAGCTTGCTCATACTTCGAGATAATACTCATGAGCCCTCTAATGGATGTCTCACATCCATTGAAGAAGAGTATTGCATCATCAGCAAAGAGAGAGTGTGAGATGATTGGACAACCCCTCTTCGAGTAGTATGGTCGGATAAGTCTTTGATTGATCGCTCAGGTGAGGGATCGACTGAGGACTTCTTCGACCAAGATGAAGAGGGTGGGTGATAGTGGATCGCCCTGTCGTAGACCTCTCGTGGCCGTGAAGAATGGTGTAGAGTTACCATTCACCAATAAAGAGAAATGATTCTCCCTAACACATGCATCGACTAAGTCAATGAAATCGTCGGTGAACCCAAAGCATCTAAGAACCTTAATGAGGAAACTCCACTCTATCCTATCAAAGGCCTTCTCTATGTCTAATTTGATGATGATGTTAGAGCCTCGACAGTCATGGCCAAGGGACTGTGCTAGTTCATGTACTAGCATGATGTTATCATGAATGTACTGTCCCTTGACAAATCCGCATTGCTCTAGAGATATAAGTTTATCAAGGAAACTACTCAATCTACGTGTAACGATCTTAGATACAACTTTATAACACACGTTACATAAACTGATAGGTCGAAAGTCTCTAAATGAAGTTGGGGTAGTCACCTTCGGTATAAGTGCAAGGAAGGTGGCCTTCCAACTTCGTGTAAAGACTTTACGACGAAAGATTTCCTTGATAGCCTAGATGAGATCAATGCCAATGATATCCCAACATGAAACGTAAAAATCAGCTGGGAAACCATCGGGCCCAGGTGCACGATGTCTGCTCATAGAGAAAACTACTTCCTTGATCTCTTCTCCCGTAGGTATGACCGTCATGAGAGAGCTCTCATGGTGAGTGATTAATGATGGGATTGAAGTGAGCATATCATCAGAAATCTCAATCGGCTGAGAGGTTAAGAGAGTACGAAAGTACTCAACCCCTGCCTCTTGCATGCAGGAAAGGTCTTGATCATATGTCTCTAAAAGGGAGGTATAATCTGAACGTGAACGGTGAGCAACCGATGCATGAAAGAAACGAGTGTTTCTATCACCCTCTTGTAACCACTAGATGCGTGATTTTTGAAGATAGAATAACTCCTGTCGTCGCACAACCTCATCAAGCTGGTCTCTCACTCTACTCCTCCTTTCCTAAGCAGCATCTAAATATCTAGCTTGCAGTAGTCTTTCAACCTCTGCTAACTCTTTTTACAGTGCATCAACCTGGGTATGGACTCCCATAGATATATCAGTTCCACCATTTAAGGTGGAGTTTGAGATTCCTTAACCTATAGCTAAGGTTCTCCATAGGAGAATCTGAAATATGTCTGTACCAGTGATTCCGTACAAAACTCTGAAAGTCTTAATGTTGAAGCCACATGATCTGAAATCTGAATGGAGGTCTGTGGGTGCTCATACTCTGTTTAGGGAGTATGAGGATCAGGGTGTGATCTGACCTATAACGAGTAATATCGTAACTAATATGGGATGTCGCACCATGGCGATGCTGTTGATGAAACAGCAATCGATACGCTCATAAATCAAAGCGTCCCCTCGATTGTTGCTCTATGTCCATGTCTCGCCTGATGTAGGTGGCTCAATAAGAGCTAATCGAAAAATACAATCATTGAACGTCTCCATGTTACGGGCCCTAGGGATCCGTCCACCTTGACGTTCACTAGTATTACGAACACAGTTGAAGTCACCTGCTAGGTACTAAGGAGACTCAACTAGTGTAGGGTAGTCCCTCACGTACTGAACTAGGTCCGCCCAAAGAGTTTCCCTTTCTTCGGATCTATGTGATGCATAGATGACCGAGAAGGTGAACTCTTGGGTGAGATTTCGAATCGTCATAGTGATATGTTGGGATCCCTCGACTAGCAACTCCATAGAGTATGGTCTAGTCTAAAAGAGCCAAATATGATTCGTGGGGTTGGAGTGAAAATGATCCATACCTAATCGCCTAAGTAAGGGTTGGATACGATCTGATGATATCATAGGCTTAATGAGGCCTACTATACCTAGTCGATACTGTCTGATAAAGCTAGCTATATAGAATTGGGTTTCGAGGTTACCTATACCTCGACAATTTCATATGATGCTAGGTATCATGATCTAATGAGTGGCCCCACGAGTCCTAGATCTCGTGGAGTAAGGTGAGCGTCTAGTGAGTCGTGTGGTCCTAGCCTCCGTCTGATATCCCTCATCTAGGTAGGTAGTCTCAATGTCAGTCTCAGATCCACTATCCTCATGGGTACTAGTCATGTGGCCACTAGTATCATGAGCACTAGATGAGGAGGATGGGTGCGGTGCTTGACGATTCATCAAGCACTGTCCTCTATCGGGGCTCTCCCTAGAATCAACAGGTGGTGGATCAAGTATAAGGAACTGATCTGGCGGGTGTAGTGGGGGAGAAGGGGAGAGGGTATAAGAATCAGAACGGCGGGCTACGTAAGATGTACTAATAGGAAGTGTGCTGGGGGTAGGCCCTCCTAGTAGATCTTCGACGGGGATTTGAGGGGGATGGGTAGTGCCCAAGCCGATACCCTTAGAGAAAGGGGTAGACCTGAGTCGGTGGGGACTAAGAGGTGAAGGACTCCTGCTATGTGGGGAAGAGCAAATGGGCCGAGAAGAACTGGGTGGTGGAGAGACACTAATGGGTGGAGTGGGGTGGGTGAGTATGGGGGGTCAGATAGCCCGGGGGGATCTAGTATGTGGAGTTTGACTAGGTGAGTCCCTCGTAGTAGGGGATGCTAGCCCTTTGGAAGGCCTAGTTCCCCTCTGTGCAAGTCCCTCGAAGGTGTTTGAGGTTAGGGGTTTCTTTCCCTTGCCTAAAGAGGAAGGTGTAGCCTCTCGTGTTCCTTTCTTCCCCCCTATGTGGATGGAAGAAGGGCGTCCAACTGCCAGCTTTCGCCGTGCATGTTGTGTCTCAATCAATGAACTAGGCTTCTCCTGTGCCTTCTGAGGTAAGGAAGGTGGAGCCGCCATAGGGACAATCGACCTCTAAGGATGACGAGCACTCTGAGCATCCTTTCTCATTTCGACGAGATAATCGTCATATGAGATCGGTACTAAAAAGGCTCGTGTGGTCGCTTGTGGTGTACCTGCCTTCTGACGACATGTGCTGACAGTGTGGCCCAAGATAGCACAATGTGTGTAGAAATATGATAATCTTTTGTAAATAATAGGCTGATAAAGCTCATCATCTCCACTACGTATAACGAGAGTCCTCTGTAGAGGGGCCATTAGGTCCACCTCTATACAAACTCGTGCATATCCTAGCCGGTTGAACATTTTTACGCCTGGGTCAAGGCATATGAATGTTCCCACCGCATTTGCCAAAGACTCAAGTGCCTTTGGTGTAAATAAATGGGCAGGTAGGCCAGGGAAGCCCACCCATAATGGAACCGCATGGGATTGATGTGCTCGGTGCCCTATGTCGGTCTGTGGTGTCCATTTGTGGGTATGGAGGGTAGACTCCCCCATTGTCCAAGTAAGTCGGCTCCATGCTCGACAATAATCCGCTTCTAGCTCAAAGCGGATGTATATGCTACGATAGTCTCGAGCTCCAATGGAGACTCGGCCCTGGAAATTCTAAGTGCCAAGTAAATCTTCTCTATGTCACCTATAGTTGGTCATTTCGTAGTGAAACGACCAACTAAGGTATATTGGAATGCGGCTACCATCTGGGAGACCTCCTCATAAGTAAAAGCTACTATCCTCCTCCCATCATCCTCGCTATAGCTTCGCACTGGGATAGTGGTATCATAGAATGGGAATAGTACATGACGCAGTGATTCCTGTGGTGTGACAGTCTTTATGGAGGGGGCAGAGGGTCTAGACACTCGTTGCGCCTATGATAGGTGTCCAGTGGGCATAGTCGGGTTTGGCCTATGGGGCACAGTAGAGTCTAGCCCACTAGGTGTAGATATGGTGTGCCCAAGGGATGTGTTTGGGGCCAATATAGAGGTCTCAATTAGTGCTGGGATCCTAGTTGGTTCGAGGGGCTCAGTTTGAGAGAGCCTAAGGGCCCCTGTAGGTAGAGGTAAAACCGGCTCAATTTGTTGACTCAGGGTAGGCCTAGAGGACGTGGTTGAGGGTGGACGTAAAAGTCGGCGTCCTATCTTCTTTTTGGGCCGCAGGCTCTTGCCCCTTACCTGGGCAAGAGCTTGGACAGGTGCAGCCTGAGCCGGCTGCTCAGGCTCGGCCTGGGCCACCTGGGCCTGGGCCGGTGCGTCCTGAGCCGGCGCAGCCTCGATGGGCTGGGCCGGCATGGCCTGGGCTAAAGCGGCCTCAGATGACGCTACCTGGGCCGGCTCAGCTCTAGCCACCTTGCCGGAGGCTCGCACGGGCCGCGCCTGTACGGTGCCAGCTGAGCGGGGCTCGGCCCGTGATGGCGAGCCATCGTCCGCGGTGTCTGACGTTGATGACGTCAGTAGCGTCCCAGCCGAGGCATCGGCGATCGCAAAAAGTTGCGGCGCCTTTATGGCCACGTAATCCCCTCCGTTGATCTCAAGATCAACGGTTGGATCAAGTTGGCCGTAATGGCCGTGACCGTCCGAGGGCGGAGCCTCGGTAACGGCTGTTGAGGCCTTTATAGCCGGCTGATTCTGACCATTGATCATACGATCAATGGTTGGATCAGAGGGGGCCTCTTCGCCTGCCGTCGCCTCGTTCCCGGAGGGAGAGTGGACGGCGTCGACTGCTGTCCCCTCCGATTCCGGCCTCGGGAAGACGCCAGCTGATGTCGAATCACGGACGTCCATGGTTCGACCGTTCAGCTCATTTACGGCCGTCTCCTCGGTCACATCAACCGGCGGAGAGAGAAGGCAAGGACAGGAGGCCGTTACTGCCACGTGTCGGCCTTCTGTTCGCTCGCATTCGTCGGGCGAGTTTTCATCTTTGGAGTGAAAACTCCGGAAGTGTACCTTCGCGATGAGGAAATTGCGAAACAAAGGCTTTAATCCAGCGTTTTCGGTGCGTAATAGCTCGAAACCGATAGTTGTCGGCCTTCCGAATCGAATGGAAAAAGTTTCAGCGCGATCTGAGGTCACACGAAGGAGATCTCACCATTTGATAACTGTCTTGGGCTGAACTTCTCAGGAGGTCACCCATCCTGGTACTTCACACGCCCAAACACTTTAGTGCCCAAGCACATTCATCGGAGATAGATGTCACTTGCGCCTTTTGGCATGATGGCAGGGGTGACTCTCGGCACATTCTTCACAGTTGAGGGCGTCTTGGCATAGTGAGATGGATGCCACAACACGTGTCGCAACGCATGCACACAAACCTGGGGACTTCCCAAGGAGGTCACCCATCTGGGAACTGCTCTCACCGTAGCACACTTAACTCGTGAGTTCTTATGGGATTTAGTGACAACTCTCCTATTAAGGGGGGTTAGGGTTTAGGGTTTTTTTTTTTTTTTTTTTTGATAATTGTCTTTGGCCGAACTTCACATGCCTAAGCATTTTGGTGCCTCTCAGGCACATTCTTTGGAGATAGATGCCACTTGCACCTCTTGACATCGTGGCAGGGGTGCCTCTCGGCACATTCTTTGGAGCTGGAGGCATCTTGGCATGGTGACGTAGTGGTTCATAACACAAGCTAGGCAGCATGATCATGCAGCAGTGACTTTCAGCACATGCACAGCAAGCGTCTCGCAACGCATGCACACGTACCTGGGGACTTCCCAGGGAGGTCATCCATCCGGGGACTGCTCCCACCTGAGCATGTTTAACTCTGAAATTCTTATGGGATCCGGTGGCAACTCTCCCACTATGGGGGGTTTAGGGTTTAGGGTTTAGGGTTTAGGGTTTAGGGTTTAGGGTTTAGGGTTTAGGGTTTAGGGTTTAGGGTTTAGGGTTTAGGGTTTAGGGTTTAGGGTTTAGGGTTTAGGGTTTAGGGTTTTTTTTTTTTTTTTTTTTTTTGAGCAAATTCACGCCTATTGAAAACAT